CATTATCCTTCATATATCTGCCCTCGATAAATCCCGCTTGATCATCATGAATCACCTCTTGAATTACTGGCATCAATCTGTTGGCTAATACTTTTGCATAAATTTTATAGTCATTATTTAAAAGAGATATTGGTCTATAATTTTCCGGTTTTTTAGGACCTACATGTTCTTTTGGTATCAAAGTAATATATGCTGATTTCCATGATGGGGGTATTTTACCCCCTTGTTGTATATTGCAAAATAAGTCTCTAAGTTGTTCCACCATTTCTGCTTGTAAAGTTTTATAATACACTGCAGTCAATCCATCTGTTCCAGGAGCTTTAGCTGTTTTCAATTGTTTAATTGCTGCAATTATTTCCTCAACTGTTATAGGATAGTTCATTCTTTCTTTTTGTTGACTAGTAATTTTTGAGACTCTTTTCTCTTCTAGATATTTTTCTATAAGTCCATTCTGTATATCATCTTTGGCATATAATTTAGTATAGTATTCTACAAAGACTTCTTTAATCAATTTTTGTTGAGAAATTTCTTTCCCTCCAATATCAATACTCTCAATAGTCCGTATACTCTGCTTCTTCCTTAAGGTGTAGGCCAACCATCTTCCTGGTTTATTAGCATTACAAAACGTATTATGCTTCGCATATTGTAAATTTGTTGCAGCTTGCTCCGCCAAGAGCATTTGAAATTGATCTTTCAAAAGTTTTATAGCACCAGATATTCTTTCATCTGTTGGGTTTTTAATGAGTAGCTGTTCCTTATTCTTTATTTCTACTTCCAATTCGAGTCTTTTCTTTTGTCGATTCTGTTTATGTTTAGAGTTCATATAAATGAGTACCCCTCTCATATACGCTTTACTCGCATCCCATACAATTTCAATTGGGGTACCCTTATTCAAGTTCATCTCAAAAAATTCTTTCATCTGTTTTTTAAGTTCTGTTATATTTTTTTCATATCTAAACAAATTTTCATTTAATCTCCATGACCTTCTCTCAGTTTTTCCCATCTCAATTTCTATCCATACAGAACTATGATCAGTTAAAGTTCTTGGAAATATCTTTGTTCTTTTTGTTTTAACAAGTAAATCATCTGATAACAAGATAAAGTCAATCCTGGAAAAAGATCTATGTCTGTCAGAGAAAAAAGTATAGTCCAATTCTTTTGGGTTGTAAATTCTCCAGATATCTTTTAATTCCAAATCTTCTTTCATATCAAAAAAAGTCTGTGGTAGTCTGATCCTTACTTTCGCCAAACTCTTTTTATCTAGTTTAGAATCAATTACTCCATTCCAATCTCCCATTATTAAAATAGATCTATAATCCCATTGCAATATTTTATTATGTAAAGTCTTATAAAAATGATCCTGTTGTTGGTTCGGAGCATAAATTCCAATCAGAAGAATTTGGCCATTTGCTGTATACAATTCAATTGCAATAAACCTACCACCTTCATCTGCTTCTATAATTTTAGCAGACAATCTTTTATTTACATAAATAACCACACCATTCTTTTTTTCCGAGTTTGAAGCTATAAAATGTGTTCCTAATTTGGAGTTTATCAGGTATTTGTGATCTTGAGTTCGAATATGAGTTTCTTGTAGACAAATTATGTCATTATTAAATTGTCTCAGATATGTAAATAACTTGTTCCTTTTTTGTGGTGAGTTTAATCCGTTAACATTCCAAGATAAAAGCCTAATTGTCATCTTGACCTTTCTGAAGTGATGAGCTGCCTTGCCTCGCTTCTTCTGAGGTCTTCGGCTTTGCTCCCCCCATAGCTTCACTTTGTGTGGTGCTTTTGGCTCCCCCTTTATGTTGACTTACTTGTTGTTGTTTTTCTTTTATTTGCTTGGAGACTGCGCGAGTTATACGTTGGTCCTTAACTTCAGGTATCCGAGCTGGATCCAAAGCAGCATCTCTTGTTGACAAAATTGGTGAAGATTCTAGCAGGGATTCCTCCATAAGGCCTCCTCCTCCTACAGCTCCCTGCATTTCCACTAATTCCGTCTGCTTGGACTGTTGTTCCCTCTCATGCTGAAATTGCTTTTCCTTATCACTTTTTATCTCCAGCATTGTAGATGTACGTGGGGATGATGATCTTTCTTTAAGAATATTATAGTAAAAATATTCCGCCTTCTGAAAAGTATTCAATCGGTGTCCTTCTCCATTATATTTCAAAATTATACCAGTTGGGGCATCCCACCGGAATGGTATTTCTTGCTTTTGCAATTCATTCACTAGAAACCTATATTCTTTTCGATCTTTTAACATCTTAGGTGGTAATTCCTTATAAACTCCAATTTGAGCTCCCTCCACTTGCACAGAGGAAAGAAAGGATCTTTGCAAAATATCATTTCTTATTCTTCTGTCTGTAAAATATATCACCACATCTCTGGGTAATTTTCTTTGTCTAGCCACCCATGAATTTACTCTATAAATTTTATCTATTTTATAGACCACGTCTGCTGGATCAATTTTTAACAATACAGCCAAGGCATCTGAACAAATCTGTCTCAAATCTTGCCTATCATTTTCTTTTATTCCTCGAAGCCTAATAGCAAATTCCATGGATCGAAACTGTAACATTGTAATCTCATTTTCAACTCTCTGCACTTTATTGTCCACATCAACAATTTTAGAATCAGTATCCTTCATTTTAACATTAACTTCTGATTTAAATTCTTCCAGTTTGGAATCCACTTTGCTAATGGTTTCTGCCAGATCAGAAACCACATTTGTCAATTTGTCAGACACCTTGTCATAATTCTCTTTCATTGCCTCTTTGAATTCATTAATTTCTTTCTTCATTTCCTGTTGTGATTTTTGAAATTTATCATCCAGAGCCTGGGTAATAAAGTCCTTCAAATTTTGAACATCAAAGTCCTTTCCCTCACCCTGCTGGCTGGGAGGGGGCTGCTGTTCCGGTTTATGAGTGGGAGATCCCTCCCCTGCAGCCTTTCCTTCCTGTTTCTTTGAAGCCATTCTGCCACGTAAATTAACTTTTCTAAAAAAAGGAAGTCTTTTTTCCTTTGCACCTCCACAAAGTCCTTTGAAAAAGTCCCCCAGATTTAACCAAATTAGAAATTAAGTAAGCTGAAGCAAGCTCAGGTTTATGTTAAAAGGAATTTTTTCTTCCACTCTTCTCTGTTCACTTGCTACAAGCAGTGCTACAATGTAGCTTGTTCAAATAGCTTTGCAAGATCACTCTCCCTTTCAGCTTGTTAACGCTGGAACGGCGCCATTTTTTTTTCAAGCCGTTCCACTCACTCTAGCCTTTTCCCAAATCAAAAGTTCAAAAACAAAGAGTTACTTGCAGTTTCTTGGTTTGGGGGTTGAGGTTGTTTTGTAATAAAATTATTTTTCATCAATTTAAATGTTTGCTGCAGCTGGCTTGCTCTGACAAGCAGAGTCGTCCCACGCCGTCCGGAGTCTCTGCAAGTTGAAAGGGAGCCGCGCCCGTTTCCTCCCCAGTAGCAAACTTCTGGGGGTTCACAGGGGCTCGACCTGCCTCTTGCTTCACTCTTCTCCTCGAATCCTCAGGATTTAGGAGTTTTCAAGCTGCTCCCCTCACTCGGAGCGGCTCTACAGGCGGCTGGGCTGGCGGTCCTTCAAAAGCGACCGTCTTCGCCGGTGGCAGACAAACCCAGAAGTCCGATTCTATCCTTCTTTTAATTCAGGCTAGGATTGCATTGGCTTTTTTTGGCTGTTGCCACACATTGTTGTTCCCTCCATGTAGATGTTGTTCTGTTGTGGAGTATATGTTGAACACAATTTGTCAGTTGGTAAAAACCCACCTACTGGTTATGCTATCTATCTCACATTTTATTAGTTTGCCAAGAAATAGATTGTGGTCTACTTTATCAAATGCTTTATTGAAATTGAAGTATCCACAGCATTTTGCTGATCTACTAATTTGAAATACTTTGGCCACCTAATGAGAAGGAAGGACTCACTGGATAAGAGCTCCAGTTTTGAATCATTTCTAAAATGCTTCGCTCCCTTATTGGATGTTGGTCTTTTGTTGGAAGTATAGATGAAAACACCACTTGTGTTCCTAATTCTTTAACTTGCTTCCTTAGCTTGCTATTGTTTTTAGATTCATTGTTCTATTATTGGTGCCCCCGCATGTAGAAGAAGGAGAAGAAATGTGTATTAATCCATGGGGTTGATTATTTTAGCAAGGTTCTCAGTGGTATCTTTGATTTTTGTTCCAGGGAGACAACATACCTGCCTAGATTGACTGTTCAGTCTGTAGACTATAGCTTCTATTCCTCTAAGAATTTTCAAGGAAAAGTATCTCTTGAATTATTGGTTAAATATCAATATGGCATTATATCACTGCATCTCAAAGAAGATTAAAGCAGAACTATTTTTAAAAACAACAATAATACAGATTAAGTATAATGTTTGATTCAATAGGGGTAGAAGGGGAAGGACAAATAAAACAAACCAATTGTAGCTAAGATTCATGGATGTATGATGTTCCCAAAAGGTTTTCAGAAGTATTCAAAGGTTGTGTGAATTTCATGGAGTGGCCATTGTGTAGAGTGGTCCAGAGCAAGATGACAAGTCTGCCAGATGCTTCAACGGGTCAACTGAAGTCCCAGTAGACACATTCTCAGAACCACCTCAGTTTCATCCATGTTGTAGCCTGAATCCAGTTATAGAAAGACACTTGACCCAATTCATTCTAACTCTGATTCATGTTACTATGGCTTAGCATTCTATGTGATCCTATCCCACATTTTTCGCTTGTCATTTGTTGCACTGAACTGCTTGTGGTGTGAAAGCAGCCTTGATCAACTTTAGCACACACAACAGAGCTCAACGTGGTCTAAAATTCATGAAATTGTGGGTTGTTTTTTTTTTTTGGTTTTTTTTTGCCTCAAAGCATAAAGTCTCTATGTCCATTGAAGTCAGGAATCAGGGCAGGCACTGTGAGGAAAAGAAATTCTTAGAGGAGTAGAGAGTATTAGCAATTTCTGAAAGTTTCTTTTCATTCAGCTTCTTCCCTATTTGAGGAACGTTCGGTTCAACAACAGTGCTGGAGATGAAGTCTCCTTCTCAGAAAATGGCCTGGGATCTGCTCGTTATGATCTTTTCAACTGGGTTCTGCTCCCCAACGAATCTTTTGTCCCTGTGAAAGTTGGACAAATAGATCCCAGGGCTCCCGCAGGACAGGATTTCACCATTAACTCTGATGCAATTGTCTGGGCAAAAAAGGTGAGCTGGAAGGTAAAATAAGTGCAGCAAAAGAGTCATTCTCTTCCGGGGATTCAAAATATCTCCCTTACTGGAGAACGGGTTACTGAAGCAAAAATTTGGCAACCGTTTGATGAAAAAGCTGTTTTGCATGCAACGTATTTGAGATCTGATTTGTGACGGAGCAAAAAGAATTGAGATCAGGAAGAAATTCTGCCTGAAACCCAGGATGCAGATAGAGCAGCCAAGAGTGGTTTCCATGGACCATTCCCATTCAGTTGGATCTCCATCGCTGTTTGCTTCAGAAAAGCTATAGCTCAATTCACGGCCTTTCTTTTGCATGCCAAGCCCCAGTTCCAAGCCCCAGAATCCATTGGTGGTTTAGAATAGCACAAGCCTTAATCCCCCCAGCAGCTTTTCCTGATTTGTGGTACATTAGAGTTAATCGTTGCTCTTGAAGATATTCTAATGATGGAAAGAGAAATATAGAAAAGAATAAGTGAAGCACATTCATTGCTGAAGACATCTCATGCATTTCTCTTTTCTCTTGTAGAAGGTGCCCTTTGCCAGGTGTGGCATGAAGAGGTGCCAGGCAGGAGAGAGGAAAAGAGTTCCAGAGGGCGAACAGGTGTGCTGCTACCAATGTGACCCTTGTCCAGAAGGGACCATTTCTAACCAGACAGGTAGAGCACACTTTCAATGTAGATCTTCCTGGGTCAAGGAAACCAGACAGAGACAGAGACAGAGACAGAGACAGAGACAGAGACAGAGACAGAGACAGAGACAGAGACAGATACAGATACAGATACAGATACAGATACAGATACAGATACAGATACAGATACAGATACAGATACAGATACAGATAGAGGGAGGGAGGGAGGGAGGGATGGATGTAGGTAGGTAGTTACGTAGGTAGATACTGTATTTTGCATCGGCTCATTCAGACTCATGAGTCGATGCAAAATACAACGTAGAGAACTTAATCCCCAAAGGTGGAAACATCCTTGTCTCAGACTAGCCTATTACCAGAATATTCAATATTGAAGAATTATTTCTTCTTTTTGATATTCTGTGATGTGAAAAGTACTCTTGATTTCAGATTCTGAAAGCTGTGATCCCTGCCCAGAAGACCAATATCCCAACAAGGACAAGGACCACTGCATTGCCAAGAAGATCCACTTCCTTGCCTATGAAGATGCCCTGGGATATGCTTTAGCTTTGCTCACACTTTCTTTCTCTGCAATCACATTGGGAGTCCTGGCAATTTTCCTTAAACATCGTGACACACCAATTGTCAAGGCTAACAATCGAGATCTCACCTACATCCTTCTGGTCTCCCTCCTGCTCTGCTTCCTCTGCTCCTTCCTCTTCATTGGTCGACCAGGGAAGATCACCTGTCTCTTCCGACAAACTGCCTTTGCCATTCTCTTTTCCCTTGCAGTTTCCTCCATTTTGGCAAAAACTGTCATGGTGGTTCTGGCCTTCATGGCTACCAAACCAGGAAACCAAACTAGGAAACTCTTAGGAAAACCACTGACCAACTCCATTGTTGTAGCCTGTCCCCTGGTCCAAGTAGTTCTTTGTGCCACCTGGCTGGTAACCTCTCCCCCATTTCCCAATTTGGATTTCCATGCCTTGACTGGGGAGGCCATTTTGGAATGTAATGAAGGCTCAGCTTCAATGTTTTACGCTGTCCTCTCATACCTGGGTTTCCTGGCCTTTGTGAGTTTCACAGTAGCTTTCCTGGCTAGGAAATTGCCCGACAGCTTTAATGAAGCCAAGTTCATTACTTTTAGCATGCTGGTCTTTTGCAGTGTTTGGATCTCCTTCCTCCCCACCTACCTGAGCACCAAAGGGAAGTCCATGGTGGTTGTGGAGATCTTCTCCATCTTGGCCTCTGGGGCTGGTCTCTTGGCTTGCATCTTTTCCCCTAAATGCTTCATTATCCTATTCAGACCCCATCTTAACTGTAGGGAGAATATGATAAGAACCAAAAATCTCTAACTGATGCATGCCTGGGAATGTTTTAAAATTTTTCTTTGCGGCATATTTAGTATCTTATGTCATTTTAAAAACGTGATGACCAGAAAAAGAGGAACACGTTCATTAAATAACACCTTATCAAGTGGTATAAGTGATTACAATAAGAATCACTTGTCTGAGGTGGGCAGATATAGAAATTGAATGAATCAGTCAATGAATGAATAAAGGGACCTGCTATCAGCAATAATAATGCAGCTTTTTTATCCCATATCCCAGTTTTCCACATTGATGCCCAGTGAGCTATGTAGAAAGAACACTTGCTGTTACATATAAATTCATTATTCCAAGAAGGATATTCTCTAATTTTTATTTCTTTTAATTAGATCTTTCACTATATTAGTCTTTTAAAAGGTTAGATTCCATATCAATGTTTCTCTGTGTATATAATTGTTACCATAGTCTTCTGAAACTTTGTAGAATTTCCTGTTTCGATTCCTTTCTTTTTTCATAGTAAAGATTAAATTCTCAACTTCCTACCCAAATCTGCTCATCAATGTGGTGGAGTTTTGTGGTTGCAATTAGAAAATAATATCACTACTTCCTGGAGGAAAATTAAGGGTAAATTTTATTCTTCAATCCCCTCTTGGCTGGTCCCACTCGAAGCTATAACGTATAGGCCTCTATATAACAAAGAAAATCATCTCTCTTACCGGGAACTTTTGGACCCCCATGGTAGTCTGAAATCAAGAAAGGAGTTGGAGTTGCAGGGAAGACAACTGGATTGGTGGGCTTATGCCCAAATTTGCTCGAAATTTAAAAAAGATAGGGAACAAGATGGTATTAATTTGAATCAGCATGATCTGGACAATATCATTCTAGGAAAAGAGGACAAAATGTTATCAAGGATATATAAACTTTTAATAGACTATTGGATAGGGGATGAAATAGTTAAAGACTCTATGATTGCCTGGGGGAGAAATATTGTCTATCCAATTGATTTGACAAAATGGGAAGAAATCTGGCTTAAACATATGAAATTCCTGTGGGCAACATCATACAAAGAAAATGTGTACAAGATGCTGTATAGATGGCACCTTCCACCTGCTCGTCTTTCTAAAATGTATTCAAATCTCTCACCAAACTGTTGGAAGTGTGGGGAGATTGGCACCTATTCCCACATGTGGTGGACCTGCTCCAGGACGACTGAATTCTGGAAAATTATACAGGCACGGATCATGGAAATCACAGGTTATAACCTAATTCTGAAACCAGAGTACTATCTACTGAACATCAGGCCAGACAACATAGGCACAAATATATGGTGTCTGTGTGTATTTATCACCACGTCAGCAAGAATATGTTTCGCTCAACATTGGAAGGGGAAAGACCTGCCGGCTGAAGATTTGATTTTGGAGAAAATTTTGGATTATGTGGAAGCCGACAGACTGACTAAAGCATTGAGAGATCAAAAGGACTCCGTATATTTCCAATATTGGGACAAATGGTACATTTGGTTGAACAACAGATGCCCAAAAAGTCAAGTATAACCAGGATTATGTTTAATATATGTTAAATCTGACTGAAACCTACGTACCGTAGAAAGTGTAAATATCATGTAAAGTTCCTGTCGCGATCATTTGTTTGACTATTTTTTTTTGATGTATTGTTTTAAATAAATAAATAAATAAATAAAAAGAAAAAAAAGAAAATAATATCACTACACACATGTTATTTTAACAATCCCTTTTGCCATGTCATATCTCAGAGCTTCTCAGTAAAGATTATGTTTTATGATAACTGGGTCCCCTGAGAGAACAAAGAGATGCACTGATATTTATACATTTCAGAAAGGAGAAAATGATGTAAGAATGATTCATTCTTGAAATGATTCAAGCATGCATATTCATAAGTAATACTGTAATGGATTTCAGGTTTCTTCCTACTCTTTTGTTACCTACCGAGAATTTAGTTAAAATAAACATATGCATCCGGGGATTCAGAGGCTGCTGTAGGGATGTTCTGAGAAGAATTACAATGGGCCTCAGGGAGATGCAAGAACACTTTTTAAAAAAATTCTCAGCTTGTATATTACCTCACTGTATGGCATGCTGGCTTGACAGCAGCAGATAGAAAAACATTACAGAGGGTGCTGAGCACGGCACAAAACATTGTGGGCTTTTCCCTGATACCACTAGATGAAATCGCTAGGGCTCACTGCCTTAGAAGAGAGAGGAAAATTCTCAGGGACGACTCTCACCCGGGTCATCACTTCTTTACCCTCCTACCGTCGGGAAGAACCGTTTTTATCTGTGGGCTGTCAGACTCCTGGATGCGAAATAACATCATAACTACGTAGTACGATGGACTTGCAGGGCCAGTGCAGCATGAAACATGTTCACACTGGTGCAATAGGACTTGGTGTTTTGTTAATATGATTTATTGGCTTAGGGATTTTCTGTTTTCACTGTGAGTTGTATTGTGTTTGAGGGGTTAACTAAGGGAGCTCCACCAATCTCATTGTACATATGTTGTGCAGTGACAATAAAGGTTATTATTATTATTACCTACTCCCATCAAACTGAAAACTGATTTTCCCCACCGTCTGTTTTTCCTTTTGACCTCTTAGAGGTCAACTTCCTCATAGCCGTAGCCCATTTTAAATAAGGCAAAGTCAACGACCAGCTAATTTTGCCAAATTGCCATTCTTGGATATTTTTGCTGCTCATTGAAGAGAGTTGTCGTCTTTGAAGTCTTAGGTATACATTCTGTAACTATAAAAACTGTATTTTTTATATATTACGAAAAGCACAGGCTGCAAAAGCTGGTGCACCAACTATGGAAATAGCAGGCCCATAAATACCTTTGACATTTAACATTCCTATGAGGTAATCATATCTACTGTGAAGTGGGGAGCTTTCAGTGGGGTACCGACTTTTGGGCACTGCCGTGGACTTGAGTTATGTGTAGTTTTGGACAACTGGAACTGCATGAAATCTAGTTAGATGCCTAATTGCAGATGGCCCTCCTGAGGATGGAAAGTATGAAAAGATACTTTCCACACAATAAATAGCATCTCTTTGGTAACTACCCTGTTTCCCCGAAAATAAGACATCTCCTGATAATAAGTCCAATTGGGCTTTTGAGCGCATGCGATAAAATAAGCCTCCCCCCAAAAATAAGTCCTCCTAGAAAATATTTAAACGCAGAGCTGGAAATCAGGTAAGACGACAAAAGGAGCCATATCTTGTTCCATGTGCCCCAAAATAATAAGACCTCTCCGAAAATAAGGCCAAGCGCTTATTTTGGGGTTCAAAAAAAAATATCAGACAGGGTCTTATTTTTGGGGAAACATGGTACTTGGGGAGTTGGAACATAGCCAAGCTCGAACTGTTGCTCTGTCCCAGTCTTCTCCATCTTCTTCAATGTTTACTTCAGCTTTGACTGGCTTCGGGATTTGGGAATTGATTAGGCTGAAGTGTTAGGCAGTTAGCAGCCCAATGGTCCTCCTTTCCACATCAGAAGCAGGCCTGTGTGGAGCAACACTGGCCCTCTCTAGTGGCCGACGGAGGGCTTCCTCCCTCTCTGGTATTGACAGGTGCCTTTCCTTGCTTTAGCAGGGGTGGCTCTCTTGCATTGTGTGCTGCCTGTACAGGTCCAGTTCTACCGTGGTAGCCAGCTGATACCACACATGGAGGTCAAATACCCCTCCCCACATCTCCATCCCACTGAACTTCTCCCTCAGTTGCTCGACCAAAGGGCTGCGAGCCATGGTTGGAGACTTCCACTCTATCGGCTCTTCCCACTTGGGAACCCTCCTGGCATTCCATTTGGTTCCCCAGGTTATCGCTACTTCCAGTGGAATCAGGGGAAACTCCATCTTGGCAGCCTTTCCCATGCTGCTCATCCATTAGGCTTTTGGGATCAGGTAGAGGAGCCTGGCCACAACTCCTTCACCTTGTGTCGGTGGCTGCTCCAACTGCTTGGCTCTCACCTTGGACCGGATCATTAGTAGCTTCATTCCGGAGTCCGCTGGGATCATTGCCAGAGCTTCCTGGGGAAGAACTGCTTCAGTGTGGCCTCAGATTTTTCTCCGTTCCTGACGTCACCATGCTACAACTCTCTTGGAAGTGCCCCTATAGGCTGCATTCATAATGTGAAGGTTAAGGAGAGTTGGTTTAATGGCAACAATCTTACTAGTGAACCCAACAAAAGGAGTCCTTAAGGCAATTAAGTCCCAGTGAAACCAACTCTGAGGTTTCCCACGCAAAAGCTTGCTTAGTTAAAAATCAGATTCCCATTCCCCCACCCACAGAGTGTTCACATTGTCCAATAGTAATATTTATTTCTGTTATGGGAACAGTTCACTTCTCCATCGAGCACCTGCGTCAATGACCTTGTATGGTGAAGGTTCCTCTGGTCCATGAATGGCTTCTTGGCATTCCATTCCCTCCCCTCTTTTCTTTGGCAAGATGATGATGCTAACAAGCATTGTTGCAATAAAATCTTGACAATAAGTAAAGCAGTTATTGCATCTATTGGTATGATTGCTCACACTTCCTTAGGTACAGCTCACTGCCACCATGCCCCATTAGCACCCATTCTACCTGAAGATACCATGGCACAGGCCAAACTTCATCTTGTGTGCAGGTGTTAACTTTCAATATAAAGTAGTTTTTATTGAATATAAATATTAAAAAAGACATACGTAACATATACACAACAGACATTTATACAACATATACACAAAAAGAGTGTAATTTCTTCTTAAGCATTTTTTCAGAGTGACATTCTACAATTCTACTTATGATATATTCCTTCACCTCTCCTTAATCTAATAATATTTTTATTATATATATATATATATATATATATATATATATATATATATATAAAAATCGGTAATATTTCCCCTATATTTTTTGTATATTTCTGATTTTTAACCAATTATACCAATTATTCCATATTTTATAATAGTCTGATTCTTCTTTTTCTTGTAATTCTTTGGTTAACCTATCCATTTCAGCGCATTCTAAAATTTTCCCTGTTACTTCTGTTTCACTTGGTATTTTTTCTTGTTTCCAAATTCTTGCGTAGGTTATTCTTGCAGCAGTTAATATGTGAATTGTGAGATATTTGATATCCTTAGGGTATGATAACGAGCCTTGGTAGTACAGGGGCTTAAGGCACCCTGTTATTAAGACCAGCTGCCTGCAATTACTGCAGGGTTCGAATCTCGCCAAGGCTCAAGGTTGACTCAGCCTTCCATCCTTTCTAAGGTAGGTGAAATGAGGACCCAATTTGTGGGGGCAATAAGCTGACTTTGTATAAATATACAAAAGGATGAAGGCTATTGCTGAGCACATTGTAAGCCACCCTGAGTCTTCGGAGAAGGGCGGCATATAAATCAAAAAAAAATAAATAAATAAAAAAAAATTTGTTAAATATTCCTAATAAAAATGTTTCTCGTTCTTTTTCAATCTGTGTTTTTGTTATTTGTTCCAACCATTTTTTGATGTTAGATCAAAATTTCTTTGCTGCTGGGCACGTCCACCATAAATGATAGAAAGTTCCTTGTGCCTTTTTGCACTTCCAACAAATTGGGCTATTTTTAGGTTGTATTTTTGCCAATCTGGTTGGAGACATATGCCACCAATAAAACATTTTCAGTTGGTTTTCCTTGTACACCGTTGCTTTTTTTAAATTTAGGTTTACCTGCCAGAACTTTTCCCATTTTTCCAAAGGTATTGTGTGTTTGATGTTTTGAGCCCACTTAATCATCGTTTCTTTGACTGTCTCTTCTTCCAATTTATAGCGTAGAAGAAATTTATAAATTCTACTAATTAATTTATTTTCTGAATCTAATATAATTTTATCTATTTCTTGTTTTTGATTATAAATTTCATATGTTTTTATATGTTCTCTGTATTTGGATTGTATTTGAGTGTAAGTCCACCAGTCTCTTTCTCTGTGTAAATCTGTCTCCAATTGTTGTTTTGTCTTTAATTTGCCTTGATAGTCAATTATATCTTTATATCTAATTATTTTTATCTTATCTGTTAAATTTGGGTGCCTAATTGATTCTGCCGGTGCTAGCCAATTTGGTATCTTCATATAATGTTGTTTTTTAATTTTAAGCCAAATTTGTAATAATGAGTTCCTTATTGTGTGTCTTTTAAAATATGAGTGTGTTTTGTATTTCTCATCCCACATAAAGGAGTGCCAGCCAGTTTGAAGTTCATGTCCCTCAATTGTTAAAATTCTAGAGTCCTTTAATTCTATCCAATCTTTGACCCACGATAGTACTGCTGCTTGGTAGTATATCTCCCAGTCAGGGAGTGCAGCTCCTCCTCTATCTTTTGTATCCTGAAGCAGTTTAAATTTTATTCGTGGCCTTTTCCCTTGCAATATAAATTTAGATGTTATTTTATTCAGCTTTTCAAAAAACGGTTTATCTATTTTAATTGGGGTGACCTGAAACAAATATAAAAATTTAGGTAATATAGTCATTTTGATGGCCGAAATTCTTCCTAGGAATGAATGTGTAAATTTTTCAATTTTTCTAAATCTTTCTTTGTTTGTTCTAGTAATTTATCATAATTGTTTTCTTTAATTGCTGATGTTCTTGTAGATAACCAGATTCCTAAATATTTTATTTATTTTATTTTTTTTGTTTGGAAACAAGAAACACAGAAAAACAGATACGATAGGCAATGGATGAACAGATCAAACTCTTTTCGGTAAACATTAATGGCTTAAATGCCCCAAAGAAAAGGAATCAAATTTTCACAAAATTACGAAAATTAGAAGCAGATGTAATATGTCTGCAAGAAGTACACATTCAAAAAGATTATCAAAAAATCCTAGAAAACTCCAAATTAGGAAAACTATATTCATCTCTGGCCCAAAAAAAAGAAAAAAGGAGTAGTGATTTACGTAAAAGAAAAAATACAATCTAAACTAGTTTATACCGATGAGCAAGGTAGAGTGGTGATGGTTGAATTAGAAATAGGAAAAAGGAAAATGTTAATTGTAGTGATTTATGCACCTAACCAAAAACTACAGGTTTTTTTTAAAGATCTACATATAAAACTAGCAGAATTAGAATATGATGATATTTGTGTAATAGGGGATTATAATGCAATAGTAAATGCAAAGAAGGACTACAAAACTGGGGAAAAAAAACAAAGAAAAAAAGAAATACTTCCAAAAGAATTCTTTACTATGGCTGAAGAACTAAACTTGGCAGACGTATGGAGGGAAACACATGAAGAAGAGGCCCAATACACCTTTTACTCCCATCCACATAACTCCTGGTCAAGACTGGACATGGCATGGATGACCCCAAATATCAAAATAGAAGTAGAAAAAATTGAGATAGGCACAAACCAATGGGCAGACCATAATCCACTATTCATAAACTGGAAAGGGGAAAGAAGACGTAAGAGATGGACAATGAACCAAAGATTATGTAAAAAAAAAGGTGTTAAATTTCAGTTAGTTCAAAAAGTCAACTTCACCTTGATTCCCAAGTCCATCTGCTCTGTGGATTACCAACAAGAGACACAACTTTTTACTTTACTTTTATTAGACTTCTATACCACCCTTCTCCCGAAGGACTCAGGGCGGTGTACAGCCATATTAAAACACATAAAATTTACAAAATTTAAAAACCATTAAAATCAAATATACCAAAACTTGGCCCACAAATTAAAAAACTTACATACATCCATTTAAAATTCATATTCATGTTAGGCCAGCCTGGCTTGTTGAAACAAGAGGGCCTTCAGGGCGTGGCGAAAGGTGCGCAGGTCAGGGATCATATGCACATCTAGGGGCAGCTCGTTCCAGAGGGCTGGTGCCCCCACAGAGAAGGCTCTCCCCCTGGGTGTCACCAGTCAACATTGATTGGCCGAAGGCACCCTGATGAGTCCCTCTTTGTGGGAGCGTATTGGCCGGTGGGAGGCTGTCGATGGCAGAAGGCGGTCTCATATATAACCCGGTCCTAAGCCATGGAGCACTTTAAAGGTGGTAACCAACACCTTGAATCGCACCCGGAAGACCACTGGGAGCCAGTGCAGCTCATGCAGGAGAGGTGTCACGTGGGGGCGACGAGTCGCCCCCATAATCACCCGCATGGCCACATTCTGGACCAGTTGGAGCCTCCGAGTGCTCTTCAAGGGGAGCCTCATGTAGAGAGCGTTACAGTAGTCCAGACTGGACATGACGAGGGCATGAGTGACCGTGTGCAGGGCATCCCGGTCCAGAAAGGGACACAACTGGCACATCAGGTGAACCTGATAAAAAGCTCCCCTGGCCACGGCTGTCATATGATCTTCCAAAAACAGCTGTGTATCCAGGAGAACACCCAAGTTGTGAGTCCTCTCTGAGGGGGCCAAGATCTTGCCCCCAATAGTCAGTGATGGAACCAGCTGACTATATTGGATGCTGTGAGCCACAGCCACTTGGTCTTGGAAGGGTTGAGTCTGAGCTTGTTTCTCCCCATCCAGATCCGCACGGCCTCCAGGCACCAGGACATCACGTCAAGGTCATCATTGGGGTGGTCTGGGGTGGAGATGTACAGCTGGGTGTCATCAGCGTACTGGTGGAACTTCACCCCGAAACCACAGATGATCTCACCCAGCGGCTTCACATAAATGTTGAACAGAAGGGGCGAGAGGACTGACCTTTGCGGCACCCCACAAACAAGGTCGACATCGACCTCTGTCCCCCTGCCAACACAAACTGCATACGGTCAGAAAGGAAGGAGGAGAACCACTGCAAAACAGTGCCCCCCACTCCCAACCCCTCCGATTGTCACAGCATGATACCATGGTCGATGGAATCAAAAGCCGCTGAGAGGTCTAATAGGACCAGGACAGAGGAACAGCCCCTGTCCCAAGCCCTCCAGAGATCATCAACCAATGCGACCAATGCCATTTCCGTGCTGTACCCCGGCCTGAAGCCCGACTGGAACGGATCTAGAAAATCAGCTTCATCCAGGGACTGGGGAAGTTGTCGCGCCACCACACTCTCAACAACCTTCGCAACAAAGCGAAGGTTGGAGACTGGACGATAGTTCACTAGTACAGCCGGGTCCAGGGAGGGCTTCTTGAGGAGGGGCTTCACCACCGCCTCTTTCAGAGAGGTAGGGAAGAAACCCTCACTCAAAGAAGCATTAATAATCCCCTGGAGCCAACCTTGTGTAACCGCCCGGGAGGCCAGAACCAACCAGGAGGGACACGGGTCCAATAAACATGTGGCAGCGCTAAGCCTACCCAGAATCCTCTCCACCTCCTCGGGAGTCACAGGGTCAAACCCCTCCCAGATAACATTCACAAGATCCACCTCCGTCACCCCATCTGGATCTACCCAATCTGAGTCCAGACCTTCCGGAATCTGAGTGACTTTGTCATGCAGGAATTGCACAAAATCCTCAGCCCTGCCCTGCAAGGGGTCTTCCCTCGCTCCCAGATGAAGGAGGGAGCTGGTCACCCTAAACAGGGCTTCTCTGCAGACCCGATAAGAGCAGAAAAATAGTTAGATTTTGCCGCTCTTATCGCCACGAGGTAGATCTTAATATGAGACTTCACCAGTGTTCGGTCAGATTCGGTCAGATTCAGACACAAGCATGTTTTTCCCTGTCTGGTGTACAAACAACATCTATTGCCCAATGGATAGGACAATTGCTTTCCTCTCCGATGATAGAATAACAGTAATTCTCAATGTATTCCCTGTGGATTTCAACCCACAAAAATATTCCAAGGTTAAACCTGCTTTAAAAGATATTCTCTGAGTTCTCCCAGTGCTGGAGGACCTTGCCTGGTCCCCCGAAGAGCTAACTGCGGGGTTTGGTGAGACTCAGCTGGCCTTTGTGTCAAAGCCCAAACACAGGTAAGAGAAAGCATGATTGATACAGGATTTTATTGATGGATTAGTCTTGTGACCTTATTAAAATAAAATAAAATTTTATTTTATTTTTTATTCATATAAAGAATGGTTGCTGGAACTGGGTATGTCTAGTCTGATGAAAAGAAGGACTAGGGGTGACATGATAGCAGTCTTCCAATATCTCAGGGGCTGCCCGAAAGAAGAGGGAGTCAAGCTACTCTCCAAAGTACCTGAGGGCAGGACAAGAAGCAATAGGTGGAAACTAATCAAGGAGAGAATCAACTTAGAACTAAGGAGGAATTTCCTGACAGTGAGAACAACTAATCAGTGGAACAACTTGCCTCCAGAAGTTGTGAATGCTCCAACACTGGAAGTTTTTAAGAAGATGTTGGAGAACCATTTGTCTGAAGTGGTTTAGGGACTTCTGCTCGAGAAGGGAGGGCTGGATTAGATGACCTCCAAGGTCCCTTCCAGCTCTGTTATTCTATAAAATAAAATACAGCCCATAGTCTAATTTCAGAATAGGACAGATAGGAAGAAATAAAGTGGTAAAATAAAAATGTGTTAATGCAAGGAGACATCAGATAAATTTGACTTGAGGCCATCCAGAAGGCACGGAAGCTGTCTGTTGTGCTAAAGCTCTGATGGTATTTCAAATACTCCCTGCAATTCAGCTTCTGCACGAACCGTGATTTCTGATCTAGGAGGGAAGGTGAGAAGAATGTCTGGGCTGCCTCTCCTGCTGCTGCTGCTCTTCTGCTTCCTGCCTCCAATTACCGCTAAGAAGATTCATTCCGTATGTCCATTGAAAAAACATGTAAAATTTCCAAATCAGTGGGAATTTTACAGGCCTGGTGATCTGATCATTGGAGGGAATTTGCCCCTAGTAACTTTTGTGCAGTCCAAATCACCAGATTTTCAAAGGGACCCATTGCGACATATTAATAAATTCACGTAAGTTTCACCTGGAGGGGAAAAATGTAAGTGATTGTTTTCTTTCCTTTGGATTCAGGGCCTCTTTTAAGAAATACCTGTTCTAGGGATGTTCAGACTTTTGTCCTTTTCTCAGTGAAGAGAAATAGGCTAGAATTCCCTTTGTGAGCCACGGTGGGGCACTGGTTAGAGTGCAGTACTACAGGCTACTTCTGCTGCCTGCCGGCTGCCTGCAATTGGGCAGTTCAAATCTCACCAGAGTCAAGGTTGACTCAGCCTTTCCTCCTTCTGAAGTCGGTAAAATGAGGAGCCAGATTGCTAGGGTCAATAGGCTGACTCTGTAAACTGCTTAGAGAGGGCTGGAAAGCACTGTGAAGTGGTATATAAGTCTAAGTGCTATTGCTATTGTTTCCCAAAACTGTTCCGGAGGACAGAGAACAACAACGGTATATACACAGATTATATGCAGGGGCATGACCTGCCTTTCCATATGTTTTCATCAGGATAATTCAGTGGTGAAATCTGAACTGGTTTGCTACCAGTTTGTTGGCCACGCATGCATGCCATGTGCCAAGCATGCACTGTGTATGTGTATGAGCCCCAAACATGTGCTGTGTGCTCATGCGCAGTGAGCACCAAACACGCACTGTGCATTTAAAAAGCTACTGGTTTGGGCGAACCCAGTAGCATTTCATCCCTGGGATGATTATCAACTAAACAAAAGTAGGGAGGGGAAACACCTCCCAGCCTTACCCCTCCAGGTGCAGGACAAGATGTCCTTGACTCTTTGAGAAAGGAATGTTATTATGATTATATATCACTTGTTCTCATTCAATCTCCCCACCCAGTTTCCCACAGTAGTAAATGTGGCAGGCCTGAAGGTCCAATGAAAAAGATGATTTCTAGGCCAGCACAAAACTCTTAAATAATGCTCCTTAGTAAATCTGGGCTGTGGCCCCCACTGGAGTCTTCTCCTCAGACCTGTAGAAGCTGCTTCAAGGATGAAACAAACTGAGTAGGGAGGAAGAGGAGCTATTGGGGAGTAGTTCAGCCACTGGAGGAAAGTGAAGAAAGGAGGGAGGATAGAGGGGTATAAAATGATGTGGGAAATGGACGGCCTGGCTTTTCTCCTTTCTCAGAAATCCATCCAAATGCAATCAAGGAACATCCTTAAAAAAGCCAAAACAACCCAATGGAACTTGTCACTTAATGCTGCAAGAACACACAAGAAAGACCAGGCCAACTCCGCCAGCACACAAAATCTTTCCTATAATGTTCCCCAATCTTTTTCTCACTGTAGATGCCTAATCAAAGATTACCATCAGTTCCTGGCCTTGATGTTTGCTGTCAGGGAGGTGAATAAGGATCTAGTTCTCCTCCCCAACATCACCCTTGGCTTCCGCATCTATGAAAATAAGAAGATGGAGAGGAATATTTTCTTAAACAGCCTCTCCCTGCTCTCCACACGGCGCCGAATGGTTCCAGGTTACAAATGTGACAGGCAGGAGACTCTGCTCTCTGTCATTGGAGGTCACAACTCCAAATCCTCAAGGCAGATGGCCTCCATCTTCAGCATCCTCAAAGTCCCACAGGTAAGGAAGCTGCACTGGATGCAGTATGGAGCACACAAACAACCAAAGCACACACAGAAGGCAAGGATTTAAGCAATGATATTTGGGGGAGGCGACAACCAGGGGTATATGACTTAGATAATCCATCCTAAAGTTTTTCTATGTGTGGGAAGTTAGCACCCATCGCCCTTCTAGAAGTATTAAATATTCTGTGGAATATTAAAAAGGCAGAATATTATATTTCCCTCAATGAGAAAAGGAGAAACATGCTTTTAAAAACAAAGCAGCTTCCTGCAAGTCCCTGCCCCCAACCCTTCAGCTCCAGGATGATGGGATTAAGACATGGCCCTCACAACATGATAGGATTAACTCTCTACTCATCTCACCATATGGCACCTTGGAAGTTTACATCACCCAGCAAAACTCAACCTAGCCTGTGACACAAGCAACCTTCAAAGTTAGCTAAGACCCCTGCCCCCTGGGAGTCTGACAGCCAATCAGAATACAAGCTCAAATTCAAAGCCGAACAGAGGGTATAAATCTCTCTCTCTCTCTCTCAACCATGTACTTTTTGCCCACAACCTCAAACCATGAGGTCCTGTCCACCATTAAAAACCATCTTCCCAATCAGCCACCATGTTTCCAGTGATTTTCTCCCCACTTGGAACTGAACCCATATAATAGTAAATGGAAAAAGGAGAAGGAAAATGAATATAACAAAATTCGAGAAGAGATCAAAAATTGGGAAGGGAAATTACAGGAGAGGCCAGGGGATGAACAAATAAGAACTAATTGGATGGCAGCTAAACACAAATTGAATTTATTTGAGCAAGAAAAATATGTCAATACAATGAAATTTGTAAAACAAAATCAATTTGAACAGGCGAACAAACCAGGGAGGTGGATGGCTTATAAATTAAGAAGAGAAAGAGAGAAACGAACAATTCATTAACTGCAGGATAAGGATGGTAAGTTATGTCAGAATCTAGAAAAGAAGAAAGACAGTAACCCAATTTTTTCAAGATTTATACACACAGGATAAGGTGCCAACAGAGGAAATAGACCAATATTTAAAAGAGGAGGGAATGCCAGTAGTAAGAGGAAGAGATACTCAATAGAGAGATTACTATAGAGGAACTACAGGCAACAATTAGGAAATAAAAAAACAATAAAACTCCAGGAACAGATGGGTTACCAATAGAATTATATAAAGGATTAGGGGAATCACTAAATTGGATACTATTAGAGGTGTACAATGAGGCATTGAAAGAGGCAAAGCTGCCAGAATCTTGGAGGGAGGCATATATCTCCTTAATCCCGAAGGAGGGGGCAGATACAACACAGATAAAAAATTATAGGCCGATTTCTTTACTAAATTCCGATTATAAGATTTTTATGAATTTGATGGCAAACAGATTAAAGACAATATTAAACCATAGAATACATTCAGACCAGAACGGATTCCTGCCGGCAAGACAAATTAAAAACAACATAAGGACAGTGATCAATGTAATAGAATACTATGAGGTGCATCCCGAGAGACAGGTAGCCCTGATTTTCCTGGATGCACAAAAGGCATTTGATCGGGTCAACTGGAGATTCATGACACAACAAATAAAGAATATGAAATTTGGGGAGAAATTCGAAAAGATGATAGTTTCAATATACACAAAACAGAAAGCAAGGATACTAGTCAATGGGGAACTAACCAATTTTTTTGAAACAAGTAGAGGAGTATGACAAGGGTACCCACTTTCACCACTACTTTTTATTCTAACAGTAGAAAATCTACTTAGAAGAATCAGACTCAACAAAAATATAAAAGGACTCAAGGTTAAAGGAGAAGAATACGAGGTCCAAGCATTTGCTGACGACCTTGCATTCTTCATAGAGGATCCATTAGAAACGGAATTAAAATTAACAGAGGAAATAGAGAAATTTGGTAAGGTGGCAGGTTTAAAAGTCAATAAGGATAAGACTGAAATATTAACTAAAAATTTAACAGCAAAACAAATAGAAGAGTTAGAAAAATGATCAGGATTACAAGTAGTTAAGAGGATAAAATATTTAGGTATTACTCTGACAACTAGGAATGTGGCTATAAAAGATAATAATTACGGAGAGTTAGTACAACAAATTAAAAATGATTTAGAAAGATGGGGGAAACTAAAGTTATCATTGCTAGGAAGAATTGGGGCGATAAAGATGAATATACTCCTGAGGCTCCTCTACTTATTTCAAACTATTCCAGTTAAATTAGAGAAAAACTTTTTTACAAATTTGAATAAAATAACATCAAAATTCGTATGGGAGGGAAAGAAAACCAAGAATAAATTTAAACATATTACAGGATGATAGATCTAGAGGGGGTTTTGGCCTACCAGCGTGGGAAAAATACTATAAGGCAGCAAGTTTAACATGGTTTAAGGAGTGGGTCAATTTGGATAATTACAGACTATTAAAATTGGAAGGCCACGATCTATTAAAGGGGTGGCATGCCTTCTTGTGGAACGCCAGGAACAAAACCTATAAACATTTTAAAAACCACATAATAAGAAATGCACTGATTAGCACTTGGTTCGAAATTAAAAATAAACATTATATGAAGGTTCCCGGCTGGGGAATATCTGCATTGGAGGCGGCAATGCACCCCAACACACTAGCCCCCCATAAATTAATAAGATATAAAGAATTACTGGATCCCCAAGGAAGATTAAAAACACGGCAGGAACTCAGGGAACAAGGCATAGAAATAGACTGGTGGCCCTACCTACAAATACAAACTAGATACAATAAGGATAAGGAGGAAGGAGGAATCGAAATAAATCCCAACCGACTAGACAAATTATTAGGAGCTAAAGATGGAAATTTGATTTCAAAGATTTACAAATACTTATTAGAATTCGACCTAGCAGAAAATCTAGTCAAAGGACAAATGATAGCTTGGGCAAGGAATATTGGCAAAAACATACAACTGGAAGAATGGGAGAGGGTATGGGAAACCAACTATAGAATAACAAAATCCGTAGCATATAAAGAGAACCACTACAAGATGTGGTACAGATCGTATCTAGCCCCTGCGAGATTGGCGAGGATGTATGCAAATCTTAATCCAACGTGTTGGAAATGTAAGCAAGCACAGGGAACCTTCTTTCATGTCTGGTGGCTTTGCCCAAAAATTAAGGAATATTGGATAAAAATAAAAATTTGGATATCAGAAATAATTGCGGAGGATATTGAGTTAGAACCAGATTTTTTTTGTTAGGAATGCTTAAACAAAACATTAGAAAGGAAAAAAAGTACCTAATATTACATATAATCATGGCAGCTAGGTTAGCCCTAGCACAAGTCTGGAAAACAGATCAATTGCCAATGGAGCAGCAAATAATTCAAAAAATTTACACATGTGCAGAAATGGATAGACTAACGTTGAAATTGAAAGATAAGGAAGACTCACAGTATTTTAAGATATGGGACAGTTGGTATGAGTGGATAAACCAATGGAAAAGAAGGTAAAGTCAAAACTTAGTAAGAAATTAAAAGTAATAATTATACACCGTCATTAAGGAAAAAAAGGAAAAAAGTTTTTGTATATATGTGTACTTACATACATTATATATACTTTGTTTGTTGTTTGTTGGTACTGTTGATTGTATTTTAAGGTTGTGAATGTTTTATACAATTTTATTTTTTTTAATCTAATAAAGTTTGTTTTTTAAAACTAAAAAAAAATGTTTATTCTCTGAATCACATAGATGTTTTGTTCCTTTGACTTATGATCTATCACAACCAGGCAAATCAGGTAACTGGTGGTTCTTCCTAAGAAGGGAGGAAGATGAAGCTTGTCACTCAAACTACACAATGGTGAGCTTTAAAGTCACCATAAAACTTGACTTTGTTTTTGAAAGATTCTCACTTTCTCTAGCTTGGTGTTGGCTTTGAGTTCACTCAAGGAGAGAGAAGAGTTTATCCTTCCTTCATCCAGATCAATCCTGATGAATCTGCTCAGTATGAGGGTTTAGTCCAGCTGCTCCTGTATTTCCAGTGGAACTGGGTTGGGCTGGTGGCCAACAAAGATGACAATGCGGAACATTTCGTCTCATCTCTGATACCAAAGCTCAAGGAGAAGGAGATCTGCCTGGCCTTCACTGAAATAATGAAATTTGATTTTTACACTGATCAAGACCCAAATTTATATTATATTTTCAACATTTGGTCTAAAGGTGAAGTGATTATTTTTTTTGGAGACTACAGTAGTATTACATATGCACAGATAGTTTTGTTTGCTTATAAAAAACAGAAATATGCATCATTACTGAAAGTTTGGATCTTCACATCCAATTGGAAACTTAATGTGATGAGCTCTGAATATATATTGCATGTTATAAAGCCCTACCATGGGGCTTTGCATTTTAGGGACCACACCAAGGATGTCTCAGAATTCAGACATTTTCTCATGTCTTTAGACCCTTTGAAACCACAAGGTGACATCTTTCTCCCTCTATGGTGGGGAAAGATCTTTGGCTGCAACATTTACAAACCAGGAGAGATCCCTTCAAAGGAGGTAAAACCATGTACTGGAGAGGAGAATTTACAGAATGTGCCAACTTACATGTTTGAAACAAGCATGACAGGTGAAAGTTACAATATCTACAATGCCATTTATGCTGTGGCACACGCACTACATGCAATGCATGGATCAGGAAGACAAACAGCTATGATGAGACTTGGAAAGAGGATCTTAGATGTCCAGTCATGGCAGGTAATCTCTGCTTTTTAATCCAGTCCACAGATCCTTAGAGCCAACATAGAGAGGAAGTACCCCATGTGTAGAACATAGAATAACAGAGTTGGAAGGGACCTCGGAGGTCTTCTAACCAACCCCCTGCTCAAGCAGGAGAGCTTATATCATTTCAGAAAAATGGATGTCCAGCCTCTTTTTGAAAGTCTCCAGTGATGGAGCATCCACAACTTCTGAAAGCAAGCTATTCCATTGGTTGACTGCTCTCATTGTTATGAAATTTCTCCTTAGTTCCAGGTTCCTTCTCTCCTTGGTTAATTTCCAACCATTGTTTCTTCTCTTGCCTTTTGGTGCTTTGGAAAATAGTTCGACTCCCTCATCTTCGTAGGAGCCTTTCAAGTATGGGAACACTGCTATCTCCTCACCCCAAGTTTTTCTTTTCATTAGAATAAATGTACCAAATTCCTGTAACCATTCTTCTTATGTCTTAGCCTCCAATCATTTTTTTGCTCTTCCCTGTAGTCTTTCAAGAGTCTCAATATCTTTTTTATATTGTGGTAACCAGAATTGGATGCAGTATTCCCAAGTGTGGCCTTACTAAGTCTTTGTAAAGCAGTATTAGAACTTCACGTGATTTTGATTCTATCCTTCTTTTAATTCAGGCTAGGATTGCATTGGCTTTTTTTGGCTGTTGCCACACATTGTTGTTCCCTCCATGTAGATGTTGTTCTGTTGTGGAGTATATGTTGAACACAATTTGTCAGTCGGTAAAAACCCACCTACTGGTTATGCTATCTATCTCACATTTTATTAGTTTGCCAAGAAATAGATTGTGGTCTACTTTATCAAATGCTTTATTGAAATTGAAGTATCCACAGCATTTTGCTGATCTACTAATTTGAAATACTTTGGCCACCTAATGAGAAGGAAGGACTCACTGGATAAGAGCTCCAGTTTTGAATCATTTCTAAAATACTTCGCTCCCTTATTGGATGTTGGTCTTTTGTTGGAAGTATAGATGAAAACACCACTTGTGTTCCTAATTCTTTAACTTGCTTCCTTAGCTTGCTATTGTTTTTTGATTCATTGTTCTATTATTGGTGCCCCCGCATGTAGAAGAAGGAGAAGAAATGTGTATTAATCCATGGGGTTGATTATTTTAGCAAGGTTCTCAGTGGTATCTTTGATTTTTGTTCCAGGGAGACAACATACCTGCCTAGATTGACTGTTCAATCTGTAGACTATAGCTTCTATTCCTCTAAGAATTTTCAAGGAAAAGTATCTCTTGAATTATTGGTTAAATATCAATATGGCATTATATCACTGCATCTCAAAGAAGATTAAAGCAGAACTATTTTTAAAAACAACAATAATACAGATTAAGTATAATGTTTGATTCAATAGGGGTAGAAGGGGAAGGACAAATAAAACAAACCAATTGTAGCTAAGATCATGGATGTATGATGTTCCCAAAAGGTTTTCAGAAGTATTCAAAGGTTGTGTGAATTTCATGGAGTGGCCATTGTGTAGAGTGGTCCAGAGCAAGATGACAAGTCTGCCAGATGCTTCAACGGGTCAACTGAAGTCCCAGTAGACACATTCTCAGAACCACCTCAGTTTCATCCATGTTGTAGCCTGAATCCAGTTATAGAAAGACACTTGACCCAATTCATTCTAACTCTGATTTATGTTACTATGGCTTAGCATTCTATGTGATCCTATCCCACATTTTTCGCTTGTCATTTGTTGCAGTGAACTGCTTGTTGTGTGAAAGCAGCCTTGATCAACTTTAGCACACAGAACAGGACTCAATGTAGTCTAAAATTCATGAAATTGTGGTGTGTTTTTTTTTTTTTTTTTTTGCCTCAAAGCATAAAGTCTCTATGTCCATTGAAGTCAGGAATCAGGGCAGGCACTGTGAGGAAAACAAATTCTTAGAGGAGTAGAGAGTATTAGCAATTTCTAAAAGTTTCTTTTCATTCAGCTTCTTCCCTATTTGAGGAACGTTCAGTTCAACAACAGTGCTGGAGATGAAGTCTCCTTCTCAGAAAATGGCCTGGGATCTGCTCGTTATGATCTTTTCAACTGGGTTCTGCTCCCCAACGAATCTTTTGTCCCTGTGAAAGTTGGACAAATAGATCCCGGGGCTCCCGCAGGACAGGATTTCACCATTAACTCTGATGCAATTGTCTGGGCAAAAAAGGTGAGCTGGAAGGTAAAATAAGTGCAGCAAAAGAGTCATTCTCTTCCGGGGATTCAAAATATCTCCCTTACTGAAGAACGGGTTACTGAAGCAAAAATTTGGCAACCGTTTGATGAAAAAGCTGTTTTGTATGCAACGTATTTGAGATCTGATTTGTGACAGATCAAAAAGAATTAAGATCAGGAAGAAATTCTGCCTGAAATCCAGGATGCAGATGGAGCAGCCAAGAGAGGTTTCCATCAACCATTCCCATTCAGTTGGATCTCCATCGCTGTTTGCTTCAGAAAAGCTATAGCTCAATTCACGACCTTTCTTTTGCATGCCAAGCCCCAGTTCCAAGCCCCAGAATCCATTGGTGGTTTAGAATAGCACAAGCCTTAATCCCCCCAGCAGCTTTTCCTGATTTGTGGTACATTAGAGTTAATCGTTGCTCTTGAAGATATTCTAATGATGGAAAGAGAAATATAGAAAAGAATAAGTGAAGCACATTCATTGCTGAAGACATCTCATGCATTTCTCTTTTCTCTTGTAGAAGGTGCCCTTTGCCAGGTGTGGCATGAAGAGGTGCCAGGCAGGAGAGAGGAAAAGAGTTCCAGAGGGCGAGCAGGTTTGCTGCTACCAATGTGACCCTTGTCCAGAAGGGACCATTTCTAACCAGACAGGTAGAGGAAACTTTCAATGTAGATCTTCCAGGGTCAAGGAAACCATTCAGTAGAGAGAAATATCAATTTTGTTGTCATTTTTTTGTAGATTGACATTCTTCAACATAGTCATGATTTTCAGGAGAACCTCTCTATTCCTGGATCTAAACTGGCCTCCCCTCATCCCCCCACCAAGCCCCTTTCCTGCTCCTCAGCAATTTAGTGCAGGGCAGTTTCAGAGCACAATTCATAAGTTACCCACTGGGCTTTCTAGTCCTACTCTTACAACTAACTACGTCCAGGAAAACCAGATACCAAACTTTTCAGGAAGCAATGGGCTCGAGGTTGAGGCTTTGCTTTTCATTATTTAGGGTGTGTTTTTCTGTCAATGCTATCAGTCTCCCAGGAGAGAGACAGATCTGTTGGAGAAGAGGGAGATCCATCTAACTCAGTCTGCCTACCCTTCCCTGCAAAGATAGATAGATAGATAGATAGATAGATAGATAGATAGATAGAGAGATAGAGAGATAGAGATAGAGAGAAAGAGATAGAGATAGATAAATAGATAGATAGACAGACATAGAGATAGAGATAGATAGATAGATAGATAGATAGATAGATAGATAGATAGATAGATAGATAGATAGATAGATAGAGATAGATAAGAACTGTGTTTTGCAACGGCTCATTCAGACTATATATATACAAAATACAAAGTAGAGAATTTGATCACAAAAAGTGGAAACATCCTTGTCTCAGACTAGCCTATTCCCAGAATATTCAATATTGAAGAATGATTTCTTCTTTGATATTCCATGATATGCAAAGTACTCTTGATTTCAGATTCTGCAAGTTGTGATCCCTGCCCAGAAGACCAATATCCCAACAAGGAGAAGGACCACTGCGTTGCCAAGAAGATCCACTTCCTTTCCTATCAAGAAACCTTGGGATATACTTTGTCTTCTCTCACACTTTCTCTCTCGATGACCACATTAACTGTGCTGGCAGTTTTCCTTAAACATCATGATACACCGATTGTCAAGGCCAACAACCGAGATCTCACCTATATCCTCCTGGTCTCCCTCTTGCTCTGCCTCCTCTGCTCTTTCCTTTTCATTGGTCGACCCAGGAAGATCACCTGTCTCTTCCGACAAATTACCTTTGCCATTCTTTTTTCCCTGGCAGTTTCCTCTGTGTTGGCAAAAACTGTCATGGTGGTTCTGGCCTTCATGGCTACCAAACCAGGGAACAGGGCAAGGAAACTCTTAGGAAAACCACTGACCAACTCCATTGTCTTAGCTTGTCCCCTGGTCCAAGCAGTTCTTTGTGCCACCTGGTTGGTAACCTCTCCCCCATTTCTCAACTTTGACTTTCGCTCCTTGGTGGGAGAGGCCATCTTGGAATGTAGCGAAGGTTCAGCTTCTATGTTTTACACTGTCCTCTCTTACCTGGGTTTCTTGGCCCTCGTCAGTTTCACTGTGGCCTTTTTGGCTAGGAAATTGCCTGACAGCTTTAATGAAGCCAAGTTCATTACTTTCAGCATGCTGGTCTTTTGCAGTGTTTGGATCACTTTCCTCCCCACCTACCTGAGCACCAAAGGGAAGTCCATGGTGGCCGTGGAGATCTTCTCCATCTTGGCCTCTGGGGCTGGTCTCTTGGCTTGCATCTTTTTTCCCAAATGCTACATTATTCTATTCAGGCCCAATCTTAACTGTAGGGAAAATATGATAAGGCCCAAAAATCTCTAACTGATGCATGCCTGGGAATGTTTTAAAATTTTTCTTTGAGGTATATTTAGTATCTTATGTCATTTTAAAAACATGATGACAGAGAAAGAGGAACACGTCCAGTAAACAATCCCTTACCAAGTGGTATAAGTGATTACAATAAGAATCACTTGTCTGAGGTGGGCAGATATAGAAATTGAATGAATCAGTCAATGAATGAATAAAGGGACCTGCTATCAGCAATTATCATGCAGCTTTTTTATCCCATATCCCAGTTTTCCACATTGTCGCCCAGTTTACTATGTAAAAAGAAAGCTTGCTGTTATATATAAATTCATTATTCCAAGAAGGATATTCTCTAATTTCTCTAAACATATGTACCTGGGGATTCAGAGGCTGCTGTAGGGATATTCTGAGAAGAATTACAATGGGCCTCAGGGAGATGCAAGAACACTTTTAAAAAAAATTCTCAGTTTGTATATTACCTCATGGTATGGCATGCCGGCTTGACAGTGACGGATAGAAAAACATAACACCGGAGGGAAGGTTGGTGTTGTGGCAAGGGAAAATAATTAAAGTGGACTCATAAAGCAAAGCACAGAACTTTCATGACGAAGTGATGGGTACAGAAGGAGGAAATAGGATAAAAAATACTTACAATGTAAAAAATTAGGAGAATCATTTGTAGCATTAGCGGAAGAAAAGAAAAGAGGAATAGTGGTGTACATTAGAGAAGGAATAGAGGGTAATTTGAGATACGCAGATGCAGCAGGAAGAATATTGATGATAGAAGTAAAATTAGAATATAAAAATGTTTTATTGGTGGTCATCTATGCGCCGAATAATGGACAGTTAGAATTTTATAAAAAAGTACATGAAAAGATATTAGAAGAAAAAACAGAGAATATATGTCTAATTTGCGATTTCAGCGCAATTGTAGATGTAAAAAAGGATTATAGCAGTAATCAGAATAATAATAAAAAAAGAAAAATGTACGCCCTAGAACTTTTATGGACTTAGTAGAAGAATTAAATTTAATAGATAGTTGGAGATTCTATAACCCCGAGGTAAAGAAATTTACATATTATTCTAATGTTCACAAGTCCTGGTCCAGAATAGACATGGTATGGATAACTAAGACACTTATTCAAGAGATAGAAACAATAGAAATAATGTCAAACAATTGGGCTGATCACAACCCGGTAATGTTGATATGGAAAGGACATCCATGGAAAAAGAGGAGATGGACGTTGAGCCCACAGATACTGAAGGAAAAGGAATATATAGAGCAAATGAAAAAGGAATTAGAGTTGTTTTTTTGAGACAATACAAAATACCATACCTCCCTTCAGAATCTGTGGGATACAATGAAAGCTTATGTGAGAGGATTAACAATAGCCTACCGTGCAAAAAGAAAAAAAGGAAAGGGAAAATGAATATAAGAATGTGCAGGAAGAGATTAAAAATTGGGAAGAAAAATTTCAAGATAAACCTGGGGATGAGCAAATTAGAGGTAAATGGTTAGCAGCTAAACATAAATTGAATATATTGGAACAGGAAAATTATGCAAAGGCATTGAAATTTATAAAACAGAATTATTTTGAACATGCAACTAAGCCAGAGAGGTGGCTTGCTTATAGATTAAGAAAAGAAAGGGAGAAAAGAACAATTCAGCAACTACAGGATAAAAGGGGTAAAATGCAATATAGTTTAGAAAAGAAAAAGGGGATAGCATATCAATTTTTTCAAGAACTCTATGAGCAAGATAAAGTGACAGAGGAGGAAATAAATCAATATCTAAATGGGGAGGGAATGTTGGCTTTAACAGAGGAAGAAAGGGAGATATTAAATAGGGATATCACTATAGAAGAATTAAGAGAGGCGATTAAGAAACAAAAAAAATAATAAAACCCCAGGGACGAATGGACTACAAAGTGAATTCTATAAAGGACTAGGAGAAGCATTGGATTGGATATTATTAGAAACCTGTAATGGGGCATTAATAGAAGCAAAGCTACCAGATTAGTGGAGAGAAGCATACATTTCATTGATACCAAAGGAAGGAGCAGATATAGCACAGATAAAAAATTATAGACCAATCTCTTTATTAAACACGGATTACAAAATTTTTATGAATATAATGGCAGACAGGATGAAAAAAAATACTAAATTATAGAATACACCCAGACCAAAATGAGTTTTTACCAACAAGACAAATAAAAAATAATATAAGAACTGTAATTAATGTATTAGAATATTACGAGGTGCATCCAGAGAGGCAGGTAGCCCTGGTCTTTCTGGATGCCCGAAAGGCTTTTGATCAGGTCAGATGGCAATTTATGCTTCAGCAAATAAAAAACATGAAATTTGGGGAGAGATTTGAAAATATAATAGCCTCCATATACACAAAACAAAAAGCAAGTATAATAGTAAATGGAGATTTTACAAACTTTTTTGACATAAAAAAGGAGTATGGCAGGGATATCCGCTTTCACCCTTACTCTTCATCCTGACATTGGAAAATCTATTGATAAAAATTAGATCAAACAAAAAGATAAAAGGATTGAATGCAAAACGAGAGGAATACAAGGCCCAAGCATTTGGGGATGACCTTGTATTCTTCATAAAAGAACCATTAGAAACAGGACCAATATTGACAAGAGAGATAGAGAAATTGGGGAAGGTAACTGGCTTAAAAATTAATAAAGATAAGACTAAACTGTTAACGAAAAATGTAGCAGGAAAACAAAGAGGGGAATTAATTAAAGAATTAGGATTACAAGTAGTAAAAAAGATTAAGTATTTAGGCATATATTTGACAGCCAAATCCTCAACTATAAAGGAGAATAATTATGTAACTTTAACAAATAAAAGAGGATTTAGAAAAATGGGGGAAACTGAAATTATCATTATTAGGAAGGATAGCGGCGATAAAGATGAACATTCTGCCGAGGCTGCTTTATTTATTTCAGACGATTTCAGTAAAATTAGACAATTTTTTTTTTGTAAATTTGAACAAGATAACTACAAAATTTGTGTGGGAAGGAAAAAAGGCAAGAATTAAACTAAGTACTTTGCAGGATGATAGAGGCAAAGGTGGATTTGGACTCCCAGCGTGGGAGACATATTATAGAGCAACAAGTTTGACATGGATCAGGGAATGGGTGAATCTGAAAAATCAAAGACTGTTAACCTTGGAGGGACATGATTTGTTGATGGGGTGGCACGCCTTCTTGTGGAAAACCAGGAACAAAACACATAGGTATTTTTGCAATCATATATTAAGAGATTCATTAATTTATACATGGCAGGAAATTAAAAGGAAACACTATATGAAAGTTCCTGGATGGTTATCCACAGTGGAGGCGATGATACACCCCAACACCTTAGAAATTCAAAAAATGGTAACATACTATGAAATTTTGGATTCTCAAGGAACATTAAAAACACGAGAGGAACTCAGAGATTAAGGGATACAGATAGATTGGTGGCCCTATCTTCAGATAAAAACAAGATATAAAAAGGATGAAGAGGAAGGAGGAATTGAATTAAAACCGAATCAGTTGGATAAACTTTTAGAAGCCACAGAGGAAAAATTGATTTCAAAAATTTACAAATATCTATTGGAATTTGATCTAGCAGAGGAATTAGTAAAGGGGCAAATGATAGCATGGGCAAGAAATATTGGGCATAATTGGACGACTGGGAAAAAGTTTGGGAAAATAACTATATTATAACAAATCAGTGATTTATACAGAGAATCAATACAAAATGTGGTATAGATGGTATCTGGCCCCTTTGAGATTAGCAAAAATGTATTCAAATTTAAGTCCAACCTGTTGGAAGTGCAAACAGGCACAGGGTACTTTCTTCCATGTCTGGTGGCTTTGCCCAAAAATTAGGAAGTATTGGGAAAAAGTAAGAATTTGGCTAATAGAAATAACATCGGAAAAAATAGAACTCAAACCAGAGATTTTCCTACTAGGGATGATTAAAGAAAACTATAGGAAAGAAATAAAGTATTTAATATTACACATAGTCACTGCAGCCAGATTGGCTCTCGCCCAATATTGGAAAACTGACCAACTGCCAACCGACCAATGGATAATCCAAAAAATCTATAATTGCACAGAAATGGACAAACTAACATTTGAAATGAAGGACAAGGTAGACTCAAAATGTTATATAGCGTGGAATAGGTGGTATGATTGGATTACTCGTAGAAATGAGAGTAAATGAAAAATTTTGTATGATAATAATAATTAACAAATATGCACCGTTAATAAGATAATGGACATGTGACCAAAGTCACTTTTTCTTTTTATGTATTGTCGTTTGTATTAATATATATGTATCTTGTATATACATAGTATAGTACTTTACTTTTATATGTTTAATAAAATTTTGTTTTTAAAACCAAAAAAAAAAAAGAAAAGAAAAACATCACAGAGGGTGGTGAGCACAGCACAAAACATCATGGGCTGTTCCCTGATACCACTTAGAGGTCAACTTCCTCATAGCCATGGCCCATTTTAAATAAGGCAAAGTCAACGACCAGCTAGTTTTGCAAAATTGCCATTCTTGGATATTTTTGCTGTTCATTTAAGAGAGTTGTAGTCTTTGAAGTCTTAGGTATACGTGTTATGTGTAGTTTTGGACAAACTAACTAACATGAAATGTAGTTAGGTGTCTAATTGCAGAGGGCCCTCCTGAGGCTGGAAAGTATGAAAAGACACTCTCCACACAATAAATAACATCTCTTTGGTAACTACCCTGTTTCCCCAAAAATAAGACATCTCCTGATAATAAGTCCAATCGGGCTTTTGAGCGCATGCGATAAAATAAGCCTCCCCCCAAAAATAAGCCCTCCCCCAAAATATTTAAACAGACAGCTGGAAATCAGGTAAGATGACAAAAGGATCTCTATCTTGCTCCATGTGCCCCAAAATAATAAGACCTCTCCAAAAATAAGGCCAAGCGCTTATTTCAGAGTTCAAAAAAATATAAGACAGGGTCTTATTTTCGGAAAAACATGGTACGTGGGGAGTTGGAACATAGCCAAGCTTGACCTGTTGCTCTGCCCTAGTCTTCTCCATCTTCTTCAATGTTTACTTCAGCCTTGACTGGCTTGGGGATTTCGGCATCAATACAGGCTGAAGGGTTAGGCAGTTAGCAGCCCAATGGCCCTCCTTTCCACATCAGAAGCAGGCCTGTGTGAGGTGACACTGGCCCTCTCTAGTGGCCGATGGAGGCGTTCCTCCCTCTCTGTGCATTGACCAGCGCCTCTCCTTGATCAGCAGGGGTGGCTCTCTTGCACTGCGTGCTGCCTGTACTCCAACAGGTCCAATTCTACTGTGGTAGCGAGTTGATACCACACATGGATCAACTGGGATCCCCCCCCCCAGGAAATTCTAATACAGTTAATCTGTCTTGGAAATTGTGGAACAGTAAGTGCTCTGGCCACCCTCTTAGTCTTCCAGCCAGGCTGCAGAACTCCTGAATGTAATCAACCTCTCCCTACCAATCCAAGTAGTTCCACACCTGGTTTAGGAAGTAAGTGAGCTTCTCTGGCCAACTGTCAAATGTGGCTTCCAAAGGCAGGGGCTCACGGTCTTCCCAGACTATTACGGGAGAAAATATGGGGAGAAACTGACTCAGGCTTAACCATCCAAGACTGAGTGGCTGTGGTTTCCGGCATCCCGATATAGTCAGTTGGAGCCATCACTGACTATTGGGGGTGAGTTGTTGGCCCCCACGGAGAGGGCTCGCAACTTGGGCATCCTCCTGGATTCACGGCTGTCTTTAGAAGAACATTTGACGGCCGTGACCGGGAGGACTTTTCATCAGGTTCGCCTGATCTGCCAGTTGCGTCCCTTTCTAGATTGGGACTCCTTACGCATGGTCACTCATGCCCTGGTCACTTCCCGCCTGGACTACTGTAATACTCTCTACATGGGGCTCCCCTTGAGGAGCATCCGGAGGCTCCAACTGGTGCAGAGTGCGGCCACGGGTGGTTATGGGAGCGACGTGGCGTTCCCATGTAACACCTCTCCTGCGCGAGCTGCACTGGTCTTCCGGGTGCGCTTCAAGGTTTTGGTCACCACCTTTAGAGCGCTCCATGGCTTAGGACCTGGTTATTTATGGGACCGCTGCTACCACCAATAGCCTCCCACCGGCCAGTACGCTCTCATAGAGAGGAGCTCCTCCGGGTGCCATCAGCCAAACAGTGTCAACTGGCGGCCCCTAGGGGGAGAGCCTTCTCTGTGGGAGCACCTGCTATCTGGAATGAGCTCTCCACGGAGATACGGAGGATCCCGGATCTACGCACCTTTCGCCGCGCTCTCAAGACTTTCCTATTTCAACAGGCTGGCCTGGCCTAACTTTTTCTTTTCCCTTTTTAATTCAAATGATGAATTTTAAATTTGTCTTAAAAACATTAGGGTTGTTTAAATTGTCATGGGCCAAATTATTTAATCAGATTTTTTACTGTTTTTTTAAATTTTGTAATTTATGTGTTTTATCTGGCTGTTCACCGCCCTGAGTCCTGCGGGAGTAGGGCGGTATATAAATGTGAAAAATAAATAAATAAAATAAATAAATAAATTACGTAACCTGATGGTATCCCACCACCTGCAGGGTGGCATGAACTTGGGCTCCTTCCATCACAGGGAGCAGTAGGGGTTGCCCAGAAGCTGCCGAAGGGCACCCCACTACCCCCAAGGTCCTGCTATCCTGTGACACACATGCCCCAGTACCATCGGATGGGGAAAATGGAGACTATGTTCGCAACTTCATTGATGCCCCTCCCCACATCTCCATCCTGCTGAACTTCTCCCTCAATTGCTCAATCCAACGGCTGCGAGCCATGGTTGGGGACTTCCACTCTATCGGCTCTTCCCACTCGGCAGCCCTCCTGGCATTCCATTTGGTTCCCCAGGTTATCGCTACTCCCAGTGGAATCAGGGGAAACTCCATCTCAGCAACCTTTCCCACGCCGCTCATTCATTGGGCTTTCGGGATCTGGTAGAGCAGTGGTTCTCAACCTGTGGGTCACGACTCTCTTGGAAGTGCCCAGATAGGCTGCATTCATAATGGAAAGGTTAAGGAGAGTTGGTTTAATGGCAACAATCTTACAAGTGAACCCAACAAAAGGAGTCCTTAAGGCAACTAATGTGAGGGACCTCACGAAGAACGATGGTTCGTTGAGGGCGCTTCCAAGAAAAGGTCAGCACGCAAGGATGCAATCAATTAAGTCTTTATTTAAAAGTAAAAGTGGAGTATGAGTTCCCTGGCATGGAGGCATCCATGCCTGGATTGAGCCCATGGATCAGTCCCATAGGAAGGTAGAACAAGAGCAGGGAAAGACAGAGAGCAGCCCCTGTGCAGGGGTTCTTATAGGGGCCCCTGGCCCCTCCCTTACCCATGTGTGTGAGGGGGCTGGAGGGCCATTAACTCTCCCCAATGGGGCTGCAGGGGCTGGAGCCCCACGACCCACCAGTGGGATCAAAGGTGCCTCTTCGCTCCCATCTGGTGGCCTTTGAAGAGACTGCCATGGCTGGCACAAAACACCTAACAATTAAGTCCCAGTGAAACCAACTCTGAGGTTTCCTGCACAAAAGTTTGCTTAGTTAAACATTAGATTCCCATTCCCCCACCCACAGACTGTTCACATTGTCCAATAGTAATATTTATTTCTGTTATGGGAACAGTTCACTTCTCCATCGAGCACCTGCGTCAATGACCTTGGTATGGTACAGGCTCCTGTGGTCCATGAATGGCTTCTTGGCATTCCATTCCCTCCCGTCTTTTCTTTGGCAAGATGATGAAGCTAACAAGCATTGTAGCAATAAAATCTTGACAATAATTAAAGCAGTTATTGCATCTATTGGTATGATTGCTCACACTTCCTAAGGTACAGCTCACTGCCATCATGCCTCATTAGCACCCATTCTACCTGAAGATACCATGGCACAGGCCAAACTCCATCTTGTGTGCAGGTGTTAACTTTCAGTTAGTTCAAAAAGTCAACTTCACCTTGATTCCCACATCCACATCTGTGGATTAGCAACAAGAGACACAAGCATGTTTTTCCCTGTCTGGTGTACAAACAACATCTATTGCCCAATGGATAAGGCAATTGCTTTCCCCTCCGATTATAGAATAACAGTAATTCTTAATGTATTCCCTGTGGATTTCAACCCACAAAAATATTCCAAGGTTAAACCTGCTTTAAAAGATATTCTCTGAGTTCTCCCACTGGTGGAGGATTTTTCCTGGTCCCCCGAAGAGCTAACTGCGGGGTTTGGTGAGACTCAGCTGGCCTTTGTGTCAAAGCCCAAACACAGGTAAGAGAAAGCATGATTGATACAGTATTTTATTGATGGATTAGTCTTGTGACCTTATTAAAATAAAATAATATTTTATTTTATTTTTTATTCTTATAAAGAACGGTTGCTGGAACTGGGTATGTCGAGTCTGATGAAAAGAAGGACTAGGGGTGACATGATAGCAGTCTTCCAATATCTCAGGGGCTTCTCCAAAGCAGAGGGAGTCAAGCTACTCTCCAAAGTATCTGAGGGCAGGACAAGAAGCAATGGGTGGAAACTAATCAAGGAGAGAAGCAACTTAGAACTAAGGAGAAATTTCCTGACAGCGAAAACAATTTATCAGTGGAACAACTTGCCTCCAGAAGTTGTGAATACTCCAACATTGGAAGTTTTTAAGAAGAGTTTGGATAACCATTTGTCTGAAGCCTAAGCAAGGGGTTGAACTGGAAGACCTCCAAGGTCCCTTCCAACTCTGTTATTCTATAAAATAAAACACCACACATACTCTAATTTCAGAATAGGACAGATAGGAAGAAATAAAGTGATAAAGTACAAATGTGTTCATGCAAAGAGACATCAGATAAATTTGACTTGAGGCCATCCAGAAGGCACGGAAGCTGTCTGTTGTGCTACAGCTCTGATGGTATTTCAAATACTCCCTGCAATTCAGCTTCTGCACAAACCGTGATTTCTGATCTAGGAGGGAAGGTGAGAAGAATGACTGGGCTGCCTCTCCTGCTGCTGCTGCTCTTCTGTCTCCTGCCTCCAGTTACCGCTAAGAAGATTCATTCCGTATGTCCATTGAAAAAACATGTAAAATTTCCAAATCAGTGGGAATTTTACAGGCCTGGTGATCTGATCATTGGAGGGAATTTGCCCCTGGCAACTTTCGTGGAGTCCAAATCACAAGATTTTCAAGGGGACCCATTGCGGCTTATTAGTGACATCACGTAAGTTTCACCTGGAGGGAAAAAATGTAGGTGATTGTTTCCTTTTCTTTGGATTCAGGGCCTCTTTTAAGAAAAACTCATTCTAGGGATCCTCAGATCTCTGTCCCTTTCTCAATAAAGAGGAAAGTTCAAGAAACAGTCTAGAATTCTGTCTTTCCAGAACTGATCCTGAGGACAGAGAAGAACAACAGTATATACACAAATTATATGCAGGGAGCAGGACCTGCCTTTCCAGATGTTTTCATCAGGATGATATCAACCATATAAAAGTTGGGAGGGGAAAAATCTTGGAAACCTTGCTGGTTTAGTGAAGAAGTTGACTTATAATATTAATTTGGACATAGTCATATTTTAAAAAAACTCAATTTTTTTTTATCTTTTTCCAATGTGGATATTGTCAAAACAAACAAACAAACATCCTTCTCAGCTTTGGAATCAGCAGAGCTCTTGAATAATGGCCCTTAGCAAATCTGGGCTGTGGTCCCCACTGGAGTCTTCTCCTCAGACCTGTAGAAGCTGCTTCAAGGGTGAAACAAACTGAGTAGGGAGGAAGAGGAGCAATTGGGAAGGATTTCAGCCACTGGAGGAAAGTGAAGAAAGGAGGGAGGATAGAGGGGTATAAAATGATGTGGGAAATGGACGGCCTGGCTTTTCTCCTTTCTTGGAAATCCATCCAAATGCAATCAAGGAACATCCTTAAAAAAGCCAAAACAACCCAATGGAACTTGTCACTTAATGCTGCAAGAACACACAAGAAAGACTAGGCCAACTCCGCCGACACACAAGATCTTTCCTATAATGTTCCCCAATCTTTTTCTCACTGTAGACTCCTACCCAAAAACTACCATCAGTTCCTGGCCTTGATGTTTGCTGTCATGGAGGTGAATAAGGATCTAGTTCTCCTCCCCAACATCACCCTTGGCTTCCGCATCTATGAAAATAAGAAGATGGAGAGGAAGATTTTCTTAAACAGCCTCTCCCTGCTCTCCACACGGCACCGAATGGTTCCAGGTTACAAATGTGACAGGCAGGACCCTCTGCTCTCTGTCATTGGAGGTCACAACTCCGAATCCTCAAGGCAGATGGCCTCCATCTTCAGCATCCCCAAAGTCCCACAGGTAAGTGGGCTGCACTGGATGCAGTTTGGAGCACACAAACAACCAAAGCACACACAGAAGCCAAGGATGTAAGCAAAGGTATTGGGGGGTGGGGGACACACCAGGGGTATATAACTTAGATAATTCACCCTAAAATTGAATTGATTTTTTCTATGTGTGGGAAGTTAGCACCCACCCCTCTTCTAGAAGGATGAAATATTCTGGGGAATATTAAAAAGGCAGAATATTATATTTCCCTCAATGAGAAAAGGAGAAACATGTTTTTAAAAAGAAAGCAGCTTCCTGCGACTCCCTGCCCCCACCCCTTCAGCTCCAGGGTGATGGGATTAAGACATGGCCCCCACAACATGATAGGATTAGCCCTCTACTCATCTTACCACATGGCACCTGAGAAGATTACATCACCCAGCAAAACTCAACCTAGCCTGTGACACAGGGAGCCTTCAAAGTTAGCAAAGACCCCTGCCCCCTGGGAGTCTGACAGCCAATCAGAATACAAGCTCAAATTCAAAGCCGAACAGAGGGTATAAATCTCACCCTCCCTCCCTCCCTCCCTCCCCCCCTCTCTCAACCATGTACTTTTGCCCAGGACCTCAAACCATGTAGTCCTGTCCACCATTAAAAACCTTCTTTCCAATCAGCCACCATGTTTCCAGTGATTTTCTCCCCACTTGGAACTGAACCCAGAAGGATATTTCTTCCAACAAATGTTATATGTCAAGATACATTTTTATATACCGTATTTTTCGGAGCATAAAATGCTCCAGACTATTTTGTGTTTGAGAAATAGATACTGAGGCGACTCACACAGCGAGGTAACCCAACGTCTTTAATAACTCAACATCATGAACAGAACAGAACACCAGCGATCTGACAGCACATTATAGTCAGCTGCAGATCGCTTCCACCAATCAGGAGCAATGGTAAGCCCGTGCTCAGAACGGACTAATCAAAAACAGCCGTTATAACTCATACTTAGTTGCTAGGCAGAATTGCCAACAGAACGGCCAATCATAAACAGCTGTTAGAACTCGTATTTAGTTGCTAGGCAGAATTGCCAACACAACAGCACCTATCTTTTTTGGTAAGGAAAACAAGAAAAAGAAATCTGCCTCTGCCTCCCAGCAATTTTGCCTCGTTGCAGCAAACAGCAAACAGCCTGCTTTACTTTCATTATTGTTTTTAGCATAGCTTGATTAGCACAAAAAAAAAAAAAAATCTGCTCCCAGCAATTTACCTCCTTGCAGCAAGCAGCAGAGGTCGGCACAGCAATAGGCAATGGCAATCTCTGCAGCCTGAAACAGCTGAGAGTCAGGAGGCCGACCCAACCGACAATCAAATTGTGCTAATTAGGCTGTGCTGAAGCTGAAATGGGATGTTTCTTCTTGCTGCTTGCTGCAAGGAGGTAAATTGCTGGGAGGCAGAGGCCAAAGGGTGGGGGCCAGTGGGTGGGCAGGGCTACATTCAGTGTATAAGATGCACCCAAATTTTCATCCCCTTTTAGGGGAAAAAAAGGTGCGCCTTATACTCCGAAAAATACGGTAACTACAAAAAGATACTGACATAATTCTGAAAAGCTGTATTTGCCAAGAGGCATTGCTCCCTGACTTTCATAACAGTTTATCATCTTTCTGCCCCTTTCGGAGCAGTTTATTCTCTGTATCAGGTAGATGCTTTGTTTCTTTAACTTATGATCTATTGCAACCAGGCAAAACAGGTAACTGGTGGCTCCTCCTAAGAAGAAAGGAAGATGAAGCTTGTCACTCAAAGTGAATCAGCCTGACTGGTGGGGCATTAACTACACAATGGTGAGCATTAAAGTCACCATAAAAGTTAACTTTGTTTTTGAAAGAAGATTCTCACTTTCTCTAGCTCGGGGTTGGCTTTGAGTTCACTCAAGGAGACAGAAGCGTTTATCCTTCCTTCTTCCGGATCAATCCTGATGAATCTGCTCAGCATGAGGGTTTAGTCCAGCTGCTCCTGTATTTCCAGTGGAACTGGGTTGGGCTGGTGGCCAACAAAGATGACAATGCGGAACATTTCGTCTCATCTCTGATACCAAAGCTCAAGGAGAAGGAGATCTGCCTGGCCTTCACTGAAATAATGAAATTTGATTTTTACACTGATCAAGATCCAAATTTATATTATATTTTCAACGTTTGGTCTAAAGGTGAAGTGATTATTTTTTTTGGAGACTACAGTAGTATTACATATGCACAGATAGTTGTGTTTGCTTATGAAACACAGAAATATGCATCGTTACTGAAAGTCTGGATCTTTACATCTAGTTGGAAACTTAATGTGATGAACTCTGAAGTTATATTGCTTGTTATAAAGCCCTACCATGGGGCTTTTCATTTTAGGGACCACACCAGGGATGTCTCAGAATTCAGACATTTTCTCTTGTCTTTAGACCCCTTGAACCCACAAGGAGACATCTTTCTCCCTCTATGGTGGGGAAGGATCTTTGGCTGCAACATTTACAAACCAGGAGAGATCCCTTCAAAGGAGGTAAAACCATGTACTGGAGAGGAGAATTTACAGAATGTGCCAACTTACCTGTTTGAAACAAGCATGACAGGTGAAAGTTACAATATCTACAATGCCATTTATGCTGTGGCACATGCACTACATGCAATGCATGGATCAGGAGCACGACCAGCTATGATGAGACTTGGAAAGAGGATCTTAGATGTCCAGTCATGGCAGGTAATCTCTGCTTTTTAATCCAGTCCACAGATCCTTAGAGCCAACATAGAGAGGAAGTATCCCATGTGTAGAACATAGAATAATAGAGTTGGAAGGGACCTCGGAGGTCTTCTAACCCAAGCCCATGCTCAAGCAGGAGAGCTTATATCATTTCAGACAAATGGTTGTCCAGCCTCTTTTTGAAAGTCTCCAGTGATGGAGCACCCACAACTTCTATTCCATTGGTTGACTACTCTCATTGTTATGAAATTTCTCCTTAGTTCCAGGTTCCTTCTCTCCTTAGTTAATTTCCGACCATTGTTTCTTCTCTTGCCTTTTGATGCTTTGGAAAATAGTTTGACTCCCCCATCTTCATAGGAGCCTTTTAAGTATGGGAACACTGCTATCTCCTCACCCCAAGTTTTTGTTTTCATTAGACTAGATGTACCAAATTCATGTAACCATTCTTCTTATGTCATAACCTCCAGTCCCTTAACCGGGTCTAGGACTTTTCAGCTTGAACTCTTGGTGCCGCCTGTTTCTCCACCAGGATTTCACCTCCATGTTATTACGCCTCGGCACTTTAGGCCACGGCCCCTCCATCCCAGTCCCTTCACTGCAGACCATTCATTGCAGTACAGTTCGCATTGGGTTTTTGTGCGCAGAGGACAGTTCGAAGCCAGCCAATTGGTGCAAGGGCTCGGGGGCTTTGGGAGTAGAGTGCAGGCTGCAGTTATGATGGAGGCTCTATCAGTTTGGAGCATCCTGAGGCAGTTGAGAGGATCGCGGGGGAGGGATCCAGCCACAAAATATTAGGGAGGGGGGGCTTCTCCCTGTGGAAGAGGGGGCTGGGGGCTGCCTTAGATTGACTGTTCAGTCTGTAGACTATAGTTTACTATAGTTTAGCCCTGAAAGAAGTGGTGGTGAGGCCCCTCCTCAAGAAGCCTTCCCTGGACCCGGCTGTGTTAGCAAATTATCGTCCTGTCTCCAACCTTCGCTTTGTTGCGAAGGTTGTTGAGAGTGTGGTTGCGCGACAGCTGCCTCAGTACCTGGATGAATCGACCTATCTAGATCCGTTCCAGTCGGGCTTCAGTCCTGGGTACAGCACGGAGACGACATTGGTCACATTGGTTGATGATCTCTGGAGGGCTCGGGACAGGGGCTGCTCCTCTGTCCTGGTCCTATTAGACCTCTCAGTGGCTTTTGATACCATCGACCATGGTATCATGCTGCACCGGTTGGAGGGGTTGGGGGTGGGGGGGCACTGTTTTATGGTGGTTCTCCTCCTTTGTCTCCGACCGGTTGCAGTCTGTGTTGACAGGGGGGCAGAGGTCGACCCCGAGGCCCCTTGTATGTGGGGTGCCGCAAGGATCAGTCCTCTCGCCCCTTCTGTTCAACATTTATGTGAAGCCGCTGGGCGAGATCATCTGTGGTTTTGGGGTGAAGTACCACCAGTATGCTGATGACACCCAGCTGTACATCTCCACCCCAGACCACCCCAATGATGCCCTCGAAGTGATGTCCCAGTACCTGGAGGCCATACGGATCTGGATGGGGAGGAACAGACTCAGGCTCAACCCATCCAAGACTGAGTGGCTGTGGTTTCCAACGTCCCGATATAGTCAGTTGGCACCATCAACTATTTTTTTTTATTGAAAAAGTTTTCAAATACAAATTTCCCCCCCATTTTTCTCCCCCTCCTCACTAACCCCCCCTCACCTCCCATCCCCCCCTGTGACTTCTTCACAACAAAAACCTAATTCATAACAGATTATATAATATTTTACCATCCCCTTACTCCCTCCTCTAAATACTGACCCTTACATGCTAATAATATTATTAATATTATTACTTCCCCCTTTTACCATACTTTTCAAAATAACAGTATATAATAACTTCTAATTTAGCATAATAATATTATTATAACTCCCAATCTAGCAACAATCTGCCTTTTTTTCTCCTCCCCCATACTTATATATATAACATTTCAAAGCAGCCTTCCCCATAAATCTTAATTTAACATTTATTCAACTCTATCCATTTCCTCCACTCCCCTAAATATATCACTTAAACATCCCTTTTCTTAAACTAAACAATCAGTAAACTAACCTATTTCCACCCACTTTCCTACAAAATTACCATGCACAACAATTCTTAATATCTTTAATCTACTGCCCGCCCTGCTAAAAAAATATATATTCCGTTATATATATAAAAAAATCAATGACTTTAAATTTATAATCCATATAATATCTTCTTTGATGTCTTTCCACTGGATTGTTGAGTCCATCATCCATATTAGGGTAACATAGCATCCTGGTTGCAGTAATTGTGGCTTTCATCAGGATTATTAATTCCCATCATCATAATGGGTAACAACCAGATCTTCTGCGTGCCCCAGCATAGCTCTCTTGCCTTATAGCTCAAGATAAATATAATACATTTATCAATAAAAAAAAGAAATCCAAAATAGATAATTCCAATCCAACAATTTAAGGCTCTTTTCACATCCCAAAGTTACAGCATTGCAGAGGTCTGTCACTCTCCTCAGGATAATGTTAACCAAAACTTCGCCTCAACTATCTTTTCATATATTCATTCATTTTTTAAAAATAATTGGCTTCACTGTTGCTTAATTTAGAAATTTTTATTTTTGTGAGACCTATTTCTTTTTTTCTTTTCTTTTTGTGGGTTTGATCTCCATCCTAGTTTCCTTTCTACAAGTTGTATATCAACTGATCGGTTTTCATTCTGCTTTATGACTTGATCTTGTTGGTTTTGCTTTTGTATCTCATATTTCTTTTTTATCAATTGTGTATCAGCTAATTGATTTCCATGCTTGTCTGTGACTTGATGAATCATCACATTAGAGTCCGTTGCCACTTCTCTCATATTTGTAGATAATCCAGCTGAGGTGTCTAAAGAATCCAAAGGCAATTTGTCCACAGCAGCCTCTATAGTTCGATATTTTCCCTTTATTTCCAACTCCTTCTGCTTATCCTGTATTGTGCATAAAGATGTTAAGTTCATTTTCAAAAATTTTTGATAAAATTCTTCCGCTTTTTCAACATTATTTAGTTGGTATCTTTCTCCTTGATATCTCAATATTATGCCAACTGGAGCATCCCACCTGAATAGAATATTTCTTTTTTTAAGCTCAGTCACTAGAAAACCAAATTTCTTTCTTTCCGATAACATCTTGGGCGGGAGCTCTTTGTAAATCCAAATCCTTCTTCCAAACAATTGCAAAGTAGAGTTGAAGGAATTTTGCACAATATTATTCCTTATTTCTTTATCTGTAAAATAAATCACCACATCTCTAGGCAATTGCCTTTGCTTTGCAATCCAGGAATTTATTCTATAAACTCTATCGATCCTACAAAATACTTCCTCAGGTTGAACCTTTAAAATCCCAGCCAAAATTTCAGAATATATTTTCCTTAAATCATCTCTGTTATTTTCCTGCAATCCTCTCAGTCTAATCGCATATTCAGTAAAATTATATTGCATCATTAAAACTTCTCTTTCAATCCGTTGTTGTATGTTTTCTGCATTACAAGTCTTTTGATCAGCGTCCATTTTAGGTTTTTCTTCTGAGCTATTGTCTTGAGTGTTTGTCAAATCATTTTCAACTTTTTGTATTCTATTGTCCAAATTGTCCTCAATTTCTTCCATTTTAGACTCTAATAAATTAGTATTTGCATCCAACTTGATCATAAATTCTGCAAAACCATTAGCCATTTTTATAATCTTTCGATCCAAAGTATCAAACTTTAATTGCACTAATTCTTTAATTTCCTGCTTAAATTTTTCAAAGTTCTGATTCACAATCTCATCCCTTCTTACAATCTCCTCCAAAAGAAATTCAATTATGTTAAAATCAGTTTTCTGAGACTGGAGATTTAGAACTTGTTCACGTAATTTATTAATGGGGGAATCCCCCCCCCACTGCTTGTTTGTCCGGCTTTGTAAGTTTTAATGCCATGTTTCCACACAGACAAACTTTTTTAGAAAAGAAAAGAGAGGCAAAGAAGAGAAAAAAAAAAACTTCTTTCCAACCAAGATCACTATCAGATCTCCAGGAAAAAGAAAACACAAAAGTAGAGCTTTATCTTCAATTGTAGCCAAAGGTATTTATTCCGCTACTTTGTATCTTAGTAGGAAACGGAAGGACTCTCCCTTTCAGCCCCTTCTCAAGCCTCGGCAGTTGCCATTTTTAAAAATTCTTTTTTCCTTTTCCTTTTCTTTCTTCAATAACTGTTATAAAATAAATGAAATACTTGCGATTCAGGGTCACAGGTCCAGCTCACATCCTTTTTAATTATTCTGTTAATTTTGTAGGCTTGTTCTTGTCGCCTAGCTCTGCATAAGCAGAGGTCTCCCAAAGCCCGGAGCGGCGGCGAGGGAAATAGGGAGCTTCATCTGCTTCGTCCCCAAAAGTAAAAAAAAACTTTTGGGGCTATGCAGAGAGCTCTACCTGCCCCCGCCGGCTCTATCTCCATTTCCACATGGAAACAGAGTTTTTTCGAGCCGGCTTTCAGTTATAAAGGCAGCTCTTTACAGGCAATGGGGCTGGCGGTCCCGAGGGATCGTCTGGCGGCAGCGAGAAGCAAACCGGAAGTCCGGCGCCATCAACTAATGATGACTATTGGGGGCGAGTCGTTGGCCCCCACGGATGGGGTTCGCAACTTGTGCGTCCTCCTGGACTCACGGCTGTCTTTAGAAGAGCATATGATGGCCATGGCCGGGAGGATTTTTCATCAGGTTTGCCTGATTCGCCAGTTGCGTCCCTTTCTGGATCAGGACTTGTTACACACAGTCACTCACACTCTTGTCACCTCACGCCTGGACTACTGCAATGCTCTCTACATGGGGCTCCCCTTGAGGAGCACCCAGAGGCTCCAACTGGTCCAGAATGCGGCCGTGCAGATGGTGATGGGAGCGACGTGGCGCTCCCATGTGACCCCCCTCCTGTGCGAGCTGCACTGGCTCCCAGTGGTCTTCCGGGTGTATTTTTATCTTGGCTGTTCACCGCCATGAGTCCCCTGGGAGTAGGGCGGTATATAAATATGATAAAATAAATAAAATAAATAAAATAGTTTCTATTCCCTTAAGAATTTTCAAGGAAAAGTATCTCTTGAATTGCTGGTTAAATATCAATATGGCATTATATCACTGCATCTCAAAGCAAATTAAACAGAACTATTTTTAAAAACAACAATAACACAGATTAAGTATAATGTTTGATTCAATAAGGGTAGAAGGGGGAAAGAGCATTAAAACAAACCAATTGTAGCTAAGATTCATGGATGTATGAAGTTCCCAAAAGGTTTTCAGAAGTATTCAAAGGTTGTGTGAATTTCATGGAGTGGCCATTGCGTAGAGTGATCCAGAGCAAGATGACAATTTTGCCAGATGCTTCAACAGGTCAACTGACGTCCCAGTAGACATATTTTCAGAACCATCTCAGTTTCCTCCATGTTGTAGCCTGAATCCAGTTATAGAAAGAAACTTGACTCAGTTCATTGTAACTCTGATTTATGTTACAATGGCTTAGCATTCTATATGATCCTGCCACATGTTTAGCTTGCCATTTGTTGCACTGAACTGCTTGTTGTTTGAAACAAGCTTTGCTCAACTTTAACACACAGAACAGAACTCAACGTGGTCTAAAATTCATGAAATTGTGGTGTGTTGATTTTTTTTGCCTCAAAGCATAAAGTATAGACCTCTATGTCCATTGAAGTCAGGAATCAGGGCAGGCACTGTGAGGAAAACAAATTCTTAGAGGAGTAGAGAGTATTAGCAATTTCTGAAAGTTTCTTTTCATTCAGCTTCTTCCCTATTTGAGAAACATCCAGTTCAACAACAGTGCTGGAGATGAAGTCTCCTTCTCAGAAAATGGCCTGGGATCTGCTCGTTATGATCTTTTCAACTGGGTTCTGCTCCCCAACGAATCTTTTGTCCCTGTGAAAGTTGGAGAGATAGATCCCGGGGCTCCTGCAGGACAGGATTTCACCATTAACTCTGATGCAATTGTCTGGGCAAAAAAGGTGAGCTGTAAGGTAAAATAAGTGCAGCAAAAGAGTCATTCCCTTCCAGGGATTCAAAATATCTCCCTTACTGGAGAACGGGTTACTGAAGCAAAAATTTGGCAACCGTTTGATGAAAAAGCTGTTTTGCATGCAACGTATTTGAGATCTGATTTGTGACGGAGCAAAAAGAATTGAGATCAGGAAGAAATTCTGCCTGAAACCCAGGATGCAGATAGAGCAGCCAAGAGTGGTTTCCATGGACCATTCCCATTCAGTTGGATCTCCATCGCTGTTTGCTTCAGAAAAGCTATAGCTCAATTCACGGCCTTTCTTTTGCATGCCAAGCCCCAGTTCCAAGCCCCAGAATCCATTGGTGGTTTAGAATAGCACAAGCCTTAATCCCCCCAGCAGCTTTTCCTGATTTGTGGTACATTAGAGTTAATCGTTGCTCTTGAAGATATTCTAATGATGGAAAGAGAAATATAGAAAAGAATAAGTGAAGCACATTCATTGCTGAAGACATCTCATGCATTTCTCTTTTCTCTTGTAGAAGGTGCCCTTTGCCAGGTGTGGCATGAAGAGGTGCCAGGCAGGAGAGAGGAAAAGAGTTCCAGAGGGCGAACAGGTGTGCTGCTACCAATGTGACCCTTGTCCAGAAGGGACCATTTCTAACCAGACAGGTAGAGCACACTTTCAATGTAGATCTTCCTGGGTCAAGGAAACCAGACAGAGACAGAGACAGAGACAGAGACAGAGACAGAGACAGAGACAGAGACAGATACAGATACAGATACAGATACAGATACAGATACAGATACAGATACAGATACAGGGAGGGAGGGAGGGAGGGAGGGATGGATGTAGGTAGGTAGTTACGTAGGTAGATACTGTATTTTGCATCGGCTCATTCAGACTCATGAGTCGATGCAAAATACAACGTAGAGAACTTAATCCCCAAAGGTGGAAACATCCTTGTCTCAGACTAGCCTATTACCAGAATATTCAATATTGAAGAATTATTTCTTCTTTTTGATATTCCGTGATGTGAAAAGTACTCTTGATTTCAGATTCTGCAAGCTGTGATCCCTGCCCAGAAGACCAATATCCCAACAAGGACAAGGACCACTGCATTGCCAAGAAGATCCACTTCCTTGCCTATGAAGATGCCCTGGGATATGCTTTAGCTTTGCTCACACTTTCTTTCTCTGCAATCACATTGGGAGTCCTGGCAATTTTCCTTAAACATCGTGACACACCAATTGTCAAGGCCAACAACAGAGATCTCACCTACATCCTTCTGGTCTCCCTCCTGCTCTGCTTCCTCTGCTCCTTCCTCTTCATTGGTCGACCAGGGAAGATCACCTGTCTCTTCCGACAAACTGCCTTTGCCATTCTCTTTTCCCTTGCAGTTTCCTCCATTTTGGCAAAAACTGTCATGGTGGTTCTGGCCTTCATGGCTACCAAACCAGGAAACCAAACTAGGAAACTCTTAGGAAAACCACTGACCAACTCCATTGTTGTAGCCTGTCCCCTGGTCCAAGTAGTTCTTTGTGCCACCTGGTTAGTAACCTCTCCCCCATTTCCCAATTTGGATTTCCATGCCTTGACTGGGGAAGCCATTTTGGAATGTAATGAAGGCTCAGCTTCAATGTTTTACGCTGTCCTCTCATACCTGGGTTTCCTGGCCTTTGTGAGTTTCACAGTGGCTTTCCTGGCTAGGAAATTGCCCGACAGCTTTAATGAAGCCAAGTTCATTACTTTTAGCATGCTGGTCTTTTGCAGTGTTTGGATCTCCTTCCTCCCCACCTACCTGAGCACCAAAGGGAAGTCCATGGTGGTTGTGGAGATCTTCTCCATCTTGGCCTCTGGGGCTGGTCTCTTGGCTTGCATCTTTTCCCCTAAATGCTTCATTATCCTATTCAGACCCCATCTTAACTGTAGGGAGAATATGATAAGAACCAAAAATCTCTAACTGATGCATGCCTGGGAATGTTTTAAAATTTTTCTTTGCGGCATATTTAGTATCTTATATCATTTTAAAAACGTGATGACCAGAAAAAGAGGAACACGTTCATTAAATAACACCTTATCAAGTGGTATAAGTGATTACAATAAGAATCACTTGTCTGAGGTGGGCAGATATAGAAATTGAATGAATCAGTCAATGAATGAATAAAGGGACCTGCTATCAGCAATAATAATGCAGCTTTTTTATCCCATATCCCAGTTTTCCACATTGATGCCCAGTGAGCTATGTAGAAAGAACACTTGCTGTTACATATAAATTCATTATTCCAAGAAGGATATTCTCTAATTTTTATTTCTTTTAATTAGATCTTTCACTATATTAGTCTTTTAAAAGGTTAGATTCCATATCAATGTTTCTCTGTGTATATAATTGTTACCATAGTCTTCTGAAACTTTGTAGAATTTCCTGTTTCGATTCCTTTCTTTTTTCATAGTAAAGATTAAATTCTCAACTTCCTACCCAAATCTGCTCATCAATGTGGTGGAGTTTTGTGGTTGCAATTAGAAAATAATATCACTACTTCCTGGAGGAAAATTAAGGGTAAATTTTATTCTTCAATCCCCTCTTGGCTGGTCCCACTCGAAGCTATAACGTATAGGCCTCTATATAACAAAGAAAATCATCTCTCTTACCGGGAACTTTTGGACCCCCATGGTAGTCTGAAATCAAGAAAGGAGTTGGAGTTGCAGGGAAGACAACTGGATTGGTGGGCTTATGCCCAAATTTGCTCGAAATTTAAAAAAGATAGGGAACAAGATGGTATTAATTTGAATCAGCATGATCTGGACAATATCATTCTAGGAAAAGAGGACAAAATGTTATCAAGGATATATAAACTTTTAATAGACTATTGGATAGGGGATGAAATAGTTAAAGACTCTATGATTGCCTGGGGGAGAAATATTGTCTATCCAATTGATTTGACAAAATGGGAAGAAATCTGGCTTAAACATATGAAATTCCTGTGGGCAACATCATACAAAGAAAATGTGTACAAGATGCTGTATAGATGGCACCTTCCACCTGCTCGTCTTTCTAAAATGTATTCAAATCTCTCACCAAACTGTTGGAAGTGTGGGGAGATTGGCACCTATTCCCACATGTGGTGGACCTGCTCCAGGACGACTGAATTCTGGAAAATTATACAGGCACGGATCATGGAAATCACCGGTTATAACCTAATTCTGAAACCAGAGTACTATCTACTGAACATCAGGCCAGACAACATAGGCACAAATATATGGTGTCTGTGTGTATTTATCACCACGTCAGCAAGAATATGTTTCGCTCAACATTGGAAGGGGAAAGACCTGCCGGCTGAAGATTTGATTTTGGAGAAAATTTTGGATTATGTGGAAGCCGACAGACTGACTAAAGCATTGAGAGATCAAAAGGACTCCGTATATTTCCAATGTTGGGACAAATGGTACATTTGGTTGAACAACAGATGCCCAAAAAGTCAAGTATAACCAGGATTATGTTTAATATATGTTAAATCTGACTGAAACCTACGTACCGTAGAAAGTGTAAATATCATGTAAAGTTCCTGTCGCGATCATTTGTTTGACTATTTCTTTTTTGTGATGTATTGTTTTAAATAAATAAATAAATAAATAAAAAGAAAAAAAAGAAAATAATATCACTACACACATGTTATTTTAACAATCCCTTTTGCCATGTCATATCTCAGAGCTTCTCAGTAAAGATTATGTTTTATGATAACTGGGTCCCCTGAGAGAACAAAGAGATGCACTGATATTTATACATTTCAGAAAGGAGAAAATGATGTAAGAATGATTCATTCTTGAAATGATTCAAGCATGTATATTCATAAGTAATACTGTAATGGATTTCAGGTTTCTTCCTACTCTTTTGTTACCTACCGAGAATTTAGTTAAAATAAACATATGCATCCGGGGATTCAGAGGCTGCTGTAGGGATGTTCTGAGAAGAATTACAATGGGCCTCAGGGAGATGCAAGAACACTTTTTTAAAAAATTCTCAGCTTGTATATTACCTCACTGTATGGCATGCTGGCTTGACATCAGAGGATAGAAAAACATTACAGAGGGTGCTGAGCACGGCACAAAACATTGTGGGCTTTTCCCTGATACCACTAGATGAGATCGCTAGGGCTCACTGCCTTAGAAGAGAGAGGAAAATTCTCAGGGACGACTCTCACCCGGGTCATCACTTCTTTACCCTCCTACCGTCGGGAAGAACCGTTTTTATCTGTGGGCTGTCAGACTCCTGGATGCGAAATAACATCATAACTACGTAGTACGATGGACTTGCAGGGCCAGTGCAGCATGAAACATGTTCACACTGGTGCAATAGGACTTGGTGTTTTGTTAATATGATTTATTGGCTTAGGGATTTTCTGTTTTCACTGTGAGTTGTATTGTGTTTGAGGGGTTAACTAAGGGAGCTCCACCAATCTCATTGTACATATGTTGTGCAGTGACAATAAAGGTTATTATTATTATTACCTACTCCCATCAAACTGAAAACTGATTTTCCCCACCGTCTGTTTTTCCTTTTGACCTCTTAGAGGTCAACTTCCTCATAGCCGTAGCCCATTTTAAATAAGGCAAAGTCAACGACCAGCTAATTTTGCCAAATTGCCATTCTTGGATATTTTTGCTGCTCATTGAAGAGAGTTGTCGTCTTTGAAGTCTTAGGTATACATTCTGTAACTATAAAAACCATATTTTTTATATATTACGAAAAGCACGGGCTGCAAAAGCTGGTGCACCAACTATGGAAATAGCAGGCCCATAAATACCTTTGACATTTAACATTCCTATGAGGTAATCATATCTACTGTGAAGTGGGGAGCTTTCAGTGGGGTACCGACTTTTGGGCACTGCCTTGGACTTGAGTTATGTGTAGTTTTGGACAACTGGAACTGCATGAAATCTAGTTAGATGCCTAATTGCAGATGGCCCTGCTGAGGCTGGAAAGTATGAAAAGACACTTTCCACACTGTAAATAACATCTCTTTGGTAACTACCCTGTTTCCCCAAAAATAAGACCTCTCCTGATAGTAAGTCCAATTGGGATTTTGAGCGCATGCGATAAAATAAGCCTCCCCCCGAAAATAAGCCCTCCCCGAAAATATTTAAATGGAGAGCTGGAAATCAGGTAACACGGCAAGAGGAGTCCTATCTTGCTCCACACGCCCCAAAATGGCGCTCTCTACATGGGGCTGCCCTTGAGGACCACTCGGAGGCTTCAGCTGGTGCAAAATGCAGCTGCGCGGGTTGTGATGGGAGAATCCCGATAATCCCATGTAACACCTCTCCTGCGCGACCTGCATTGGTTGCTGGTTGCCCTCCGGGTGAGATTCAAGGTGCTGGTGATGACCTATAAAGCCCTACATGGCTTAGGCCCAGGATATTTGGCGGACCACCTGCAGCCAGCAACAACATCCCATCGCCCGGTTTGTGCCCATAGGGAGGGCCTGCTCAGGATGCCGTTGGCAAGACAATGCCAGCTGGCGGCCCCCAGGGGTAGAGCCTTCTCTGTGGGTGCGCCCACCCTCTGGAATCAACTCCTCTTGGGGCTCCCTGACCTTCGCACCTTTCGCCTCGAATTAAAAACCTGGTTATTCGAGTCCCCCCGCCTGGACTGATGGGGTTTTATACGGGTTTTTAGCTTATCTGATTTAATTAGGCATTTTAACTTTGTATAATGGATTATTGTGGTTTTTATTGTTGTGAGCCACCCTGAGTCCATTGGAGATAGGGCGGCATATAAGCCTAATAAAATAAAAATAAAAAATAAAATAAAATAATAAGACCTCCCCAAAAATAAGGCAAAACGCTTATTTTGGGGTTCAAAAACTATAAGACAGGGTCTCATTTGTGGGGAAAGATGGTACTTGGGGAGTTGGAACCTAGCAAAGCTCGAACTGTTGCTCTGCCCAAGTCTTCTCCATCTTCTTCAGCTTTGACTGGCTTGGGAATTTCGGCACCGATACACACTGAAGGGCTAGGCAGTTAGCAGCCCAATGGTCCTCCTTTCCACATCAGAAGCAGGCCTGTGTGGAGCGACACTGGCCCTCTCTAGTGACCGACGGAGGGCTTCCTCCCTCTCTGCGCATTGACAGGCGCCTTTCCTTGCCTCAGCAGGGGTGGCTCTCTTGCACTGCGTGCTGCCTGTACTCCAACAGGTCCAATTCTACCGTGGTAGCCGGCTGATAACACACATGGAGGTCATCTGCGATCCCCCCCCCCGGAAATTCTAATACAGTTAATCTGTCTCAGAACCTATCATTTAGTTTATATTTATACTTTTTCCAGACACGCAATAGAGCATTTCTTAATATATGACTTTTAAAAGTCTTGTCTACTTTCTTATCATACACTAGGTAAGCATGCCAGCCATAAACCAAACCATATCCTTCAATATTCAATATCTTTTCCTCCGTTAAGTTTATCCAATTTGTGATTGCTGAGAGGGCAGCAGCTTCATAATACAATCTTAAATTGGGCATCTTAAGACCACCTCTTTCTCTAGTATCTTGCAATATCTTTTGTTTGACTCGTGGTTTCTTCCCTGCCCACACAAATTTGTTTATGCCCTTCTGCCATTCCTTCAAGTTCTCATCTTTTTTAAGTATAGGTATCATTTGAAAAAGAAATAGAAATTTTGGTAAAATATTCATTTTTACAGCAGCTATCATTCCCAGCAAAGACAGTTGTAGTTTTTTCCAGTTGTCCAACTCTTTCTGTATTTTGTGCCATAATGGTTCATAGTTGTACTGATATGATTTCGTATTTGCAGTCATAATATAGACCCCCAGATATTTAACCTTCTTAACTACTTCAAATCCTGTTAACCTTTCTATCTCTTCTTTTTGGCTCCTAACCGTATTTTTAGCTATTATTTTTGTTTTAGCTGCATTTATTTTAAAACCAGATACTTGTCCATATAAGCAGGTTATATCCATCAAAGCTGTAATCAATTGTACCGGTTGGGTTAAGGTAACAACCAGGTCATCCGCAAATGCTCGTACCTTGTATTCATGCTGTCTAATTTTAATTCCCTTAATTGTATTCATCTCGTGTATCTTGTTTAATAAAATTTCCAGCGTCAAAATAAACAATAACGGGGACAAGGGACAGCCTTGCCTTGTTCCTTTTTCTATGTTAAAAACATCTGTTAAACCACCATTAACTATTATTTGCGCTGTTTGTTTTTGATATATTGCCTTAATAGATTGTACAAATTGTTCTCCAAATTGCATCCTTTCTATTAGTTTTAGTAAAAATCGCAAATTCAATCTATCAAAGGCTTTCTCAGCATCCAAGAACACAAGCACTGCAGGGACCTGGTTGTTCCTTCCCAAATACTCTAATAAGTTAACAATTTGCCTTACATTACCCTTCATTTGTCTACCATTTATAAAACCAGTTTGATCATGGTGAATCATTTGCTGCATGACTGTCATTAATCTATTTGCCAAAATTTTTGCAAATATCTTATAGTCTGTATTTAATAATGAAATTGGCCTATAATTTTTAGGATCTGTATCGTCATGCCCTTCTTTTGGGATCAACGAAATAAATGCTGTCTTCCAAGTTGGAGGTACCTCTCCTCCCTGTTGTATATTGTTAAATAATTCTTTCAGCGGTTCTATCATTTCCTCCTGTAAGGTTTTATAGTAAATAGCCGTCAAACCGTCCGTCCCAGGAGCTTTACCCACTTTCAACTGCTTAATTGCTAACGCAATTTCCTCAGAAGTTATCGATTGATTTAAACTATCTCTCTGCTCATTTGAAATTGTATAAATATTCTCTTTCTGCAAATATCTATCTATATCTATATCTTTAATTTTATCACCAGTATACAGCCTCGAATAAAACTCTAAAAAAGATTTTTTAATCAATTGTTGCTCATAAACCTCTTTACCCTTATATTTTATTCTCTCTATTGTCCTTGATTTTTGCTTTTTCCTTAACAAATATGCTAACCACCTGCCTGGTGTATTGGCATTGTAAAAAGTATTATGTTTTGCATATCTTAAATTAGTTGCCACTTGATCTGCTATTAACATATTAAATTGACCTTTCAATAAATTGATTGCCTCTTTAATTTTCTTATCTGTTGGATTAGCTACTAAAGCCCATTCCTGTTTACTAATCTCATCTTCTAATTCTTTTCTTTTTGTCCCCTGTTTCTTTCTATATTTATTATTCAAATATATCAAAATTCCTCACATATATGCCTTACTTGCATCCCATACCATTTCCATCGATGTGCCCTTTTGCATATTCATAACAAAAAATTCTTTCATAAATTTTTTACACTCTTTTACATTTTCTTCATACCTAAACAAATTATCATTTAACCTCCAGGACCTCCTAGGCCCTTTCTCATACTCCAATTCCAGCCAAACTGGACTATGGTCTGTCAATGTTCTTGAGCAAATCTTCGTATTTTTCACCCTAGATAAAAGATCGTTAGTAATTAATATAAAATCAATCCTTGAAAAGGATTGATGTCTATCTGAAAAAAAAGTAAAATCTTTTTCTTCCAGGTTTCTTTCACGCCAGATATCTCTCAACTCCCAGTCATCCATCATTTCCCAAAATGCTTTGGGCAATTTTGCTCTTGTTGACACATTTTGTTTAGGTCCCATCTTGTCTTTTTTAACATCCAAAACACCATTCCAATCGCCTAACAGGATACAAGTTTTATATGCCCAGTGTGTCAATTTTGAGTGTAGTAAATTATAAAAGTTTTCTTGTTGTTGATTCGGGGCATAAACTCCGATTATAAGTATTTTTTCTCCCTTTACTAAAAGTTCTATCGCTAAAACTCTTCCTTGATCGTCTGCTTCAATTAATTTAGCAACTAAGTCTCTTTTCAAATATATAACTATACCATTTTTCTTTTCTGGTGCTGCTGCTACGTAAGATGTACCAAGTCTTGCATTAATCAGATATTTTTGATCTTGTATTCTTATATGAGTCTCTTGTAAGCAAATTACTTCATTCTTAAATTGCGTAAGATAGTGAAATATTTTTCTTCTTTTCTGTGGAGAATTCAAGCCATTAACGTTCCAAGTCAAAAATCTAGTTCCCATCTCTGGGCCTTTGGAGCCTCTAAAGCAAGTCCTGATGCTCTGATCTCATTTGAGTTTTAGGTCTTGCTCCCCCCACTGCTCCTGTTCTAGTAGTATCTTGAATCATTTCTTGAGTTGCCATCTGGGATTGTTGCTGTCTTAATTCTTCCTTGAGTCTAGCTGTCACCGATCTGGTCTGTCTTTGATCCTTTGGTAACTGCGAGAAATCAATCAGCGCCAACTCTTGAGTAGCCATTTGAATTTGTAATATTTCTTCTTGATCAGCCAAAGCTCCCCCCTGAACTACTGTCAAGAGCTCTTCTGTCTCAGCTTCCATTACTTCTTTCTTTCTTTTGCCTTCTGGTGATTTAGTTGATTTGGGTGTGCCAGCCTTTAATACATTAGTATGAAAATCTCTTGCTTTCCAAATTGTATTAAGCCGATATCTCTCTCCTGAATAAGTCACCACTAGTCCAGTTGGCACCTCCCATCTGTACTGTATCTGACATTTTCTCAGTTCATCCACCAGAAAGGCATACTCCCTTCTAGCTCTCAAGATCTTAGGGGGGATTTCTTTCATTGTCATTACTTCCTGGCCTTCCACCCGAAGCTTGTTTTTAAAAGTAGCCTGTAAAATTTCGTTGCTTACTCTCCTTGTAGTAAAATATATCACAATGTCTCTTGGTAGATGTTTCTGTCTAGCAATCCAGGAATTAACACGGTACAGCTTGTCCATCTGCCAGCCCAGATCATTTTTGGACTCCCCCACCAGCGGTGCCAATGCCTCAGACATCATTTCTCTCAAATTCTCTTGTTTATTTTCCTTCACCCCTCTGAATCTTAAAGCAAATTCCATATCTCTGTATTGTACCATTATTACATTGTCTTCAGCCCTTTGAATTCTGTTTTGAGCTTCTCCTATTTTACTATCCAAAATTTCAGAAGATTGTTTAATTTCCTCAACTCTGTCATCCACCATCTCAATATTGCCTGCCAGACACTTAAATGCCATTAATATATCATCCCTAATCCCCTGATTGCGAATTGCAATCTCATCTGACACAGCCTGTATCTTTTCATTAGTTTCCTTAATTTTTTCATTAGTTTCCTTAATTTTTTCATCAATCACATCAACAATTTTATTTTGGGTGATTTGGAGAGCTTGTTGCAACATTTCCAACGTTAAAGTCTGTGGATCCGCTGGAGGAGCAGAAACTTGTGATCTAGGAATATGAGCTGGGGAGCTACCAGCACTCCCAGTTCCTTTAGTAGGAACAGTTTTTACAGACTTTGAGGCCATTTCCAGTTTGAAATTAGTCTTTATATTTAATCAGAGTCAAAAAGAAGAGTTCCTCAAAAGATTTCCCAATGTTAATTAACATTTAAAATCCTCCTTCTGTCAGCACAAAAGCTTTTTTTTTCCCAAGCGAAGGGCTGCCAGCAAAACGAAACTTTTCCTGTAACTTTCCATTTCCCCCGCCCTTTCAAGCTTCAATCACCATATTGTTGCAAAGTACTAAGTGATTACTTCCGAAGGAGGCTCTAGGCATTGGAGTTAGGTAAAAAATACTTGCAGTCTGATTTCTCCTTGCTCGTTCCGCCTGCTGTTAGTTCAAGATGTTAATTCCCTCATTTCCATTCAGCAAGATTGGTCACGGCTTCTAATTCCGCTAATTAGCTAATTAGCGGAGACGTCCCTGGTCTGGAGCGGCTTGACAGGCTTTTAGGGAGCGCACGCCCTTCGCGTCCCGGGATTTTTCCTAGGGCGTTCGGGGGGGTTCTACCGCCACCTGCCTGCTCTTCTCTCTCCCCTTTGCCCGGGGAGAGAATTTCAAGCCTCCAGACAGCGTTTGTCGGCTGTTCTGGGGCTTTAACGGAGCCAGGGAGCAGACGCTCTCAAAAGAACGTCTTTCGAGGCTCGCGGAGCCAGCGGAAGTCAGCTCTGATGGTATTTCAAATACTCCCTGCCATTCAGCTTCTGCCCAAATCTTGATTTCTGATCTAGGAGGGAAGGTGAGAAGAATGACTGGGCTGCCTCTCCTGCTGCTGCTGCTCTTCTGTCTCCTGCCTCCAGTTACCGCTAAGAAGATTCAAACCGTATGTCCATTGCAGAAACATGTAAAGTTTCAAAATCAGTGGGAATTTTACAGGCCTGGTGATCTGATCATTGGAGGGAATTTGCCCCTGGAAACTTTTGTGGAGTCCAAATCACCAGATTTTCAAAGGGACCCATTGCGGCTTACTCATAAATTCGCGTAAGTTTCACCTGGAGGGAAAAAATGAAGGTGATTGTTTCCTTTTCTTTGGATTCAGAGCCTCTTTTAAGAAATTCTAGGGATCCTCAGATCTTTGTCCCTTTCTCAATAAAGAGGAAAGCTCAGGAAATAATCTAGAATTCCTTGTCTTTTCAGAAATGATCCTGAGGACAGAGAAGAACAATAGTATATACCCAAAGTATATGCAGGGGGCAGGACCTGCTTTTCCAGATGTTTTCATCAGGATGATTATCAACCATATAAAAGTTGAGAGAGGAAAAATCTTGGAAACCTTGCTGGTTTAGTGAAGAAGTTGACTTATAATATTAATTTGGACATAGTCATAATAAAAAAAAACCTCATTTTTTTTTTATCTTTTTCCAATGTGGATATTGTCAAAACAAACAAACAAACATCCTTCTCAGGTTTGGAATCAGCAGAGCTCTTGAATAATGGCCCTTAGCAAATCTGGGCTGTGGCCCCCACTGGAGTCTTCTCCTCAGACCTGTAGAAGCTGCTTCAAGGGTGAAACAAACTGAGTAGGGAGGACGAGCAGGAATTGGGGAGTAGTTCAGCCACTGGAGGAAAAGTGAAGAAAGGAGGGAGGATAGAGGGGTATAAAATGATGTGGGAAATGGACGGCCTGGTTTTTCTCCTTTCTCAGAAATCCATCCAAATGCAATCAAGGAACATCCTTAAAAAAGGCAAAACAACCCAATGGAACTTGTCACTTAATGCTGCAAGAACACACAAGAAAGACTAGGCCAACTCCGCCGACACACAAGATCTTTCCTATAATGTTCCCCAATCTTTTTCTCACTATAGATCCCTAGTCAAAGAGTACCAACAGTTCCTGGCCTTGATGTTTGCTGTCATGGAGGTGAATAAGGATCTAGTTCTCCTCCCCAACATCACCCTTGGCTTCCGCATCTATGAAAATAAGAAGATGGAGAGGAAGATTTTCTTAAACAGCCTCTCCCTGCTCTCCACACGGCGCCGAATGGTTCCAGGTTACAAATGTGACAGGAAGGACCCTCTGCTCTCTGTCATTGGAGGTCACAACTCCAAATCCTCAAGGCAGATGGCCTCCATCTTCAGCATCCTCAAGGTCCCACAGGTAAGGAAGCTGCACTGGATGCAGTTTGGAGCACACAAACAACCAAAGCACACACAGAAGCCAAGGATGTAAGCAAAGGTATTGGGGGGTGGGGGACACACCAGGGGTATATGACTTAGATAGTCCATCCTAAAGTTGAATTGATTTTTCTATGTGTGGGAAGTTAGCACCCACGCCCCTTCTAGAAGGATGAAATATTCTGGGGAATATTAAAAAGGCAGAATATTATATTTCCCTCGATGAGAAAAGGAGAAACATGTTTTTAAAAAGAAAGCAGCTTCCTGCGACTCCCTGCCCCCAACCCTTCAGCTCCAGGGTGATGGGATTAAGACATGGCCCCCACAACATGATAGGATTAGCTCTCTACTCATCTCACCACATGGCACCTTGGAAGATTACACCACCCAGAATGGCTCAACCAAGCCTGTGACACAGGGAGCCTTCAAAGTTAGCAAAGACCCCTGCCCCCTGGGAGTCTGACAGCCAATCAGAATACAAGCTCAAATTCAAAGCCGAAAAGAGGGTATAAATCTCACCCTCCCTCCCTCCCTCCCTCCCCCCCTCTCTCTCTCCCATGTACTTTTGCCCAGGACTTCAAACCATGTGGTCCTGTCCACCATTAAAAACCATCTTTCCAATCAGCCACCATGTTTCCAGTGATTTTCTCCCCACTTGGAACTGAACCCAGAAGGATATTTCTTCCAACAAATGTTATATGTCAAGATACATTTTTATATACCGTATTTTTCGGAGCATAAAATGCTCCAGACTATTTTGTGTTTGAGAAATAGATACTGAGGCGACTCACACAGCGAGGTAACCCAACGTCTTTAATAACTCAACATCATGAACAGAACAGAACACCAGCGATCTGACAGAACGTTATAGTCAGCTGCAGATCGCTTCCACCAATCAGGAGCAATGGTAAGCCCGTGCTCAGAACGGACTAATCAAAAACAGCCGTTATAACTCATACTTAGTTGCTAGGCAGAATTGCCAACAGAACAGCCAATCATAAACAGCTGTTAGAACTCGTATTTAGTTGCTAGGCAGAATTGCCAACACAACAGCACCTATCTTTTTTGGTAAGGAAAACAAGAAAAAGAAATCTGCCTCTGCCTCCCAGCAATTTTGCCTCGTTGCAGCAAACAGCAAACAAACAGCCTGCTTTACTTTCATTATTGTTTTTAGCATAGCTTGATTAGCACAAAAAAAAAAAAAAATCTGCTCCCAGCAATTTACCTCCTTGCAGCAAGCAGCAGAGGTCGGCACAGCAATAGGCAATGGCAATCTCTGCAGCCTGAAACAGCTGAGAGTCAGGAGGCCGACCCAACCGACAATCAAATTGTGCTAATTAGGCTGTGCTGAAGCTGAAATGGGATGTTTCTTCTTGCTGCTTGCTGCAAGGAGGTAAATTGCTGGGAGGCAGAGGCCAAAGGGTGGGGGCCAGTGGGTGGGCAGGGCTACATTCAGTGTATAAGATGCACCCATATTTTCATCCCCTTTTAGGGGAAAAAAAGGTGCGCCTTATACTCCGAAAAATACGGTAACTACAAAAAGATACTGACATAATTCTGAAAAGCTATATTTGCCAAGAGACATTGCTCCCTGACTTTCATAACAGTTTATCATCTTTCTGCCCCTTTCAGAGCAGTTTATTCTCTGTATCAGGTAGATGCTTTGTTCCTTTGACTTATGATCTATTGCAACCAGGCAAAACAGGTAACTGGTGGCTTCTCCTAAGAAGAAAGGAAGATGAAGCTTGTCACTCAAAGTGAATCAGCCTGACTGGTGGGACATTAACTACACAATGGTGAGCATTAAAGTCACCATAAAAGTTAACTTTGTTTTTGAAAGAAGATTCTCACTTTCTCTAGCTCGGGGTTGGCTTTGAGTTCACTCAAGGAGAGAGAAGAGTTTATCCTTCCTTCTTCCGGATCAATCCTGATGAATCTGCTCAGCATGAGGGTTTAGTCCAGCTGCTCCTGTATTTCCAGTGGAACTGGGTTGGGCTGGTGGCCAACAAAGATGACAATGCGGAACATTTCGTCTCATCTCTGATACCAAAGCTCAAGGAGAAGGAGATCTGCCTGGCCTTCACTGAAATAATGAAATTTGATTTTTACACTGATCAAGATCCAAATTTATATTATATTTTCAACGTTTGGTCTAAAGGTGAAGTGATTATTTTTTTTGGAGACTACAGTAGTATTACATATGCACAGATAGTTGTGTTTGCTTATGAAACACAGAAATATGCATCGTTACTGAAAGTCTGGATCTTTACATCTAGTTGGAAACTTAATGTGATGAACTCTGAAGTTATATTGCTTGTTATAAAGCCCTACCATGGGGCTTTTCATTTTAGGGACCACACCAGGGATGTCTCAGAATTCAGACATTTTCTCTTGTCTTTAGACCCCTTGAACCCACAAGGAGACATCTTTCTCCCTCTATGGTGGGGATTGATCTTTGGCTGCAACATTTACAAACCAGGAGAGATCCCTTCAAAGGAGGTAAAACCATGTACTGGAGAGGAGAATTTACAGAATGTGCCAACTTACCTGTTTGAAACAAGCATGACAGGTGAAAGTTACAATATCTACAATGCCATTTATGCTGTGGCACATGCACTACATGCAATGCATGGATCAGGAGCACGACCAGCTATGATGAGACTTGGAAAGAGGATCTTAGATTTCCAGTCATGGCAGGTAATCTCTGCTTTTTAATCCAGTCCACAGATCCTTAGAGCCAACATAGAGAGGAAGTACCCCATGTGTAGAACATAGAATAATAGAGTTGGAAGGGACCTCGGAGGTCTTCTAACCCAACCCCCTGCTCAAGCAGGAGAGCTTATATCATTTCAGACAAATGGTTGTCCAGCCTCTTTTTGAAAGTCTCCAGTGATGGAGCACCCACAACTTCTATTCCATTGGTTGACTACTCTCATTGTTATGAAATTTCTCCTTAGTTCCAGGTTCCTTCTCTCCTTAGTTAATTTCCGACCATTGTTTCTTCTCTTGCCTTTTGATGCTTTGGAAAATAGTTTGACTCCCCCATCTTCATAGGAGCCTTTTAAGTATGGGAACACTGCTATCTCCTCACCCCAAGTTTTTGTTTTCATTAGACTAGATGTAGCAAATTCCTGTAACCATTCTTCTTATGTCATAACCTCCAGTCCCTTAACCGGGTCTAGGACTTTTCAGCTTGAACTCTTGGTGCCGCCTGTTTCTCCACCAGGATTTCACATCCATGTTATTACGCCTCGGCACTTTAGGCCACGGCCCCTCCATCCCAGTCCCTTCACTGCAGACCATTCATTGCAGTACAGTTCGCATTGGGTTTTTGTGTGCAGAGGACAGTTCGAAGCCAGCCAATTGGTGCAAGGGCTCGGGGGCTTTGGGAGTAGAGTGCAGGCTGCAGTTATGATGGAGGCTCTATCAGTTTGGAGCATCCTGAGGCAGTTGAGAGGATCGCGGGGGAGGGATCCAGCCACAAAATATTAGGGAGGGGGGGCTTCTCCCTGTGGAAGAGGGGGCTGGGGGCTGCCTTAGATTGACTGTTCAGTCTGTAGACTATAGTTTACTATAGTTTAGCCCTGAAAGAAGTGGTGGTGAGGCCCCTCCTCAAGAAGCCTTCCCTGGACCCGGCTGTGTTAGCAAATTATCGTCCTGTCTCCAACCTTCGCTTTGTTGCGAAGGTTGTTGAGAGTGTGGTTGCGCGACAGCTGCCTCAGTACCTGGATGAATCGACCTATCTAGATCCGTTCCAGTCGGGCTTCAGTCCTGGGTACAGCACGGAGACGACATTGGTCACATTGGTTGATGATCTCTGGAGGGCTCGGGACAGGGGCTGCTCCTCTGTCCTGGTCCTATTAGACCTCTCAGTGGCTTTTGATACCATCGACCATGGTATCATGCTGCACCGGTTGGAGGGGTTGGGGGTGGGGGGGCACTGTTTTATGGTGGTTCTCCTCCTTTGTCTCCGACCGGTTGCAGTCTGTGTTGACAGGGGGGCAGAGGTCGACCCCGAGGCCCCTTGTATGTGGGGTGCCGCAAGGATCAGTCCTCTCGCCCCTTCTGTTCAACATTTATGTGAAGCCGCTGGGCGAGATCATCTGTGGTTTTGGGGTGAAGTACCACCAGTATGCTGATGACACCCAGCTGTACATCTCCACCCCAGACCACCCCAATGATGCCCTCGAAGTGATGTCCCAGTACCTGGAGGCCATACGGATCTGGATGGGGAGGAACAGACTCAGGCTCAACCCATCCAAGACTGAGTGGCTGTGGTTTCCAACGTCCCGATATAGTCAGTTGGCACCATCAACTATTTTTTTTTATTGAAAAAGTTTTCAAATACAAATTTCCCCCCCATTTTTCTCCCCCTCCTCACTAACCCCCCCTCACCTCCCATCCCCCCCTGTGACTTCTTCACAACAAAAACCTAATTCATAACAGATTATATAATATTTTACCATCCCCTTACTCCCTCCTCTAAATACTGACCCTTACATGCTAATAATATTATTAATATTATTACTTCCCCCTTTTACCATACTTTTCAAAATAACAGTATATAATAACTTCTAATTTAGCATAATAATATTATTATAACTCCCAATCTAGCAACAATCTGCCTTTTTTTCTCCTCCCCCATACTTATATATATAACATTTCAAAGCAGCCTTCCCCATAAATCTTAATTTAACATTTATTCAACTCTATCCATTTCCTCCACTCCCCTAAATATATCACTTAAACATCCCTTTTCTTAAACTAAACAATCAGTAAACTAACCTATTTCCACCCACTTTCCTACAAAATTACCATGCACAACAATTCTTAATATCTTTAATCTACTGCCCGCCCTGCTAAAAAAATATATATTCCGTTATATATATAAAAAAATCAATGACTTTAAATTTATAATCCATATAATATCTTCTTTGATGTCTTTCCACTGGATTGTTGAGTCCATCATCCATATTAGGGTAACATAGCATCCTGGTTGCAGTAATTGTGGCTTTCATCAGGATTATTAATTCCCATCATCATAATGGGTAACAACCAGATCTTCTGCGTGCCCCAGCATAGCTCTCTTGCCTTATAGCTCAAGATAAATATAATACATTTATCAATAAAAAAAAGAAATCCAAAATAGATAATTCCAATCCAACAATTTAAGGCTCTTTTCACATCCCAAAGTTACAGCATTGCAGAGGTCTGTCACTCTCCTCAGGATAATGTTAACCAAAACTTCGCCTCAACTATCTTTTCATATATTCATTCATTTTTTAAAAATAATTGGCTTCACTGTTGCTTAATTTAGAAATTTTTATTTTTGTGAGACCTATTTCTTTTTTTCTTTTCTTTTTGTGGGTTTGATCTCCATCCTAGTTTCCTTTCTACAAGTTGTATATCAACTGATCGGTTTTCATTCTGCTTTATGACTTGATCTTGTTGGTTTTGCTTTTGTATCTCATATTTCTTTTTTATCAATTGTGTATCAGCTAATTGATTTCCATGCTTGTCTGTGACTTGATGAATCATCACATTAGAGTCCGTTGCCACTTCTCTCATATTTGTAGATAATCCAGCTGAGGTGTCTAAAGAATCCAAAGGCAATTTGTCCACAGCAGCCTCTATAGTTCGATATTTTCCCTTTATTTCCAACTCCTTCTGCTTATCCTGTATTGTGCATAAAGATGTTAAGTTCATTTTCAAAAATTTTTGATAAAATTCTTCCGCTTTTTCAACATTATTTAGTTGGTATCTTTCTCCTTGATATCTCAATATTATGCCAACTGGAGCATCCCACCTGAATAGAATATTTCTTTTTTTAAGCTCAGTCACTAGAAAACCAAATTTCTTTCTTTCCGATAACATCTTGGGCGGGAGCTCTTTGTAAATCCAAATCCTTCTTCCAAACAATTGCAAAGTAGAGTTGAAGGAATTTTGCACAATATTATTCCTTATTTCTTTATCTGTAAAATAAATCACCACATCTCTAGGCAATTGCCTTTGCTTTGCAATCCAGGAATTTATTCTATAAACTCTATCGATCCTACAAAATACTTCCTCAGGTTGAACCTTTAAAATCCCAGCCAAAATTTCAGAATATATTTTCCTTAAATCATCTCTGTTATTTTCCTGCAATCCTCTCAGTCTAATCGCATATTCAGTAAAATTATATTGCATCATTAAAACTTCTCTTTCAATCCGTTGTTGTATGTTTTCTGCATTACAAGTCTTTTGATCAGCGTCCATTTTAGGTTTTTCTTCTGAGCTATTGTCTTGAGTGTTTGTCAAATCATTTTCAACTTTTTGTATTCTATTGTCCAAATTGTCCTCAATTTCTTCCATTTTAGACTCTAATAAATTAGTATTTGCATCCAACTTGATCATAAATTCTGCAAAACCATTAGCCATTTTTATAATCTTTCGATCCAAAGTATCAAACTTTAATTGCACTAATTCTTTAATTTCCTGCTTAAATTTTTCAAAGTTCTGATTCACAATCTCATCCCTTCTTACAATCTCCTCCAAAAGAAATTCAATTATGTTAAAATCAGTTTTCTGAGACTGGAGATTTAGAACTTGTTCACGTAATTTATTAATGGGGGAATCCCCCCCCCCACTGCTTGTTTGTCCGGCTTTGTAAGTTTTAATGCCATGTTTCCACACAGACAAACTTTTTTAGAAAAGAAAAGAGAGGCAAAGAAGAGAAAAAAAAAAACTTCTTTCCAACCAAGATCACTATCAGATCTCCAGGAAAAAGAAAACACAAAAGTAGAGCTTTATCTTCAATTGTAGCCAAAGGTATTTATTCCGCTACTTTGTATCTTAGTAGGAAACGGAAGGACTCTCCCTTTCAGCCCCTTCTCAAGCCTCGGCAGTTGCCATTTTTAAAAATTCTTTTTTCCTTTTCCTTTTCTTTCTTCAATAACTGTTATAAAATAAATGAAATACTTGCGATTCAGGGTCACAGGTCCAGCTCACATCCTTTTTAATTATTCTGTTAATTTTGTAGGCTTGTTCTTGTCGCCTAGCTCTGCATAAGCAGAGGTCTCCCAAAGCCCGGAGCGGCGGCGAGGGAAATAGGGAGCTTCATCTGCTTCGTCCCCAAAAGTAAAAAAAAACTTTTGGGGCTATGCAGAGAGCTCTACCTGCCCCCGCCGGCTCTATCTCCATTTCCACATGGAAACAGAGTTTTTTCGAGCCGCCTTTCAGTTATAAAGGCAGCTCTTTACAGGCAATGGGGCTGGCGGTCCCGAGGGATCGTCTGGCGGCAGCGAGAAGCAAACCGGAAGTCCGGCGCCATCAACTAATGATGACTATTGGGGGCGAGTCGTTGGCCCCCACGGATGGGGTTCGCAACTTGTGCGTCCTCCTGGACTCACGGCTGTCTTTAGAAGAGCATATGATGGCCATGGCCGGGAGGATTTTTCATCAGGTTTGCCTGATTCGCCAGTTGCGTCCCTTTCTGGATCAGGACTTGTTACACACAGTCACTCACACTCTTGTCACCTCACGCCTGGACTACTGCAATGCTCTCTACATGGGGCTCCCCTTGAGGAGCACCCAGAGGCTCCAACTGGTCCAGAATGCGGCCGTGCAGATGGTGATGGGAGCGACGTGGCGCTCCCATGTGACCCCCCTCCTGTGCGAGCTGCACTGGCTCCCAGTGGTCTTCCGGGTGTATTTTTATCTTGGCTGTTCACCGCCATGAGTCCCCTGGGAGTAGGGCGGTATATAAATATGATAAAATAAATAAAATAAATAAAATAGTTTCTATTCCCTTAAGAATTTTCAAGGAAAAGTATCTCTTGAATTGCTGGTTAAATATCAATATGGCATTATATCACTGCATCTCAAAGCAAATTAAACAGAACTATTTTTAAAAACAACAATAACACAGATTAAGTATAATGTTTGATTCAATAAGGGTAGAAGGGGGAAAGAGCATTAAAACAAACCAATTGTAGCTAAGATTCATGGATGTATGAAGTTCCCAAAAGGTTTTCAGAAGTATTCAAAGGTTGTGTGAATTTCATGGAGTGGCCATTGCGTAGAGTGATCCAGAGCAAGATGACAATTCTGCCAGATGCTTCAACAGGTCAACTGACGTCCCAGTAGACATATTTTCAGAACCATCTCAGTTTCCTCCATGTTGTAGCCTGAATCCAGTTATAGAAAGAAACTTGACTCAGTTCATTGTAACTCTGATTTATGTTACTATGGCTTAGCATTCTATATGATCCTGCCACATGTTTAGCTTGCCATTTGTTGCACTGAACTACTTGTTGTTTGAAACAAGCTTTGCTCAACTTTAACACACAGAACAGAACTCAACGTGGTCTAAAATTCATGAAATTGTGGTGTGTTGATTTTTTTTGCCTCAAAGCATAAAGTATAGACCTCTATGTCCATTGAAGTCAGGAATCAGGGCAGGCACTGTGAGGAAAACAAATTCTTAGAGGAGTAGAGAGTATTAGCAATTTCTGAAAGTTTCTTTTCATTCAGCTTCTTCCCTATTTGAGAAACATCCAGTTCAACAACAGTGCTGGAGATGAAGTCTCCTTCTCAGAAAATGGCCTGGGATCTGCTCGTTATGATCTTTTCAACTGGGTTCTGCTCCCCAACGAATCTTTTGTCCCTGTGAAAGTTGGAGAGATAGATCCCGGGGCTCCTGCAGGACAGGATTTCACCATTAACTCTGATGCAATTGTCTGGGCAAAAAAGGTGAGCTGTAAGGTAAAATAAGTGCAGCAAAAGAGTCATTCCCTTCCAGGGATTCAAAATATCTCCCTTACTGGAGAACGGGTTACTGAAGCAAAAATTTGGCAACCGTTTGATGAAAAAGCTGTTTTGCATGCAACGTATTTGAGATCTGATTTGTGACGGAGCAAAAAGAATTGAGATCAGGAAGAAATTCTGCCTGAAACCCAGGATGCAGATAGAGCAGCCAAGAGTGGTTTCCATGGACCATTCCCATTCAGTTGGATCTCCATCGCTGTTTGCTTCAGAAAAGCTATAGCTCAATTCACGGCCTTTCTTTTGCATGCCAAGCCCCAGTTCCAAGCCCCAGAATCCATTGGTGGTTTAGAATAGCACAAGCCTTAATCCCCCCAGCAGCTTTTCCTGATTTGTGGTACATTAGAGTTAATCGTTGCTCTTGAAGATATTCTAATGATGGAAAGAGAAATATAGAAAAGAATAAGTGAAGCACATTCATTGCTGAAGACATCTCATGCATTTCTCTTTTCTCTTGTAGAAGGTGCCCTTTGCCAGGTGTGGCATGAAGAGGTGCCAGGCAGGAGAGAGGAAAAGAGTTCCAGAGGGCGAACAGGTGTGCTGCTACCAATGTGACCCTTGTCCAGAAGGGACCATTTCTAACCAGACAGGTAGAGCACACTTTCAATGTAGATCTTCCTGGGTCAAGGAAACCAGACAGAGACAGAGACAGAGACAGAGACAGAGACAGAGACAGAGACAGAGACAGAGACAGAGACAGAGACAGAGACAGATACAGATACAGATACAGATACAGATACAGATACAGATACAGATACAGATACAGATACAGATACAGAGGGAGGGAGGGAGGGAGGGATGGATGGATGTAGGTAGGTAGTTACGTAGGTAGATACTGTATTTTGCATCGGCTCATTCAGACTCATGAGTCGATGCAAAATACAACGTAGAGAACTTAATCCCCAAAGGTGGAAACATCCTTGTCTCAGACTAGCCTATTACCAGAATATTCAATATTGAAGAATGATTTCTTCTTTTTGATATTCCGTGATGTGAAAAGTACTCTTGATTTCAGATTCTGCAAGCTGTGATCCCTGCCCAGAAGACCAATATCCCAACAAGGACAAGGACCACTGCATTGCCAAGAAGATCCACTTCCTTGCCTATGAAGATGCCCTGGGATATGCTTTAGCTTTGCTCACACTTTCTTTCTCTGCAATCACATTGGGAGTCCTGGCAATTTTCCTTAAACATCGTGACACACCAATTGTCAAGGCCAACAACAGAGATCTCACCTACATCCTTCTGGTCTCCCTCCTGCTCTGCTTCCTCTGCTCCTTCCTCTTCATTGGTCGACCAGGGAAGATCACCTGTCTCTTCCGACAAACTGCCTTTGCCATTCTCTTTTCCCTTGCAGTTTCCTCCATTTTGGCAAAAACTGTCATGGTGGTTCTGGCCTTCATGGCTACCAAACCAGGAAACCAAACTAGGAAACTCTTAGGAAAACCACTGACCAACTCCATTGTTGTAGCCTGTCCCCTGGTCCAAGTAGTTCTTTGTGCCACCTGGTTAGTAACCTCTCCCCCATTTCCCAATTTGGATTTCCATGCCTTGACTGGGGAAGCCATTTTGGAATGTAATGAAGGCTCAGCTTCAATGTTTTACGCTGTCCTCTCATACCTGGGTTTCCTGGCCTTTGTGAGTTTCACAGTGGCTTTCCTGGCTAGGAAATTGCCCGACAGCTTTAATGAAGCCAAGTTCATTACTTTTAGCATGCTGGTCTTTTGCAGTGTTTGGATCTCCTTCCTCCCCACCTACCTGAGCACCAAAGGGAAGTCCATGGTGGTTGTGGAGATCTTCTCCATCTTGGCCTCTGGGGCTGGTCTCTTGGCTTGCATCTTTTCCCCTAAATGCTTCATTATCCTATTCAGACCCCATCTTAACTGTAGGGAGAATATGATAAGAACCAAAAATCTCTAACTGATGCATGCCTGGGAATGTTTTAAAATTTTTCTTTGCGGCATATTTAGTATCTTATATCATTTTAAAAACGTGATGACCAGAAAAAGAGGAACACGTTCATTAAATAACACCTTATCAAGTGGTATAAGTGATTACAATAAGAATCACTTGTCTGAGGTGGGCAGATATAGAAATTGAATGAATCAGTCAATGAATGAATAAAGGGACCTGCTATCAGCAATAATAATGCAGCTTTTTTATCCCATATCCCAGTTTTCCACATTGATGCCCAGTGAGCTATGTAGAAAGAACACTTGCTGTTACATATAAATTCATTATTCCAAGAAGGATATTCTCTAATTTTTATTTCTTTTAATTAGATCTTTCACTATATTAGTCTTTTAAAAGGTTAGATTCCATATCAATGTTTCTCTGTGTATATAATTGTTACCATAGTCTTCTGAAACTTTGTAGAATTTCCTGTTTCGATTCCTTTCTTTTTTCATAGTAAAGATTAAATTCTCAACTTCCTACCCAAATCTGCTCATCAATGTGGTGGAGTTTTGTGGTTGCAATTAGAAAATAATATCACTACTTCCTGGAGGAAAATTAAGGGTAAATTTTATTCTTCAATCCCCTCTTGGCTGGTCCCACTCGAAGCTATAACGTATAGGCCTCTATATAACAAAGAAAATCATCTCTCTTACCGGGAACTTTTGGACCCCCATGGTAGTCTGAAATCAAGAAAGGAGTTGGAGTTGCAGGGAAGACAACTGGATTGGTGGGCTTATGCCCAAATTTGCTCGAAATTTAAAAAAGATAGGGAACAAGATGGTATTAATTTGAATCAGCATGATCTGGACAATATCATTCTAGGAAAAGAGGACAAAATGTTATCAAGGATATATAAACTTTTAATAGACTATTGGATAGGGGATGAAATAGTTAAAGACTCTATGATTGCCTGGGGGAGAAATATTGTCTATCCAATTGATTTGACAAAATGGGAAGAAATCTGGCTTAAACATATGAAATTCCTGTGGGCAACATCATACAAAGAAAATGTGTACAAGATGCTGTATAGATGACACCTTCCACCTGCTCGTCTTTCTAAAATGTATTCAAATCTCTCACCAAACTGTTGGAAGTGTGGGGAGATTGGCACCTATTCCCACATGTGGTGGACCTGCTCCAGGACGACTGAATTCTGGAAAATTATACAGGCACGGATCATGGAAATCACCGGTTATAACCTAATTCTGAAACCAGAGTACTATCTACTGAACATCAGGCCAGACAACATAGGCACAAATATATGGTGTCTGTGTGTATTTATCACCACGTCAGCAAGAATATGTTTCGCTCAACATTGGAAGGGGAAAGACCTGCCGGCTGAAGATTTGATTTTGGAGAAAATTTTGGATTATGTGGAAGCCGACAGACTGACTAAAGCATTGAGAGATCAAAAGGACTCCGTATATTTCCAATGTTGGGACAAATGGTACATTTGGTTGAACAACAGATGCCCAAAAAGTCAAGTATAACCAGGATTATGTTTAATATATGTTAAATCTGACTGAAACCTACGTACCGTAGAAAGTGTAAATATCATGTAAAGTTCCTGTCACGATCATTTGTTTGACTATTTCTTTTTTGTGATGTATTGTTTTAAATAAATAAATAAATAAATAAAAAGAAAAAAAAGAAAATATCACTACACACATGTTATTTTAACAATCCCTTTTGCCATGTCATATCTCAGAGCTTCTCAGTAAAGATTATGTTTTATGATAACTGGGTCCCCTGAGAGGACAAAGAGATGCACTGATATTTATACATTTCTCAGAAATGAGAAAATGATGTAAGAATGATTCATTCTTGAAATGATTCAAGCATGCATATTCATAAGTAATACTGTAATGGATTTCAGGTTTCTTCCTACTCTTTTGTTACCTACCGAGAATTTAGTTAAAATAAACATATGCATCCGGGGATTCAGAGGCTGCTGTAGGGATGTTCTGAGAAGAATTACAATGGGCCTCAGGGAGATGCAAGAACACTTTTTAAAAAAATTCTCAGCTTGTATATTACCTCACTGTATGGCATGCTGGCTTGACAGCAGAGGATAGAAAAACATTACAGAGGGTGCTGAGCACGGCACAAAACATTGTGGGCCTTTCCCTGATACCACTAGATGAGATCGCTAGGGCTCACTGCCTTAGAAGAGAGAGGAAAATTCTCAGGGACGACTCTCACCCTGGTCATCACTTCTTTACCCTCCTACCGTCGGGAAGAACCGTTTTTATCTGTGGGCTGTCAGACTCCTGAATGCTAAATAACATCATAACTACGTAGTACGATGGACTTGCAGGGCCAGTGCAGCATGAAACATGTTCACACTGGTGCAATAGGACTTGGTGTTTTGTTAATATGATTTATTGGCTTAGGGATTTTCTGTTTTCACTGTGAGTTGTATTGTGTTTGAGGGGTTAACTAAGGGAGCTTAGTTTCCTTTTGACCTTTTAGAGGTCAACTTCCTCATAGCCATAGCCCATTTTAAATAAGGCAAAGTCAACGACCAGCTAATTTTGCCAAATTGCCATTCTTGGATATTTTTGCTGCTCATTGAAGAAAGTTGTCATCTTTGAAGTCTTAGGTATACATTCTGTAACTATAAAAACTGTATTTTTTATATATTACGAAAAGCACAGGCTGCAAAAGCTGGTGCACCAACTATGGAAATAGCAGGCCCATAAATACCTTTGACATTTAACATTCCTATGAGGTAATCATATCTACTGTGAAGTGGGGAGCTTTCAGTGGGGTACCGACTTTTGGGCACTGCCTTGGACTTGTGTTATGTGTAGCTTTGGACAACTGGAACTGCATGAAATCTAGTTAAATGCCTAATTGCAGAGGGCCCTCCTGAGGCTGGAAAGTATGAAAAGACACTCTCCACACAATAAATAGCATCTCTTTGGTAACTACCCTGTTTCCCCGAAAATAAGACATCTCCTGATAATAAGTCCAAATGGGCTTTTGAGCGCATGCGATAAAATAAGCCTCCCCCCAAAAAATAAGTCCTCCTAGAAAATATTTAAACGCAGAGCTGGAAATCAGGTAAGACGACAAAAGGAGCCATATCTTGTTCCATGTGCCCCAAAATAATAAGACCTCTCCGAAAATAAGGCCAAGCGCTTATTTTGGGGTTCAAAAAAAAATATCAGACAGGGTCTTATTTTTGGGGAAACATGGTATTTGGGGAGTTGGAACATAGCCAAGCTCGAACTGTTGCTCTGTCCCAGTCTTCTCCATCTTCTTCAATGTTTACTTCAGCTTTGACTGGCTTCGGGATTTCGGAATTGATTAGGCTGAAGTGTTAGGCAGTTAGCAGCCCAATGGTCCTCCTTTCCACATCAGAAGCAGGCCTGTGTGGAGCAACACTGGCCCTCTCTAGTGGCCGACGGAGGGCTTCCTCCCTCTCTGGCATTGACAGGTGTCTTTCCTTGCTTCAGCAGGGGTGGCTCTCTTCCATTGTGTGCTGCCTGTACAGGTCCAGTTCTACCGTGGTAGCCAGCTGATACCACACATGGAGGTCAAATACCCCTCCCCACATCTCCATCCCACTGAACTTCTCCCTCAGTTGCTCGACCAAAGGGCTGCGAGCCATGGTTGGAGACTTCCACTCTATCGGCTCTTCCCACTTGGGAACCCTCCTGGCATTCCATTTGGTTCCCCAGGTTATCGCTACTTCCAGTGGAATCAGGGGAAACTCCATCTTGGCAGCCTTTCCCATGCTGCTCATCCATTAGGCTTTTGGGATCAGGTAGAGGAGCCTGGCCACAACTCCTTCACCTTGTGTCGGTGGCTGCTCCAACTGCTTGGCTCTCACCTTGGACCGGATCATTAGTAGCTTCATTCCGGAGTCCGCTGGGATCATTGCCAGAGCTTCCTGGGGAAGAACTGCTTCAGTGTGGCCTCAGATTTTTCTCCGTTCCTGACGTCACCATGCTACAACTCTCTTGGAAGTGCCCCTATAGGCTGCATTCATAATGTGAACGTTAAGGGGAGTTGGTTTAATGGTAACAATCTTACTAGTGAACCCAACAAAAGGAATCCTTAAGGCAATTAAGTCCCAGCAAAATGAACTCTGAGGTTACCCACGCAAAAGCTTGCTTAGTTAAAAATCAGATTCCCATTCCCCCACCCACAGAGTGTTCACATTGTCCAATAGTAATATTTATTTCTGTTATGGGAACAGTTCACTTCTCCATCGAGCACCTGCATCAATGACCTTGTATGGTGAAGGTTCCTCTGGTCCATGAATGGCTTCTTGGCATTCCATTCCCTCCCCTCTTTTCTTTGGCAAGATGATGACGCTAACAAGCATTGTTGCAATAAAATCTTGACAATAAGTAAAGCAGTTATTGCATCTATTGGTATGATTGCTCACACTTCCTTAGGTACAGCTCACTGCCACCATGCCCCATTAGCACCCATTCTACCTGAAGATACCATGGCACAGGCCAAACTTCATCTTGTGTGCAGGTGTTAACTTTCAATATAAAGTAGTTTTTATTGAATATAAATATTAAAAAAGACATACGTAACATATACACAACAGACATTTATACAACATATACACAAAAAGAGTGTAATTTCTTCTTAAGCATTTTTTCAGAGTGACATTCTACAATTCTACTTATGATATATTCCTTCACCTCTCCTTAATCTAATAATATTTTTTATTATATATATATATATAAATCGGTAATATTTCCCCTATATTTTTTGTATATTTCTGATTTTTAACCAATTATACCAATTATTCCATATTTTATAATAGTCTGATTCTTCTTTTTCTTGTAATTCTTTGGTTAACCTATCCATTTCAGCGCATTCTAAAATTTTCCCTGTTACTTCTGTTTCACTTGGTATTTTTTCTTGTTTCCAAATTCTTGCGTAGGTTATTCTTGCAGCAGTTAATATGTGAATTGTGAGATATTTGATATCCTTAGGGTATGATTTGTTAAATATTCCTAATAAAAATGTTTCTCGTTCTTTTTCAATCTGTGTTTTTGTTATTTGTTCCAACCATTTTTTGATGTTAGATCAAAATTTCTTTGCTGCTGGGCACGTCCACCATAAATGATAGAAAGTTCCTTGTGCCTTTTTGCACTTCCTACAAATTGGGCTATTTTTAGGTTGTATTTTTGCCAATCTGGTTGGAGACATATGCCACCGATAAAACATTTTCAGTTGGTTTTCCTTGTACACCGTTGCTTTTGTTAAATTTAGGTTTACCTGCCAGAACTTTTCCCATTTTTCCAAAGGTATTGTGTGTTTGATGTTTTGAGCCCACTTAATCATCGTTTCTTTGACTGTCTCTTCTTCCAATTTATAGCGTAGAAGAAATGTATAAATTCTACTAATTAATTTATTTTCTGAATCTAATATAATTTTATCTATTTCTTGTTTTTGATTATAAATTTCATATGTTTTTATATGTTCTCTGTATTTGGATTGTATTTGAGTGTAAGTCCACCAGTCTATTTCTCTGTGTAAATCTGTCTCCAATTGTTGTTTTGTCTTTAATTTGCCTTGATAGTCAATTATATCTTTATATCTAATTATTTTTATCTTATCTGTTAAATTTGGGTGCCTAATTGATTCTGCCGGTGCTAACCAATTTGGTATCTTCATATAATATTGTTTTTTAATTTTAAGCCAAATTTGTAATAATGAGTTCCTTATTGTGTGTCTTTTAAAATATGAGTGTGTTTTGTATTTCTCATCCCACATAAAGGAGTGCCAGCCAGTTTGAAGTTCATGTCCCTCAATTGTTAAAATTCTAGAGTCCTTTAATTCTATCCAATCTTTGACCCACGATAGTACTGCTGCTTGGTAGTATATCTCCCAGTCAGGGAGTGCAGCTCCTCCTCTATCTTTTGTATCCTGAAGCAGTTTAAATTTTATTCGTGGCCTTTTCCCTTGCAATATAAATTTAGATGTTATTTTATTCAGCTTTTCAAAAAACGGTTTATCTATTTTAATTGGGGTGACCTGAAACAAATATAAAAATTTAGGTAATATAGTCATTTTGATGGCCAAAATTCTTCCTAGGAATGAAATGTGTAAATTTTTCCATTTTTCTAAATCTTTCTTTGTTTGTTCTAGTAATTTATCATAATTGTTTTCTTTAATTGCTGATGTTCTTGTAGATAACCAGATTCCTAAATATTTTATTTATTTTATTTTTTTTGTTTGGAAACAAGAAACACAGAAAAACAGATACGATAGGCAATGGATGAACAGATCAAACTCTTTTCGGTAAACATTAATGGCTTAAATGCCCCAAAGAAAAGGAATCAAATTTTCACAAAATTACGAAAATTAGAAGCAGATGTAATATGTCTGCAAGAAGTACACATTCAAAAAGATTATCAAAAAATCCTAGAAAACTCCAAATTAGGAAAACTATATTCATCTCTGGCCCAAAAAAAAGAAAAAAGGAGTAGTGATTTACGTAAAAGAAAAAATACAATCTAAACTAGTTTATACCGATGAGCAAGGTAGAGTGGTGATGGTTGAATTAGAAATAGGAAAAAGGAAAATGTTAATTGTAGTGATTTATGCACCTAACCAAAAACTACAGGTTTTTTTTAAAGATCTACATATAAAACTAGCAGAATTAGAATATGATGATATTTGTGTAATAGGGGATTATAATGCAATAGTAAATGCAAAGAAGGACTACAAAACTGGGGGAAAAAAACAAAGAAAAAAAGAAATACTTCCAAAAGAATTCTTTACTATGGCTGAAGAACTAAACTTGGCAGACGTATGGAGGGAAACACATGAAGAAGAGGCCCAATACACCTTTTACTCCCATCCACATAACTCCTGGTCAAGACTGGACATGGCATGGATGACCCCAAATATCAAAATAGAAGTAGAAAAAATTGAGATAGGCACAAACCAATGGGCAGACCATAATCCACTATTCATAAACTGGAAAGGGGAAAGAAGACGTAAGAGATGGACAATGAACCAAAGATTATGTAAAGAAAAAGGTGTTAAATTTCAGTTAGTTCAAAAAGTCAACTTCACCTTGATTCCCAAGTCCATCTGCTCTGTGGATTACCAACAAGAGACACAACTTTTTACTTTACTTTTATTAGACTTCTATACCACCCTTCTCCCGAAGGACTCAGGGCGGTGTACAGCCATATTAAAACACATAAAATTTACAAAATTTAAAAACCATTAAAATCAAATATACCAAAACTTGGCCCACAAATTAAAAAACTTACATACATCCATTTAAAATTCATATTCATGTTAGGCCAGCCTGGCTTGTTGAAACAAGAGGGCCTTCAGGGCGTGGCGAAAGGTGCGCAGGTCAGGGATCATATGCACATCTAGGGGCAGCTCGTTCCAGAGGGCTGGTGCCCCCACAGAGAAGGCTCTCCCCCTGGGTGTCACCAGTCAACATTGATTGGCCGAAGGCACCCTGATGAGTCCCTCTTTGTGGGAGCGTATTGGCCGGTGGGAGGCTGTCGATGGCAGAAGGCGGTCTCATATATAACCCGGTCCTAAGCCATGGAGCACTTTAAAGGTGGTAACCAACACCTTGAATCGCACCCGGAAGACCACTGGGAGCCAGTGCAGCTCATGCAGGAGAGGTGTCACGTGGGGGCGACGAGTCGCCCCCATAATCACCCGCATGGCCACATTCTGGACCAGTTGGAGCCTCCGAGTGCTCTTCAAGGGGAGCCTCATGTAGAGAGCATTACAGTAGTCCAGACTGGACATGACGAGGGCATGAGTGACCGTGCGCAGGGCATCCCGGTCCAGAAAGGGACACAACTGGCACATCAGGTGAACCTGATAAAAAGCTCCCCTGGCCACGGCTGTCATATGATCTTCCAAAAACAGCCGTGTATCCAGGAGAACACCCAAGTTGTGAGTCCTCTCTGAGGGGGCCAAGATCTTGCCCCCAATAGTCAGTGATGGAACCAGCTGACTATATTGGGATGCTGTGAGCCACAGCCACTTGGTCTTGGAAGGGTTGAGTCTGAGCTTGTTTCTCCCCATCCAGATCCGCACGGCCTCCAGGCACCAGGACATCACGTCAAGGTCATCATTGGGATGGTCTGGGGTGGAGATGTACAGCTGGGTGTCATCAGCGTACTGGTGGAACTTCACCCCGAAACCACAGATGATCTCACCCAGCGGCTTCACATAAATGTTGAACAGAAGGGGCGAGAGGACTGACCTTTGCGGCACCCCACAAACAAGGTCGACGTCGACCTCTGTCCCCCTGCCAACACAAACTGCATACGGTCAGAAAGGAAGGAGGAGAACCACTGCAAAACAGTGCCCCCCACTCCCAACCCCTCCGATTGTCACAGCATGATACCATGGTCGATGGAATCAAAAGCCGCTGAGAGGTCTAATAGGACCAGGACAGAGGAACAGCCCCTGTCCCAAGCCCTCCAGAGATCATCAACCAATGCGACCAATGCCATTTCCGTGCTGTACCCCGGCCTGAAGCCCGACTGGAACGGATCTAGATAATCAGCTTCATCCAGGGACTGGGGAAGTTGTCGCGCCACCACACTCTCAACAACCTTCGCAACAAAGCGAAGGTTGGAGACTGGACGATAGTTCACTAGTACAGCCGGGTCCAGGGAGGGCTTCTTGAGGAGGGGCTTCACCACCGCCTCTTTCAGAGAGGTAGGGAAGAAACCCTCACTCAAAGAAGCATTAATAATCCCCTGGAGCCAACCTTGTGTAACCGCCCGGGAGGCCAGAACCAACCAGGAGGGACACGGGTCCAATAAACATGTGGCAGCGCTAAGCCTACCCAGAATCCTCTCCACCTCCTCGGGAGTCACAGGGTCAAACCCCTCCCAGATAACATTCACAAGATCCACCTCCGTCACCCCATCTGGATCTACCCAATCTGAGTCCAGACCTTCCGGAATCTGAGTGACTTTGTCATGCAGGAATTGCACAAAATCCTCAGCCCTGCCCTGCAAGGGGTCTTCCCTCGCTCCCAGATGAAGGAGGGAGCTGGTCACCCTAAACAGGGCTTCTCTGCAGACCCGATAAGAGCAGAAAAATAGTTAGATTTTGCCGCTCTTATCGCCACGAGGTAGATCTTAATATGAGACCTCACCAGTGTTCGGTCAGATTCGGTCAGATTCAGACACAAGCATGTTTTTCCCTGTCTGGTGTACAAACAACATCTATTGCCCAATGGATAGGACAATTGCTTTCCTCTCCGATGATAGAATAACAGTAATTCTCAATGTATTCCCTGTGGATTTCAACCCACAAAAATATTCCAAGGTTAAACCTGCTTTAAAAGATATTCTCTGAGTTCTCCCAGTGCTGGAGGACCTTGCCTGGTCCCCCGAAGAGCTAACTGCGGGGTTTGGTGAGACTCAGCTGGCCTTTGTGTCAAAGCCCAAACACAGGTAAGAGAAAGCATGATTGATACAGGATTTTATTGATGGATTAGTCTTGTGACCTTATTAAAATAAAATAAAATTTTATTTTATTTTTTATTCATATAAAGAATGGTTGCTGGAACTGGGTATGTCTAGTCTGATGAAAAGAAGGACTAGGGGTGACATGATAGCAGTCTTCCAATATCTCAGGGGCTGCCCGAAAGAAGAGGGAGTCAAGCTACTCTCCAAAGTACCTGAGGGCAGGACAAGAAGCAATAGGTGGAAACTAATCAAGGAGAGAATCAACTTAGAACTAAGGAGGAATTTCCTGACAGTGAGAACAACTAATCAGTGGAACAACTTGCCTCCAGAAGTTGTGAATGCTCCAACACTGGAAGTTTTTAAGAAGATGTTGGAGAACCATTTGTCTGAAGTGGTTTAGGGACTTCTGCTCGAGAAGGGAGGGCTGGATTAGATGACCTCCAAGGTCCCTTCCAGCTCTGTTATTCTATAAAATAAAATACAGCCCATAGTCTAATTTCAGAATAGGACAGATAGGAAGAAATAAAGTGGTAAAATAAAAATGTGTTAATGCAAGGAGACATCAGATAAATTTGACTTGAGGCCATCCAGAAGGCACGGAAGCTGTCTGTTGTGCTAAAGCTCTGATGGTATTTCAAATACTCCCTGCAATTCAGCTTCTGCACAAACCTTGATTTCTGATCTAGGAGGGAAGGTGAGAAGAATGTCTGGGCTGCCTCTCCTGCTGCTGCTGCTCTTCTGCTTCCTGCCTCCAATTACCGCTAAGAAGATTCATTCCGTATGTCCATTGAAAAAACATGTAAAATTTCCAAATCAGTGGGAATTTTACAGGCCTGGTGATCTGATCATTGGAGGGAATTTGCCCCTAGTAACTTTTGTGCAGTCCAAATCACCAGATTTTCAAAGGGACCCATTGCGACATATTAATAAATTCACGTAAGTTTCACCTGGAGGGGAAAAATGTAAGTGATTGTTTTCTTTCCTTTGGATTCAGGGCCTCTTTTAAGAAATACCTGTTCTAGGGATGTTCAGACTTTTGTCCTTTTCTCAGTGAAGAGAAATAGGCTAGAATTCCCTTTGTGAGCCACGGTGGGGCACTGGTTAGAGTGCAGTACTACAGGCTACTTCTGCTGCCTGCCGGCTGCCTGCAATTGGGCAGTTCAAATCTCACCAGAGTCAAGGTTGACTCAGCCTTTCCTCCTTCTGAAGTCGGTAAAATGAGGAGCCAGATTGCTAGGGTCAATAGGCTGACTCTGTAAACCGCTTAGAGAGGGCTGGAAAGCACTGTGAAGTGGTATATAAGTCTAAGTGCTATTGCTATTGTTTCCCAAAACTGTTCCGGAGGACAGAGAACAACAACGGTATATACACAGATTATATGCAGGGGCATGACCTGCCTTTCCATATGTTTTCATCAGGATAATTCAGTGGTGAAATCTGAACTGGTTTGCTACCAGTTTGTTGGCCACGCATGCATGCCATGTGCCAAGCATGCACTGTGTATGTGTATGAGCCCCAAACATGTGCTGTGTGCTCATGCGCAGTGAGCACCAAACACGCACTGTGCATTTAAAAAGCTACTGGTTTGGGCGAACCCAGTAGCATTTCATCCCTGGGATGATTATCAACTAAATAAAAGTAGGGAGGGGAAACACCTCCCAGCCTTACCCCTCCAGGTGCAGGACAAGATGTCCTTGACTCTTTGAGAAAGGAATGTTATTATGATTATATATCACTTGTTCTCATTCAATCTCCCCACCCAGTTTCCCACAGTAGTAAATGTGGCAGGCCTGAAGGTCCAATGAAAAAGATGATTTCTAGGCCAGCACAAAACTCTTAAATAATGCTCCTTAGTAAATCTGGGCTGTGGCCCCCACTGGAGTCTTCTCCTCAGACCTGTAGAAGCTGCTTCAAGGATGAAACAAACTGAGTAGGGAGGAAGAGGAGCTATTGGGGAGTAGTTCAGCCACTGGAGGAAAGTGAAGAAAGGAGGGAGGATAGAGGGGTATAAAATGATGTGGGAAATGGACGGCCTGGCTTTTCTCCTTTCTCAGAAATCCATCCAAATGCAATCAAGGAACATCCTTAAAAAAGCCAAAACAACCCAATGGAACTTGTCACTTAATGCTGCAAGAACACACAAAAAATACCAGACCAACTCCGCCAGCACACAAAATCTTTCCTATAATGTTCCCCAATCTTTTTCTCACTGTAGATGCCTAATCAAAGATTACCATCAGTTCCTGGCCTTGATGTTTGCTGTCAGGGAGGTGAATAAGGATCTAGTTCTCCTCCCCAACATCACCCTTGGCTTCCGCATCTATGAAAATAAGAAGATGGAGAGGAATATTTTCTTAAACAGCCTCTCCCTGCTCTCCACACGGCGCCGAATGGTTCCAGGTTACAAATGTGACAGGCAGGAGACTCTGCTCTCTGTCATTGGAGGTCACAACTCCAAATCCTCAAGGCAGATGGCCTCCATCTTCAGCATCCTCAAAGTCCCACAGGTAAGGAAGCTGCACTGGATGCAGTATGGAGCACACAAACAACCAAAGCACACACAGAAGGCAAGGATTTAAGCAATGATATTTGGGGGAGGCGACAACCAGGGGTATATGACTTAGATAATCCATCCTAAAGTTTTTCTATGTGTGGGAAGTTAGCACCCATCGCCCTTCTAGAAGTATTAAATATTCTGTGGAATATTAAAAAGGCAGAATATTATATTTCCCTCAATGAGAAAAGGAGAAACATGCTTTTAAAAACAAAGCAGCTTCCTGCAAGTCCCTGCCCCCAACCCTTCAGCTCCAGGATGATGGGATTAAGACATGGCCCTCACAACATGATAGGATTAACTCTCTACTCATCTCACCATATGGCACCTTGGAAGTTTACATCACCCAGCAAAACTCAACCTAGCCTGTGACACAAGCAACCTTCAAAGTTAGCTAAGACCCCTGCCCCCTGGGAGTCTGACAGCCAATCAGAATACAAGCTCAAATTCAAAGCCGAACAGAGGGTATAAATCTCTCTCTCTCTCTCTCAACCATGTACTTTTTGCCCACAACCTCAAACCATGAGGTCCTGTCCACCATTAAAAACCATCTTCCCAATCAGCCACCATGTTTCCAGTGATTTTCTCCCCACTTGGAACTGAACCCATATAATAGTAAATGGAAAAAGGAGAAGGAAAATGAATATAACAAAATTCGAGAAGAGATCAAAAATTGGGAAGGGAAATTACAGGAGAGGCCAGGGGATGAACAAATAAGAACTAATTGGATGGCAGCTAAACACAAATTGAATTTATTTGAGCAAGAAAAATATGTCAATACAATGAAATTTGTAAAACAAAATCAATTTGAACAGGCGAACAAACCAGGGAGGTGGATGGCTTATAAATTAAGAAGAGAAAGAGAGAAATGAACAATTCATTAACTGCAGGATAAGGATGGTAAGTTATGTCAGAATCTAGAAAAGAAGAAAGACAGTAACCCAATTTTTTCAAGATTTATACACACAGGATAAGGTGCCAACAGAGGAAATAGACCAATATTTAAAAGAGGAGGGAATGCCAGTAGTAAGAGGAAGAGATACTCAATAGAGAGATTACTATAGAGGAACTACAGGCAACAATTAGGAAATAAAAAAACAATAAAACTCCAGGAACAGATGGGTTACCAATAGAATTATATAAAGGATTAGGGGAATCACTAAATTGGATACTATTAGAGGTGTACAATGAGGCATTGAAAGAGGCAAAGCTGCCAGAATCTTGGAGGGAGGCATATATCTCCTTAATCCCGAAGGAGGGGGCAGATACAACACAGATAAAAAATTATAGGCCGATTTCTTTACTAAATTCCGATTATAAGATTTTTATGAATTTGATGGCAAACAGATTAAAGACAATATTAAACCATAGAATACATTCAGACCAGAACGGATTCCTGCCGGCAAGACAAATTAAAAACAACATAAGGACAGTGATCAATGTAATAGAATACTATGAGGTGCATCCCGAGAGACAGGTAGCCCTGATTTTCCTGGATGCACAAAAGGCATTTGATCGGGTCAACTGGAGATTCATGACACAACAAATAAAGAATATGAAATTTGGGGAGAAATTCGAAAAGATGATAGTTTCAATATACACAAAACAGAAAGCAAGGATACTAGTCAATGGGGAACTAACCAATTTTTTTGAAACAAGTAGAGGAGTATGACAAGGGTACCCACTTTCACCACTACTTTTTATTCTAACAGTAGAAAATCTACTTAGAAGAATCAGACTCAACAAAAATATAAAAGGACTCAAGGTTAAAGGAGAAGAATACGAGGTCCAAGCATTTGCTGACGACCTTGCATTCTTCATAGAGGATCCATTAGAAACGGAATTAAAATTAACAGAGGAAATAGAGAAATTTGGTAAGGTGGCAGGTTTAAAAGTCAATAAGGATAAGACTGAAATATTAACTAAAAATTTAACAGCAAAACAAATAGAAGAGTTAGAAAAACGATCAGGATTACAAGTAGTTAAGAGGATAAAATATTTAGGTATTACTCTGACAACTAGGAATGTGGCTATAAAAGATAATAATTACGGAGAGTTAGTACAACAAATTAAAAATGATTTAGAAAGATGGGGGAAACTAAAGTTATCATTGCTAGGAAGAATTGGGGCGATAAAGATGAATATACTCCTGAGGCTCCTCTACTTATTTCAAACTATTCCAGTTAAATTAGAGAAAAACTTTTTTACAAATTTGAATAAAATAACATCAAAATTCGTATGGGAGGGAAAGAAAACCAAGAATAAATTTAAACATATTACAGGATGATAGATCTAGAGGGGGTTTTGGCCTACCAGCGTGGGAAAAATACTATAAGGCAGCAAGTTTAACATGGTTTAAGGAGTGGGTCAATTTGGATAATTACAGACTATTAAAATTGGAAGGCCACGATCTATTAAAGGGGTGGCATGCCTTCTTGTGGAACGCCAGGAACAAAACCTATAAACATTTTAAAAACCACATAATAAGAAATGCACTGATTAGCACTTGGTTCGAAATTAAAAATAAACATTATATGAAGGTTCCCGGCTGGATATCTGCATTGGAGGCGGCAATGCACCCCAACACACTAGCCCCCCATAAATTAATAAGATATAAAGAATTACTGGATCCCCAAGGAAGATTAAAAACACGGCAGGAACTCAGGGAACAAGGCATAGAAATAGACTGGAGGCCCTACCTACAAATACAAACTAGATACAATAAGGATAAGGAGGAAGGAGGAATCGAAATAAATCCCAACCGACTAGACAAATTATTAGGAGCTAAAGATGGAAATTTGATTTCAAAGATTTACAAATACTTATTAGAATTCGACCTAGCAGAAAATCTAGTCAAAGGACAAATGATAGCTTGGGCAAGGAATATTGGCAAAAACATACAACTGGAAGAATGGGAGAGGGTATGGGAAACCAACTATAGAATAACAAAATCCGTAGCATATAAAGAGAACCACTACAAGATGTGGTACAGATCGTATCTAGCCCCTGCGAGATTGGCGAGGATGTATGCAAATCTTAATCCAACGTGTTGGAAATGTAAGCAAGCACAGGGAACCTTCTTTCATGTCTGGTGGCTTTGCCCAAAAATTAAGGAATATTGGATAAAAATAAAAATTTGGATATCAGAAATAATTGCGGAGGATATTGAGTTAGAACCAGATTTTTTTTTGTTAGGAATGCTTAAACAAAACATTAGAAAGGAAAAAAAGTACCTAATATTACATATAATCATGGCAGCTAGGTTAGCCCTAGCACAAGTCTGGAAAACAGATCAATTGCCAATGGAGCAGCAAATAATTCAAAAAATTTACACATGTGCAGAAATGGATAGACTAACGTTGAAATTGAAAGATAAGGAAGACTCACAGTATTTTAAGATATGGGACAGTTGGTATGAGTGGATAAACCAATGGAAAAGAAGGTAAAGTCAAAACTTAGTAAGAAATTAAAAGTAATAATTATACACCGTCATTAAGGAAAAAAAGGAAAAAAGTTTTTGTATATATGTGTACTTACATACATTATATATACTTTGTTTGTTGTTTGTTGGTACTGTTGATTGTATTTTAAGGTTGTGAATGTTTTATACAATTTTATTTTTTTTAATCTAATAAAGTTTGTTTTTTAAAACTAAAAAAAAATGTTTATTCTCTGAATCACATAGATGTTTTGTTCCTTTGACTTATGATCTATCACAACCAGGCAAATCAGGTAACTGGTGGTTCTTCCTAAGAAGGGAGGAAGATGAAGCTTGTCACTCAAACTACACAATGGTGAGCTTTAAAGTCACCATAAAACTTGACTTTGTTTTTGAAAGATTCTCACTTTCTCTAGCTTGGTGTTGGCTTTGAGTTCACTCAAGGAGAGAGAAGAGTTTATCCTTCCTTCTTCCAGATCAATCCTGATGAATCTGCTCAGTATGAGGGTTTAGTCCAGCTGCTCCTGTATTTCCAGTGGAACTGGGTTGGGCTGGTGGCCAACAAAGATGACAATGCGGAACATTTCGTCTCATCTCTGATACCAAAGCTCAAGGAGAAGGAGATCTGCCTGGCCTTCACTGAAATAATGAAATTTGATTTTTACACTGATCAAGACCCAAATTTATATTATATTTTCAACATTTGGTCTAAAGGTGAAGTGATTATTTTTTTTGGAGACTACAGTAGTATTACATATGCACAGATAGTTTTGTTTGCTTATAAAAAACAGAAATATGCATCATTACTGAAAGTTTGGATCTTCACATCCAATTGGAAACTTAATGTGATGAGCTCTGAATATATATTGCATGTTATAAAGCCCTACCATGGGGCTTTGCATTTTAGGGACCACACCAAGGATGTCTCAGAATTCAGACATTTTCTCATGTCTTTAGACCCTTTGAAACCACAAGGTGACATCTTTCTCCCTCTATGGTGGGGAAAGATCTTTGGCTGCAACATTTACAAACCAGGAGAGATCCCTTCAAAGGAGGTAAAACCATGTACTGGAGAGGAGAATTTACAGAATGTGCCAACTTACATGTTTGAAACAAGCATGACAGGTGAAAGTTACAATATCTACAATGCCATTTATGCTGTGGCACACGCACTACATGCAATGCATGGATCAGGAAGACAAACAGCTATGATGAGACTTGGAAAGAGGATCTTAGATGTCCAGTCATGGCAGGTAATCTCTGCTTTTTAATCCAGTCCACAGATCCTTAGAGCCAACATAGAGAGGAAGTACCCCATGTGTAGAACATAGAATAACAGAGTTGGAAGGGACCTCGGAGGTCTTCTAACCAACCCCCTGCTCAAGCAGGAGAGCTTATATCATTTCAGAAAAATGGATGTCCAGCCTCTTTTTGAAAGCCTCCAGTGATGGAGCATCCACAACTTCTGAAAGCAAGCTATTCCATTGGTTGACTGCTCTCATTGTTATGAAATTTCTCCTTAGTTCCAGGTTCCTTCTCTCCTTGGTTAATTTCCAACCATTGTTTCTTCTCTTGCCTTTTGGTGCTTTGGAAAATAGTTCGACTCCCTCATCTTCGTAGGAGCCTTTCAAGTATGGGAACACTGCTATCTCCTCACCCCAAGTTTTTCTTTTCATTAGAATAAATGTACCAAATTCCTGTAACCATTCTTCTTATGTCTTAGCCTCCAATCATTTTTTTGCTCTTCCCTGTAGTCTTTCAAGAGTCTCAATATCTTTTTTATATTGTGGTAACCAGAATTGGATGCAGTATTCCCAAGTGTGGCCTTACTAAGTCTTTGTAAAGCAGTATTAGAACTTCACGTGATTTTGATTCTATCCTTCTTTTAATTCAGGCTAGGATTGCATTGGCTTTTTTTGGCTGTTGCCACACATTGTTGTTCCCTCCATGTAGATGTTGTTCTGTTGTGGAGTATATGTTGAACACAATTTGTCAGTCGGTAAAAACCCACCTACTGGTTATGCTATCTATCTCACATTTTATTAGTTTGCCAAGAAATAGATTGTGGTCTACTTTATCAAATGCTTTATTGAAATTGAAGTATCCACAGCATTTTGCTGATCTACTAATTTGAAATACTTTGGCCACCTAATGAGAAGGAAGGACTCACTGGATAAGAGCTCCAGTTTTGAATCATTTCTAAAATACTTAGCTCCCTTATTGGATGTTGGTCTTTTGTTGGAAGTATAGATGAAAACACCACTTGTGTCCCTAATTCTTTAACTTGCTTCCCTAGCTTGCTATTGTTTTTTGATTATTTGTTCTATTAGTGGTGCCCCCGAATGTAGAAGGAGAAGAAATGTGTATTAATCCATGGGGTTGATTATTTTAGCAAGTTCTCAGTGGTATCTTTGATTTTTGCTCCAGGGAGACAACATACCTGCCTAGATTGACTGTTCAATCTGTAGACTATAGCTTCTATTCCTCGAAGAATTTTCAAGGAAAAGTATCTCTTGAATTATTGGTTAAATATCAATATGGCATTATATCACTGCATCTCAAAGAAGATTAAAGCAGAACTATTTTTAAAAACAACAATAATACAGATTAAGTATAATGTTTGATTCAATAGGGGTAGAAGGGGAAGGACAAATAAAACAAACCAATTGTAGCTAAGATTCATGGATGTATGATGTTCCCAAAAGGTTTTCAGAAGTATTCAAAGGTTGTGTGAATTTCATGGAGTGGCCATTGTGTAGAGTGGTCCAGAGCAAGATGACAAGTCTGCCAGATGCTTCAACGGGTCAACTGAAGTCCCAGTAGACACATTCTCAGAACCACCTCAGTTTCCTCCATGTTGTAGCCTGAATCCAGTTATAGAAAGACACTTGACCCAATTCATTGTAACTCTGATTTATGTTACTATGGCTTAGCATTCTATGTGATCCTATCCCACATTTTTCGCTTGTCATTTGTTGCACTGAACTGCTTGTTGTGTGAAAGCAGCCTTGGTCAACTTTAGCACACAGAACAGGACTCAATGTAGTCTAAAATTCATGAAATTGTGGTGTGTTTTTTGTTTTTGTTTTTTTGCCTCAAAGCATAAAGTCTCTATGTCCATTGAAGTCAGGAATCAGGGCAGGCACTGTGAGGAAAACAAATTCTTAGAGGAGTAGAGAGTATTAGCAATTTCTAAAAGTTTCTTTTCATTCAGCTTCTTCCCTATTTGAGGAACGTTCAGTTCAACAACAGTGCTGGAGATGAAGTCTCCTTCTCAGAAAATGGCCTGGGATCTGCTCGTTATGATCTTTTCAACTGGGTTCTGCTCCCCAACGAATCTTTTGTCCCTGTGAAAGTTGGACAAATAGATCCCGGGGCTCCCGCAGGACAGGATTTCACCATTAACTCTGATGCAATTGTCTGGGCAAAAAAGGTGAGCTGGAAGGTAAAATAAGTGCAGCAAAAGAGTCATTCTCTTCCGGGGATTCAAAATATCTCCCTTACTGAAGAACGGGTTACTGAAGCAAAAATTTGGCAACCGTTTGATGAAAAAGCTGTTTTGTATGCAACGTATTTGAGATCTGATTTGTGACAGATCAAAAAGAATTAAGATCAGGAAGAAATTCTGCCTGAAATCCAGGATGCAGATGGAGCAGCCAAGAGAGGTTTCCATCAACCATTCCCATTCAGTTGGATCTCCATCGCTGTTTGCTTCAGAAAAGCTATAGCTCAATTCACGACCTTTCTTTTGCATGCCAAGCCCCAGTTCCAAGCCCCAGAATCCATTGGTGGTTTAGAATAGCACAAGCCTTAATCCCCCCAGGAGCTTTTCCTGATTTGTGGTACACTAGAGTTAACCGTTGCTCTTGAAGATATTCTAATGATGGAAAGAGAAATATAGAAAAGAATAAGTGAAGCACATTCATTGCTGAAGACATCTCATGCATTTCTCTTTTCTCTTGTAGAAGGTGCCCTTTGCCAGGTGTGGCATGAAGAGGTGCCAGGCAGGAGAGAGGAAAAGAGTTCCAGAGGGCGAGCAGGTTTGCTGCTACCAATGTGACCCTTGTCCAGAAGGGACCATTTCTAACCAGACAGGTAGAGGAAACTTTCAATGTAGATCTTCCTGGGTCAAGGAAACCATTCAGTAGAAAGAAATATCAATTTTGTTGTCATTTTTTTGTAGATTGACATTCTTCAACATAGTCATGATTTTCAGGAGAACCTCTCTATTCCTGGATCTAAACTGGCCTCCCCTCCTCCCCGCACCAAGCCCCCTTTCCTGCTCCTCAGCAATTTAGTGCAGGGCAGTTTCAGAGCACAATTCATAAGTTACCCACTGGGCTTTCTAGTCCTACTCTTACAACTAACTACGTCCAGGAAAACCAGATACCAAACTTTTCAGGAAGCAATGGGCTCGAGGTTGAGGCTTTGCTTTTCATTATTTAGGGTGTGTTTTTCTGTCAGTGCTATCAGTCTCCCAGGAGAGAGACAGATCTGTTGGAGAAGAGGGAGATTCATCTAACTCAGTCTGCCTACCCTTCCCTGCAAAGATATAGAGATAGAGATAGAGAAAGAGATAGAGATAGATAAATAGATAGATAGACAGGGATAGAGATAGATAGATAGATAGATAGATAGATAGATAGATAGATAGATAGATAGATAGATGATAGATAGATAGATAGATAGATAGATAGATAGATAGATAGATAGAGATAGAGACAGAGATGATAGATAGATAGACAGACAGACATACTGTATAGATAGATAGATACTGTATTTTGCATTTTCATTTAGAATGTGTGTTTGTGTGTGTGTGTGTGTGTGTGTGTAAAGAAAGAAACAGACATTCTGCAAAGTCCAGAACTAAAATAATTAAAAATTTATTCTACTAAGCTTTCGTCAGCCATCTGCTGACATCGTCAGAGTATTAAACTACCATTACAGGGAGATCTACGACCCATGCAATGGCCAAATTGATTAATGACATATAAAAGCAGAGATCTCTGTAATGGTAGTTTAATACTCTGACGATATCAGCAGATGGCTGACGAAAGCTTAGTAGAATAAAATTTTAATTATTTTAGTACTGGAGTTCACAGAATGTCTATTTCTTTCTTTACAAATATACCTGGAATTCGTATTTTTAGAATAGTTAGTAATATATATGTATATGTATATGTATATGTATATGTATATGTATATGTATATGTATATGTATATGTATATGTATATGTACATTATGTATTCTGAATGAGTCGATGCAAAATACAAAGTAGAGAACTTGATCCCAAAAGATGGAAACATCCTTGTCTCAGACTAGCCTATTATCAGAATAATCAATATTGAAGTATGATTTGTTCTTTTTGATATTCCATGATATGCAAAGTATTCTTGATTTCAGATTCTGCAAGCTGTGATCCCTGCCCAAAAGACCAATATCCCAACAAGGACAAGGACCACTGCATTGCCAAGAAGATCCACTTCCTTTCCTATCAAGAGACCTTGGGATACACTTTAGTTTCTCTCACTCTTTTTCTCTCCATGATCACATTGGCAGTGCTGGCAATTTTCCTTAAACATTGTGACACACCAATCGTCAAGGCCAACAACCGAGATCTCACCTACATCCTCCTGGTCTCCCTCCTCCTCTGCTTCCTATGCTCCTTCCTCTTCATTGGTCAACCTGGGAAGCTCACTTGCTTCTTCCAACAAACTGCCTTTGCCATTCTCTTTTCCCTTGCAGTTTCCTCTGTGTTGGCAAAAACTGTCATGGTGGTTCTGGCCTTCATGGCCACCAAGCCAGGGAACAGGTCAAGGAAACTCTTAGGAAAACCACTTACTAACTCCATTGTCTTAGCCTGTCCTCTGGTCCAAGCAGTACTTTGTGCCATCTGGCTGGTAACCTCTCCCCCGTTTCCCAACTTGGACTTCCATGCCTTGACTAGGGAGACCATTTTGGAATGTCAGGAAGGCTCAGTTTCAATGTTTTATGCTGTCCTCTCCTACCTGGGTTTCCTGGCCCTTGTGAGTTTCACAGTGGCTTTCCTGGCTAGGAAATTGCCTGACAGCTTTAACGAAGCCAAGTTCATCACTTTCAGCATGCTGGTCTTTTGCAGTGTTTGGATCTCATTCCTCCCCACCTACCTGAGCACCAAAGGGAAGTCCATGGTGGCCGTGGAGATCTTCTCCATCTTGGCCTCTGGGGCTGGTCTCTTGGCTTGCATCTTTTTCCCCAAATGCTACATTATCCTACTGAGGCCCCATCTGAATTGTAGAGAAAATATAATGAGGCACAAGAATCTCTGATTTGTCCTGGGATTGGGAAATTTTACTTGGATTGGGGGATTTTGGACAGTTGTCCCTCATAAGGTCCCAATGATCATCTGAGTAATATACATTGATATCAAAGGTGTGGATATTTATTAATTAAACAAATTTATATCTAGTCATTCAACTCACACACAGCTGTGACTCTGGGCAGCTGAAAACAAATTTTGTTAAAATCCATCATATAATAAATCCATCATATAATACATCCATGATATTTTTAAAAAAACCCGTAACCCACCAATTTACAGCAGGAAAGTTTCCCACTTTAATCACAGTGTCTAAAATGTGCTGGATTGTGTTGGGTGCCTAGGGAGCAGGAGGGCAAGACTTTTATTTTACAAAAGGAAAGGTTGCTAATTAAAAAAAAGAGAGAGAATGAAATTGTAAATTGTGAATATCTTCAAGTAGTGCACAAATTAAATCTGCACTAAAAATCATATAGTTTATATTAAAACTATTTAAATAGAAAACAGTATTTCCTATAATCCCTTAATTTACCCTATCTACTTTTTAAGTGCAATTTCACTATATATTCACATCTTTATATTATATATCTCAATAAATTTATTCATTGTTGACTTCTATGTTTCTGCTGTCTTAATTATAGTTTATCATTGTCACTCTCCAAGGAGCTACCCTCCTTTTTCTATGGAACTCAATCTGCCTTTTATTTTATTTTTATTTTCTGCTTTTTCTTTCAGGTTTGTCTTTAGTTTTTCTTTGCCTCTTCTGTTTGTTCCTTGAGGGCCTTCTTCAGCCTTCTCTTCTGGCTCTCAGCTCCATCTGAGAAAGCATCTGGAACAACATTTACCTCAGTCAGTTGCCCAATTGATAGACCAAGAGACACAATTGTGGTTTTAGAAATAGATTTTCCTCCTGTCAAAATGACAAAATTACTCCAGTGTTATGGGGATAATAGGCATTTCCCTCTCCTGAGATTCATCAAACACTAGTAATCATTACTTCATCTCAGTGGATTTCCACAAATTAATCCACCTTAACCCTAAACAGGTTACATGGTGAAAACATGTTTATCTACAAGCTCCAAATCCTATATCTGGGTCCTTTTACAGTTGGAGCTTAGATGAATGCTTATGTGAAGATTGAAAACTCCACTTGAACCCTCTGAAGTCACCAGAGCATCACAGTTCCTGAAAGACCCTCCTTTGACTTCCTGTAGTCTCTTTCTGTGTCCAATGAGTTGGCTTTTAGTATGGCTATGGCTCTTACCTGCAACTGTCCAGATGGACCTGAGGCCAAACTGCTTCTGGAAGAGAACTTTCCAAGAACAAAAAGACTATTATAGACCCGGAGATCTCATTATCGGTGGAAACCTACCTCTCTCCCTTACTAAAGTTCTACAGCTCCCACGTGAGCCTCCTGCTGATTGGGATACCTATTCTTTGTAAGTGTTTCTTGATTGTCTTGGGGCGATGTGAAAAGGGTAGTTTTGAACATAGGACATACTTAAATCCCACTCAGCCTCCGTTGACGTAGGACCTTCCTAGTTAGAAGACATTGATTCTCTTTGATGAATCAATCTGCCTCTAGTCCCCTTTTCAAGCCCTCTGACTCTTCAGTGATAAAGAATAACTTGTCACACAAGGGAGTCAACCTTTTCTCCATGTTTCTGTAGGTAAGGTGCACATTGCAAAGAAACCAGTATGGACTGAACTTGGGGAGAAATAATATTAGGTCCTTCTGTCTTATTTCTGCATCGAATTCATCTTCCTGTCTCATTATTCTGATGATTTGTAATGCCACCCTTCATGCTTGCATTGCATTCTATGTAGTGAAGGTCTGACTTTTATCCCATCAAGCCTGGCTTCCCACCAATCACCTGTTAATCCTGGGCACTTCTGGTCAGTGGAGCAAGCTTCTTTGGAGAATCCCCAACAGAAAGAGTTCCACATTCTGACTAATTGAAAGGGCTTTTTCTACATGGGGGAGGGGGAATACATCTTCATATCAGACATTAATACAATTGAGAGAGACCAGAGATATTTCACGAGAAGAGTCCCCCACTCCTCTGCTCACAACAGAATACCTTATACCCCCAGGCTTGAAATTTTGGGCTTAGACAATTTTGAACTTTGCCCCCTTCGGTCTGACTTAAGGATAGTACATAAAATTATCTGCTACAATGTCCTACCTGTCAATGACTACTTCAGCTTCAACCACAATAATACACGAGCACACAAAAGATACAAACTTAATTCACACAATAGATACAAACTCGATTGCAGGAAATACAACTTCAGCAACAGTGTGGTCAATGCCTGGAATGCACTACCTGATTCTGTGGTTTCTTCCCCAAATTACCAAAACTTTAACCTTAGACTATCTACAGTTGACCTCACCCCATTCCTAAGAGGTCTGTAAGGGGCCTGCATAAGTGCACCAGCGTGCCCACTGTCCCTGTCGTAATGTCCCTTTTTATTTGTATCCATTTCATGTTTATATATCCATTTCATGTATTCATAATCATGTATATACTTTTATCTGTAATCTTATATATGCTTGACAATAAATAAATAAATTAATTAATCATTTCTAGCCAGCAAAAGTCAACCTGGTCAGACATTCATTTAATTTATAAAGCCACCTAATTCAAAAGGACTCTGAGAACATGATAGGGTGCCAGATTGGGAAAAAGTGCTTGAGAACGTAGGACAGAAAATGACATGACTGGAGATAATAAAATGTGTAGTTTTGTCAAGATAGCAATAGCAATAGCATTTAGACTTACATACTGCTTCACAGTGCTTCACAGCCCTCTTTAAGTGGTTTACAGAGTCAGCATATCGTCCCCAACAATCTGGGTCCTCCTTTTACCCATCTCAGAAGGATGGAAGGATGAGTCAATCTTTTTTTTTTTATTGCAAAAGTTTTACAATTACATTTTCACCCCTTTCCCCCCCACCACCACCACCCCCAAACTTCCCAACCTCCCTAACCCTCCCTAACCCTCCCCTCCCCCCAGACTTCCCTATAATATACTCATAACTCGTAAAAAAAAAAAAACCCTAATATGACACTTATATATAAACTTGAACCCCTCCCTCCCCTGTATAATTTTTCTTTTTACCTCATTACATTAAAATATTTCTAAAACATTATTTTCAAGTAAAGGCTATTTGATACTTTCTAGTTTGATATTTGTTCTGGATATATTCTATCCACTTTTTCCATTCCCATTCATAAGTCTCTTGTGAACAATCTTTTAAGTATGCTGAAATCTTCGCCATCTCTGCAAAACTGGCCATCTTCAAAGTCCATTCCTCAATAGTGGGCAAAGCTTCATTTTTCCAGTATTTACCTATCAACAATCTTGCTGCTGTTATCATATACAGTATCAGTTTTGTTTCACCCGATGTAAAACCCTTAACTATACCCAATAAAAACAATTGTGGAGAGAATTGAATTTTTTTCTTCAACACATTCTGCATGACCCACCAAATTTTTATCCAAAAAGCCTTAACTTTCCTACAGGTCCACCAAACATGATAATACGTAGCATCCAAACATTCACATCTCCAACATTTTGGCTGAACATTAGGGTACATACATGACAACTTTTTGGGATCTAAATGCCATCTATAAAACATTTTATAGAAATTTTCCCTCAGGTTCTGCGACTGTGTAAATTTAACATTCTGAACCCAAATTTTTTCCCATGTTTCCAGCATCACTGGTTCTTCAAAATTTTGTGCCCACTTAATCATACAATCTTTAACTAATTCAGTTTCTGAATCCCTTTCTAGCAAAACATTATAAAGCCTTTTGATATGCATTGAACCTTTCTCTTTTATATGTCTAACCAATTTTCTTGTTCCCCAGGTTGTTCAGATCCTCAGGGCCAGAGCCTCCGGCTGATGTTGTGCAACGCCAGGTCCGTTGTTAATAAAGCCCCCCTCATTCACGATCTTATTCAGGAGGGGGAGGCGGACCTGGCGGGCATTACGGAGACCTGGTTGGGCCAGGAGGGGGGAGTCCCCCTCGTGGATATATGCCCACCAGGCTTCCGTGCATTTCATCAGCCGAGGGCTCAGGGCAGGGGTGGGGGGGTGGCGGTTATTATAAAGGAAGGTCTGGATCCAAGGGAGACCACTGTTCCACAGATAGCCGGATGTGAGTCCCTCTTTGTGAAGTGGGGTCGTGGAGTACAGATGGGCCTGTTGGTCACGTACCTGGCTCCCTGCCACGTGGCAACGGCCCTGCCCGAGCTCCTTAACGTTATAGCCGAGGTGGCGGTGGGCACCCCCAGACTTGCCATCATGGGGGATTTCAACCTGCCATCTATCGGTGAAACGTCTGAGGTGGCTCGAGAGTTCATGGCTTCCATGACGGCCATGGACCTTACTCAGTTAATTCATGACCCCACTCACACAGGAGGACACACTCTGGACTTAGTTTTTGTCTCTGGTCAGTGGTTGAGTGGCCTTGATATAGGGGATATAGCCATCGAACCCTTGTCATGGTCTGACCACTCGCTCCTTCGACTGGACTTTCTAACCGCTGCACCCTGCCGCAGGGAGGCGGGACCGACCAGGTGGTTCCGCCCCAGGTGCCTGATGGACCCTGATAGGTTCCAGATGGAGCTTGGGCCATTTCCTGAGATTCTGGCTCATGACTCGGCTGAAGACCTGGTGGCCGCCTGGGATAGTGCGGCTGCCGGGGCCTTGGACCGAGTCGTGCCTTTGCGGCCTCTGACCCGGCACCGAACTCACCTAGCTCCTTGGTTTTCCGAGGAGCTTAGGGAGATGAAGCGCCGGAAAAGACGCCTGGAGAGTAGTTGGAGGACCAGTCGCTCCGAATCCGACCGAACACTGGTGAGGTCTCATATTAAGACCTACCTAGTGGCGATAAAAGCGGCGAAAACTAGCTATTTTGCCGCTCTTATCGCGTCATCAGATAATCGCCCGGCCGCCCTGTTTAGGGTGACCCGCTCCCTCCTCCATCTGGAAGTGCGGGATGACCCCTTGCAGGGTCGAGCTGAGGATTTTGTGCAGTATCTGTATGACAAAATCGCTCAGATTCGGGAAGGGCTGGCCTCTGACTGGGTATGTCCAGACGGGATGACTGAGGCAGGTCTTGAGAGTGTTATCTGGGGGGAGTTCGATCCTGTGGCTCCCGAGGACATGGACAGGGTCCTGGGACGGCTGAACGCGACCACATGTTTATTGGACCTGTGTCCCTCCTGGTTGGTACTGGCTTCCCGGGAGGTGACACGAGGCTGGCTCCAGAAGATTGTTAACGCTTCTTTGAGTGAGGGGGTCCTGCCGGCCGCTTTGAAAGAAGCGGTGGTGAGGCCCCTCCTCAAGAAGCCTTCTCTGGATCCGGCTGTTTTGGCTAACTATCGTCCAGTCTCCAACCTTCGCTTCATTGCGAAGGTTGTTGAGAGTGTGGTGGCGCAACAGCTTCCCCGGTACCTGGATGAAGCTGTCTATCTAGACCCGCTCCAGTCCGGCTTCCGGCCTGGGCACAGCACGGAAACGGCATTGGTCGCATTGGTGGATGATCTCTGGAGGGCCCGGGATAGGGGTTGCTCCTCTATCCTGGTCCTGTTAGACCTCTCAGCGGCTTTTGATACCATCGACCATGGTATCATGTTGCACCGGTTGGCGGGGTTGGGGGTGGGAGGCACCGTTTTGCGGTAGTTCTCCTCCTACCTCTCTGACCGGTTGCAATCTGTGTTGACAGGGGGGCAGCGGTCGACCCCGAGGCACCTTGCTTGTGGGGTGCCACAAGGGTCGGTCCTCTCGCCCCTTCTGTTCAACATTTATGTAAAGCCGCTGGGTGAGATCATCCGTGGCTTCGGGGTGGAGTTCCATCAGTACGCTGATGACACCCAGCTGTACATCTCCACCCCAGGCCACCCCAATGATGCCCTTAAAGTGATGTCCCAGTGCCTGGAGGCCGTGCGGGCCTGGATGGGGAGAAACAGGCTCCAACTCAACCCCTCCAAGACCGAGTGGCTGTGGCTTCCGGCGTCCCGATATAGCCAGCTGACGCCATCGCTGGCTATTGGGGGCGAATCACTCACCCCCACGGAGAGGGCTCGTAACTTGGGTGTCCTCCTGGACGCACGGCTGTCGTTAGAAGATCATTTGGCGGCCGTGGCCAGGGGGGCTTTTTATCAGGTCCGCCTGATACGCCAGTTGCACCCCTTTCTAGATCGGGACTCCCTACGCACAGTCACTCAGGCACTCGTCACTTCCCGCCTGGACTACTGCAACGCTCTCTACATGGGGCTCCCCCTGGGGTGCACCCGGAGGCTCCAGCTGGTCCAGAACGCGGCCGCACGGGGGATTTTGGGGGCGACGAGGCGCTCCCACGTGACACCTCTCCTGTGCGAGCTGCACTGGCTCCCGGTGGTCTTCCGGGTGCGCTTCAAGGTGTTGGTGACCACCTTTAAAGCGCTCCATGGCTTAGGGCCGGGGTACTTACGAGACCGCCTTCTGCCACCAATAGCCTCCCACCGGCCAGTACGCTCCCACAGAGTGGGCCTCCTCAGGGTGCCGTCCGCCAGACAATGTCGGCTGGCGACGCCCAGGGGGAGAGCCTTCTCTGTGGCGGCGCCCGCCCTCTGGAACAACCTCCCCCCAGAGCTACGTACAATAACAGACCTCCGGATTTTTCGTCGGGCCCTAAAAACCCATTTATTTCAACTAGCTGGGCTGGCTTGAGTCAAATTTTAAACAGATTTTAAGTTGGAATGTTTTAATTACGGCCAAAATTATTTAATTATTTTAAACAGTTTTTAGATTTTGTATGTTTTATATGTATGTCTTGTTTTTACTTTGGCTGTTCATCGCCCTGAGTCCTACATTGGAGAAGGGCGGTATAGAAATTTAAACAAATAAAATAAAATTTAAACAAATAAATTCTTCCTCATGCAACATAATACCAGTTTTTTGGTCCTCTTTCCATCTCAATTGTAATTGATTATATTGTAACCAAGTTAAATTAATCCCTTCGTCCAACAGTGTCTGCAATGTCTTCAGCTGCCATTGAGTCAATCTTGAGCCTGATGAAATTCAAACTGCCAAATTGCAGGCATCTGGCAGTCAGCAGAAGTAGCCTGCAGTACTGCACTCCAACCACTGTGCCATCATGGCTCAGCCACATTTCCTTAACTGGACTGAAAAGTTCATTTTGGAAAAGTCAATACTGACTTGAACTGGGCTCATGATGTAAATGATAATTTATGGATCAATTTACTTAAATTTGCTGTGGAGAAAGGGAAAGGAAGCTTTGTCATACACTGTTGACAATAAAAAAAAAATAATCTTACTGATTGACAGTAAACCTGTATTCCGACAGCAATAAAACAAATCAATCAATTTGTATTGATCTGTTCTATGATTAACTCCTAGAATCCTGGTAATGCTTTCTTAACCAAATAAACAGTACATCTCCCTCCTGCTCCTGTCTAATTTTTGTCATCTAACACTTGCGACAAAGACCTGTTCCCAAGAACTACCAACACATTCTGGCTTTGGCATTTGCCATTCAGGAGGTCAACAGAGACCCATATCTCCTCCCCAACATCACTCTGGGCTTCCGCATCTACGAAGAGAATCAATATGCAAGCATGTCTCCAGATGTCAGCCTGTCTCTCCTCTCCAGCCGGGGAAAAGTGTTTCCTAACTATAAGTGTGACACACTGAACCTTCTCTCTGTCCTTGGGGGTCTCAACTCCAGAACCTCATACCAGATGGCAACCATATTTGGCAATTTCAAGATTTCTCAGGTACTTGGACATGCAACATGATGAAAAGGTGAATGCTGTAAGCTCTGCCCTTGTATGGTTATTGCCAACAATTCCCAGTCATTTCTGTGACCAGAAGAAAACATCTCATGAAGGTGCAAAGTTGTGGAGATGAAGGTCCAGAATTGGATACCTGGCTAGTCTAAATAATCTGAGGTTAGTAACAAAAAATACAGGTTCCATTTTCCTTGCTTAACCTTTTCCTTTTTCTTCCATCTCCACCCTCCCTTCAGCTAGGATACCGCTTCTCTGACCCTGTTCTGAGGGATAAGACCCAGTTCCCCACCTTCTACCAGATCGATCCCCAGTATGACCTACAGAATGCAGCCATTGTCCAGCTCCTTCTCTATTTCCAGTGGAACTGGATTGGGATTGTTGTTCAGAAGTCAGAGAGCAGTGACCATTTCATCTGGATTTTTGATGCCACACTTGCCCTGAATGACATTTGCATACAATTTGTAAAACAGATCTTGCCCCGAATCTCAATATTCAATGAATTGAACAGCGAACAAATAGATCTGCTTTGGACAATTTTGAGCAATGATGCTCAGGTTGTGATTGTGGCGGGGGATTCAAATACTCTGCAGAGCCTTATATTATCTCTTTACTTTTATGAAGAAGCGAAGCACACCGCTTTTGGGAAGGTCTGGATCCTGACCACCCAATGGGAATTTTCAGCTATTGGCTATCACTACGAGTGGGGAAAACTAAAATCCCTCCATGGTGCTTTGTCTTTGACGGTCCACACAAAACCGGTGCCAGGATTCAAAGATTATCTCTGGGCTCTGAATCCACATGAACCCCACGGAGACGTCTTTCTCCCTGAATGGTGGGAAGTTGTATTTGACTGTCAGGTTTTGAAGGCAGGTCTGGCCTCACCTGATGGCCGAAGGGTTTGCACAGGGGAGGAGAACCTGGACACCCTCCCAGCCTCCGTCTTTGATGGAAAGATGACCGGTTTCAGCTACAGCATCTACAATGCTGCCTATTCTGTGGCACATGCATTACACGCTGCGTATATGGTGGAATCACAACTGGCATTGAAGAGGGGCAGAAAGAAGCCACACCTTCACCTCTCTATGAAGTCCTGGCAGGTAACTGTTCAGATCTTCTCTGCTGGTTTGTAAGTACATGCTTAAACTTCAAAGACAAGACTGGATTTGTTAAGAAAGCATCTGAACTGAAATAGTCAAGGTAAATAAATGAACAAATAAATAAAGAGGAGACTGTACTTTGATTGTAAGATTGGTGATCAAGACAAGGGTCAGGATTAGGCCCAAAACCTATAGTAAAGGGAATGCATACATGTATTAACTGCGGCTAGAATTGTATTTGCACAAAACTGCAAGAGTGAAGAGATCCCGACTGACGAGAATGTTATTAGGAAAATGTTGGAATGTGCAGAAATGAATAGGTTAACCTTAGCTATACAGGAGAAAGAGCAAACTGAATACTGTATGACGTGGGAACTATTTTATGGATGGCTGGAGAACAAAAACAGAAACTAGAAATAAATAGAAATGAGTGAAATATAGAAAATATGTAAAGACAAAGATGTAAACAATATGATGACTTTTACTAATATTTTTGATAAGACTCTTGTGTTTAATATTACTATTATATTCTTACTGGAAGATATTTTAAGAGGGAGAAATGAATAGGTTTATTATGCTTATTATTATTAGTGTAAGATTAGAGAATCAATATCAGAGAACTAGAGATTAGAGAACTCATCAAATTTGTAGGTGACACCAAGCTGGCAGGAATAGCCAACACTCCAGATAGACTCAAGATACAGAAGGATCTTGACAGATTTGAACATTGGGTGCTATCTAACAAAATGAAATTCAACAGTGAAAAAAGCAAGGTTCTACATTTAGGGAAGAAAAACAAAATGCACAGGTACTGTATATGTGGTACCTTGCTCAATAGTAGTAACTGTGAGAGGGATCTTGGAGTCCTAGTGGACAACTATTTAGATATGAGCCAGCTGTGTGTAGCAGCTGCCAAAAAAGCCAAAAAGCTGTGTGTTCTGGGCTGCATCAACAGAGGGATAGAATCAAGTGTTAATACCACTTTATAATGCCTTGGTAAGGCCATACTTGGAATATTGCATTCAGTTTTGGTCGCCACGATGTAAAAAAGATGTGGAGACTCTAGCAAGAGTGCAGAGAAGAGCAACAAAGATGATTGGGGGACTGGAAGCTAAAACATATGAAGAACGATTGCAGGAACTGGGTATGTCTAGTTTAATGAAGAGAAGGACCAGGGGAGACATGATAGCAGTCTTCCAATATCTCAGGGGCTGCCCCAAAGAAGAGGGAGTCAAACTATTCTTCAAAGCACCTGAGGGTAGAACAAGAAGCAATGGATGGAAACTAATCAAGGAGAGAAGCAATTTAGAGCTAAGGAGAAATTTCCTGATAGTTAGAACAATTAATCAGTGGAACAACTTGCCTGCAGAAGTTGTGAGTGCTCCAAAACTGGAAATTTTTAAGAAGATGTTGGATAACCATTTGTCTGAAGTGGTGTAGGGTTTCCTGCCTGGGCAGGGGGTTGGACTAGAAGACCCCCAAGATCCCTTCCAACTCTGTTATTCTATTCTAATATCAATGTAATGAAGATTGTGAATTTTGTTTGCCATTGCATAGAGATATTTTCACCCAGAAGACATACTGTTTAATGGAAGATGAAATGTTCAAAATAAAAAATATATAGCAAAAAAAAAAAAAAAGACAAAGGTCAGGGGTTTGGGTTAGGGGCAAGAAAAATAATGAAGGACATCAATGCCTCTTGCAAGAACTGGAGGAACATGCAATATCAGTGCATCTCATTCATTACTTCATTAATGAAGTTATTCATTAACGATTTAACCAAAAACATTTTGCAGAGAAGTCATTTGGAACCAGAGTTTGACTCATTTATATTTCCAAGCACCTTGTTTTCCTTTGGGAATAATTTGTAGTTTCAGTCCTTGAAGCTGAATATCCAGCAGCTCCAGAAATAGAACTTTCCCTCAATCTACAGCTTAGTTGTAACTTTGATATAACCAGATATCATATTTTACAAAGTTAATTAAATCTCCTTTCAGCAAGATATTCTTCTCTCCCTTCAAACTTCCATTTATGGGGAAAATTAATTTTAGTTTTTTAATGTTTGCCCATTTATTCATCAAAGGTGATTCTCTCCATCAGCCAACAGCACACTTGCAATTGTGTGTCTGCAGCAGTGCGTAATAAACTCACAATGTTGTAGTGGTGGTGGGAAATAGGAAGAAACAATAAGAAATATTATCTATGTTCACCACACTGAGTTACTTGTAAAGTAATAAAGACTGGATAAAAAGTAATTACTACATAAAAGAAATGAAGAGATTGCATGTAAAAATCTTTTGGGGAATTGCTGAGTTCATCAACTTTAACAATGGCTGGCTTTTATCTTTCTTTCCTTTCTGGGATACAGAAAAACATTTATTATGCATATTGCAATTTAAAATCTCTTTATATAAAGTCATGGACTTTTTGGTTGTCTGTTGCTTGTTTTGCCATTCCAGATGCATGTCTTCTTGAGAAAGGTCCTTTTCAATAACACCGCTGGGGACGAAGTCTCCTTTTCAGAAACTGGGATGAAATACGCAGGATTTGATATCCTCAACTGGGTCGTCTTTGCAAATATGACGATCCTTCGAGAGAAAGTCGGATGGGCCAATCCGGAGGCTCCTTCAGCTGAAGGTTTCAGCATCAACCCTGACGCCATTGTATGGGCCAATCAGGTAGGGAGTAGATGTTGTTTCCAGGGTTCAGGAAAGCTGAGAGGAAGGACCAGGTTGTTGTGACTCAAATTCTATTCAGGGGAAGGAAGAGGAGGGCTGTATTTATGCACACGTCGAAGCCAAGCTGACCATTTCTAAGGTCTCCGTCTCAAAGCTAATCTCACTCTCCTTTCAGACAAAGCCTTTCTCCCGATGTGTGAAGAGCTGCCTTCCAGGACAAGCCAGGAAAGTTGCAGAGGGGAAGCGTTCTTGTTGCTATGGATGTGTTTCTTGCCCAGAAGGGACCATTTCTAATCAAACAGGCAAGTTGCTTGAGGAGGCCCTCAAGCAGGAATGAGGAGGTCTGGTGTGGCTGCCTGGGGAGGAGTGATTTAGATTTAGGTTTTTAGATTTTATTAAAGTTCTATACCGCCCTTCTCTCAAAGGACTCAGGGCGGTGTACAGCCATATTTAAAACACATATAAACCACAAAATTTAAGAACAATTTAAAAACAGATATATAAAATTTGGCCCACGAAATTAAAAACTAACAAACACCCCAATTAAGAATTCCTATTAGGCGAGCCCGGCTTGTTGGGATAAAAGGGTCTTCAGGGCATGGCGGAAGGTATGCAGGTCAGGGATCATACAAACCTCTAGGGGCAGCTCATTCCAGAGGGCTGGTGCCCCCACAGAGAACGCTCTCCCCCTGGGTGTCGCCAATCAACATTGTTTGGCCGACGGCACCCTGAGGAGCCCCTCTCTGTGGGAGCGTATTGGCCGGTGGGAAGCTATCAGCGGCAAAAGGCGATCTCGTATATATCCTGGTCCTAAGCCATGGAGCGCTTTAAAGGTGGTAACCAACACCTTGAATCGCCCCCGGAAGACCACCGTGAGCCAGTGCAGTTCGTGCAGGAGAGGTGTTACATGTCGCCCCCATAATCACCCCTGCACCCGCATTCTGGACTAGTTGGAGCCTCCGAGTGTTCTTCAAGGGGAACCCCATGTAGAGAGTGAGAGAGAATATGAGGTGGCAAATCAGTTGAACAAATCAACATGAAAGTCATTCAGAACTTTTAAGAGTGGTATGTTGAATGGATCTTTTAAGTTGTTAGCAGCAGTTTTCTATGTGTATTTTAATATTTTATTAAACACTGACCAGAGTCAGAATAACAGATTTACAGAGTTGGAAGGGACCTTGTAAATCATCTAGTCCAAAGCCCACCCAAGCAGGAGACCCTATACCATTCCTGAAAGATGGCAGTCCAGTCTCTTCTTGAAAGCTTCCAGTGATGAAGCTCCCACAACTTCCAAAGGCAACTTCTGTTCCATTGGTTGATTGTTCTCACTGTCAGAAAATTTCTCCTTAATTTCAGGTTGATCTCTCCTTGTTTAGTTTCCATCTATTATTCCTTGCTGGTCTTCAGATGCTTTGGAAAATCGGTTGACCTCCTCCTCTCTGTGGCAGCCCCTCAAATATTGGAACACTGCTATCATGTCTCCCCTGATCCTTCTCTTTCCTCAACTAGTTCCTGTAACCATTCTTCATATGTTTTAGCCTCCAGTCCCCTAATTATCTTGGTTGCTCTTCTCTGCACTCTTTCTAGAGTCCCAACAACTTTTTTATAGTGTGTTGACCAAAGCTGGATGCTGTATTCTAGGTGTGGTCTTACTAAGGCTTTATAGAGTGGTTTTAGTACCTCACTTGATCTTGATTGTATCCCTCTCTTAATTCAATTTAGGATTGCATTGGCCTTTTTGGCTGCCGCCTCATATTTAATTGGTTGTCCACTAAGACTCCAAGATCCCTCTCATGGTTATTGCTATTAAGCCTGGTTTCACCCAGTCTATATGTGTACTTTTGGTTTTTCTTGCCTAAGTGTAAGACTTTATTTTTCTCTACATTGAATTTCATTTTGTTAGATAGGGCCCAGGATTCAATTCTGTCAAGATCCATCTGGATCTTGAGCCTATCTTCTAGGGTGTTGGCTATTCCTGCCAGCTTAAAGTCATTTATGAAGATATTGAAGAGTACTGGGCCTAGGACAAAACCTTGTGGTACCCCACTGCTTACTTCCCTTCATGTAGACGTAGACCCATTAAGGACTACTCGCTGAGTATGGTTTGTAAGTCAGTTATGAATCCATCTGATGGTGATGCTATCTATCCCACCTTTTTCTAGCTTACCAAGAAGTAACTTCATTGTCGAATGCCTCGAGTCCCTCAGTGTGGGAGATGGGAATTTCAAAATGTAATAATGAAATAAAACAAATCAATTAATTCATTATATAATTACTCCTGAGAAGTTTTTAGCTGCTGATTCCACTGGATCCTTCTGTGTTGTGTGCAGCAGAAGTAAAGAGATGGGGAGCATGGGGCATTTCAGTTTTTTCATTGGGAAAACAGTTCCCCTCAAGGATAATCCCTGGTTCTCTATCTAATATCAGCTGATGCCTGTTCTTCCAGATGCGGCTCAGTGCACCCCCTGCCCAGAAGACCAACAGCCAAACAAGAACCACGTCCTGTGCATTCCCAAGACCATGAACTTTCTCTCCTATGAGGATACACTTGGCTCCATTTTAGTTTCCCTAGCTCTTTTCTTCTCTTTGACCACAATCCTCATGTTGGCAGCCTTCATCAAACACTGCAACACACCCATCGTCAAGGCCAACAACCGCAACATCACCTACATCCTCCTGGTCTCCCTCCTGCTCTGCTTCCTCTGCTCCTTCCTCTTCATCGGGCAGCCAAGGAACCTCACCTGTCTCCTCCGACAAATCGCTTTCGGCATCATCTTCTCCACTGCCATTTCATCTGTCTTGGCAAAAACTCTGACTGTAGTTCTGGCCTTCATGGCTACTAAGCCAGGAAACAGGGCAAGAAAACTCTTGGGGAAGCAAATGATCTTAGTCCTGGCCTGTCCCCTCGTGCAAACAGCTCTTTGTGCCTCCTGGCTGGCAATCTCCCCCCCATTTACTAATTTGGACTTTCATTCTGTGAAGGGAGAAATTGTGCTGGAATGCAATGAAGGTTCAACCGCCATGTTTTATGCTGTTCTGAGCTACATGGGTTTCCTGAGTCTCATCAGCTTCATAGTGGCTTTTCTGGCCAGGAAACTACCAGACAGTTTTAATGAAGCCAAGTTCATTACTTTCAGCATGCTGGTCTTTTGCAGTGTCTGGGTCTCCTTTCTCCCCAGCTATCTGAGCACCAAAGGGAAGTCCATGGTGGCCGTGGAGATCTTCTCCATCTTGGCCTCTGCAGCTGGTCTGCTGAGTTGTATCTTTCTCCCCAAATGCTACGTTATAGTGCTGAGGCCAGATCTGAACAATAGAAGTCACCTCATGGGGAAAATTAAGTAGGAAAGCAAGAAAACACATAGTCACTTCTGTACAGGTTAATATAGAGGTTTCCACTCCAACTACGTCCAGACACAACAAGCACATGCTAGCTAAAATAACATTATGGTTATTTTATTCTATTTGCTGACTCATTTTGCTGATTCCAACTCATAGTTAGAGTCTTGACTTAACTATCTGGCCTAGTTAGAAGGGTCTGCAAGAAGCCTTTCAGTTTTATTCAAACATACAAATACTTTAACCAGAAGGAAGTCTGTTTAGCTTTATACCTCCCTCCCTTTTATCATGAAAAGCTCAGCTTTTAATTATTGTGCTTGTAGTATTGCATAACTTTTCATTGTTTGCAATAATTTGCATTACCTTGAGCAACCGAGCTGAAATTCTTACCACTTAATGTCAGATGCTGTTAACAGTTCCCATCACAGGCTGTTAGAATTGATCATTGAATAAAGAAAATATTTATATCTTCTACCAATGTCAACTACATTTTCCCCCAGGATCCCAGATTGGACATCCAGACCCACCTTTTCCAGTCTTTATTTTTTAATGAAGTCAGCCAAACTGCACACCAGTTCCATCTTAGGTACTGTGACCCCATCCAGAACAAAGGATAGAAAATCAGTGGATCTTCTTATGAGTTAACTGAAAAGTGAAAGATTCAGCCTATGAGTTCTTTCTATGTATATTGTCTCATATTTCTATCACTATTGATAATATATTACTATTATCTCAATGCTATCACTAGTACATAATTTCTACTATACTACTATACTACTACTAGTAGTAGTACTACTACTGCTACTACTACTACTACTACTTGTCAGGGTTCTGACCGGTGCCCTAATTAAATCATGAGCCTCAAGCCAAACTTCAAAAGAAATCCAGTTATTTATTAGGGAGCTTCATGTCGGCACGTTCCAAGTGAAGCCAACTCTGACCCCATGTAATTTACGTTCTGGCTCTGACTCTGTTTCCCCCCTCCGACTGATAACAAGGTGTGTCATCAGTCACATTCTCCAACGAAGCAATTTTGCGGGTTGTAGAGATCACTCCCCTCTGGCCACTCTGGGTAACTGCGGAGAGAGCCTTGACAGAGATATGGCTGGAATGTGCTTTTGTTTTGACTGATGTTCTGCCTCGCTGCAGCTGCAAAGTTTGTTTTCCCATCCACCCCTGCCTATGGCAACTCATAGAGCAGGCCAGGAATGCTTTGCGAGTTGGTGCTACTATTGATACACAACAGGGTTTTCACTCAGATCTGTTCTCTCTTTCCAAAGCGGAACTTTGGGGGCATTGTACTACCGTGTTCCCCCAAAATAAGTCCCAGTTAAGATTATCAGTCAGATGGATGTATTTCCCTGAATTTTCCATATTTCCCTGAAAAGAAGCCTTAATGAGTCTTTTGGAGCAAAAATTAATATAAGACCTGGTCTTACTTTTGGGGAAACACAGGTAATTATGGCACAGTGTACTAATTGTCCCTGGAAATTAGAGGCAAATGTTCTGATTGCTGCTGGACAAGGCAGATGCAAGCTAAGCATTATCAATAAACAATGATAAAGTCATAGGTTGATCTCAAAAAGGTTGCCTTAAAGTGGGCTTCTTGAGAAGTATCAGAGGTGGTATTCAGCAGGTTCTGACCAGTTCTGGAGAACTGGTAGTGGAAATTTTGAGTAGTTTGGAGAACTCTGCCTGGCCCCACCCCCATCTATTCTCTGCATCCCGAGTCCCAGCTGATTGGGAGGAAATGGGGATTTTGCAGTAACCTTCCCCTGGAGTGGGGAGGGAATGGAGATTTTAGAGTATCCTTCCCCTGCCATGCCCACCAAGCCACGTCCACAGAACCAGTGGTAAAAAAAATTGAATCCCACCACTGAAAAGTATGTATAAAAACTGTACTTTTGAAGAAGTAGCCTTTGCACAGGCCCAGTGGAAATGACCTCCCTGTGTCTTTACTTCTGTGCAAAAGAAAGCTTTTTAAAATCTCCATCTCCGTGTGTTGTCAGGTTTCGGTGCTATCTCAAAATAAATGAATTTCCAAACTGCCGATCTTTGAGGAAATTTTCTCTTTATTGAGCATAGTGATCTGTCCCTGGCTCTTTCGTGGTCAGCACTGACCTTTGCCCCCCAAGCCCTCCCTTTCTGATCCCCAATTCTCTGTGTCTCATTGGCTATCTTCCAAGCCACTCTCCTCATCCCATCTCCGTCAGATCACAGGAATGTCCCCCCCTCCTCCCATCTCCAAGGAAACAGAATCTTCAAAGGAATTAAGTAGGCAAAAGTTCAAGCTTCTCCTCTCCTCACATATGTCAGCACTGGAACGCTGGCATGTGTGTTTCATTGGGCATTGCACGCTAGACAGAACCAGCTTTCTGGGGCCACACTGGAAAATTGCTGACCAACTCTATCATGGCTGATGGTATTCTTCCCCCACCAACTGACATCAGACAAATTTCCCAGCCTTTAACCAGTTGCTAGGCAACACTCCAGCAGAGTTTAAATTGGCCATACATCTCAAGTACCTCACCTCGTGTCTGGTCCCAGATATTTCTACAGGGAGGTTGGCATCTTGGTGGGAGGAAGGGAGGGAGGAAGGGAGTGGTCTGTATATCTGTTTCCTGCATTACTTTGTTAATCTCTATATGAAGTTTCTGTTTCTTGCATTACTGTGATAATCTCTATATGAAGTGTTTCTGTTTCCCTGCAATGATGTAGTGTGGGAGGGGTTTGGTTAGCATTGCTTTAAATAGCTGATTTTAAGTGAGAAGCTTCAGTTCTTGCCTAGGTCTCTTGTTATCACAAACCTTCCAATAAAAGCTCCTTTTGGAACCACTGCAGTTTCAAGAGTCCTGCTTTCTTGGGAAAGATTGGAGAGGCAAGACCTTACACCTCATGGAGAAATGGGCTTCTAATTTCATCCCTTACCATACAAGAATAAATAAACCAGTACCTCCACACAAACACCTACATCATTGCTTCCTTTATTTGAATCACCACACTAGAACCTTGCCCCTGCAGGGGTGAAATGCTACTGGTTCAGGCCAGTTCTCACGAACCAGTAGTAAAAAATGCTTTAAAAAGTTTTTAAAAAAAGTTTCAATGATCGCGCGTCGCACAGCTGATCTTCGGAACTCTGTTTTTTTTTTTTTTTTACTTTTTAAGTATTTTTTTTACTACTGATTCTCTGGAACCAGTAGTTAAAAATGCTTTAAAAAGAACAAAAACTGTTCTGATGATCGCGCTGATCTTTGGAACTTTTTTTTTACTGTATTTTCCGGCGTATAAGATGACTTTTTAACACAGGAAAATCTTCTCAAAAGTCGGGGGTCGTCTTATACGCTGGGTATAAGCCTACCCGGGTTGGTTTGACAGACTGACGGAAGCGGTAAGAGCAGCTACTACCATCTCTAGTCATTGCTAGAGATTTCTAACCCGAATCTGAGTTGCCAGCGCTGACTGATGACACTACGGGAGCGCTGACAACATTGAGGGGAAGCTGTGTCGATCTCCTCAAGGCTGCATGCCACTGAATGCTGGACCCAGCTGGTTGCTGTGCGGAGCTTCCCCCACCGTCCCAGGCATCCAGGTGGATATTACCGACACTCCAACTTCCCCAGACAGCTGGGGCTCACCATCACTGGGGGTCTGGGGAAGTCAGAGCATCGGTAATATCCACCTGGATGCCTGGGTCGGTGGGGGAAGCTCCACGCAGCAACCAGCTGGGTCCAGCATTCAGCGGCATGCAGCCTTGAGGAGATCGGCACAGCTTCCCCTTAATGTTGTCGGCACTCCCGTAGCATCATCAGTCAGCGCTGGCAACTCAGATTCGGGAAGCTGTGCCGATCTCCTCAAGGCTGCATGCCGCTGAATGGTGGACCCAGCTGGTTGCTGCGCCGAGCTTCCCCCACCGACCCAGGCATCCAGGTGGATATTACCGATGCTCCGACTTCCCCAGACCCCCAGTGATGGCGAGCCCCAGCTGTCTGGGGAAGTCGGATGGTGGGGGAAGCTCCGCGCAGCAACCAGCTGGGTCCAGCATTGAGCGGCATGCAGCCTTGACGAGATCGGCACAGCTTCCAACAACATTGAGGGAAACTGTGCTGATCTCCTCAAGGCTGCATGGGTTATAGGACATGGGTGACAGGACAGGGTGACAGGAAAAAAACCTGGTATGAAATAGCCCTCTTGCCGCTACACGTGGCCCGTTACCTTGACAGATGGGCAGCCTGGCTTGTAGATATCTGTACCAGATCTGTTAAGAAAACAAACAGCATGGCAGCTCCCATGGGTTTATTGTCTTATCCTTCCTTTCAGCTTTAGAGTGAATTAGGAAAAGTTTAATCCAATTGCACTGTTTTATGTTTACATGTTTGATGACAAACAGCCTTATGTGACAGTGACAGTGCTAAGTACCTGCATGTCATAAGCATTTGAATTAAAATTACCATATTGAAATCAAATCTGATATTTTTTTAATTTTTATTTGGTGTGCGTTGGAAGAGGGGTAGTCTTATATGGCGAGTATAGCCCAAACCCTATATTTTAACAGGAAAAGTAGAGGGCCGTCTTATACTCCCAGTCGTCTTATACGCCAGAAAATACAGTACTTTTTAAGCATTTTTTTACTACCGGTAGTAAAAAAATACTTTAAAAAGTTTTTTAAAAAAGTTTGACAATCAGCTGTGCTGTGTGATTTATATTTGCTAGAAAGCAGGAAATCTAAATCGTGCGGCACAGCTGTCCCCCCTCCTTCACTCTTCTACTTACCTTTGCAGACTCAAAAAAGGCTTCTTAGTGCCTGTGGTGCGCATGCGTGCAAAGTGTGAGTTTGGCACGCATGCCTGCAAAGTACACATGCGCACGCGAAGAAAACCAGTAGCAGACTTAGGAGCATTTCACCCCTGCCCTTAGCCCTTCATCTCTCTGAATAATCTATGGTACAGATTCCATCTTGGATGCAGGTGCTCACTTTCAGATAGGCTGAATACTAACTGCACCATGAT